GTGGCAGACGGGCTGTTTTGGAATCTTAGCCAAATAGACGTAAGCTTTTTGACTGCAGAGAGGGATTCTTTTGCTAGAGACTTCTGAGCCCCGAGACAAATCACTACTCTCGATGCCTGAGAATAGACGCGACGCATGAGACCAACTTGCTGCTGGCGCTCAGCATGATCGCCCTGATTAATGCACAGAGCATCAGCCCATACGATGCGCACGCGATCATGAAACCGCAACTGCATGAGGATATCTGTTAGCGTTGTGCTTATGAACACCTCCTTTCCAGAGATTGAGATGGGCGTTTTTGACACTTTAGGGCTCCCCCACTGATAAGAAATTGCTTCATAGGGCTTGTCTAGATTATCGAGGTCCACCGTGTCCAATGTGCAGCTGAGAATCTCATCCCCCTTGCTAGGACGAATTGTAATCACACGGATATGGGATCGGCCTGGAAGTGCTGTATACGTAGGTCCCCGTGAGAAATCAGCTGGTAAGCAGTGACAAAAAGGCATCCAGAAATCAGATTCGGTTGAAGAATTTGCGTAGGATTGGCGCTGTATCGTTCCATAACCGGTGCTGGCGAAAATTGGGGCTGTGTCTCGTTTGATGCGCAACTCAAGGGCCTTGATATATTTCATTCTCCGTGACTCTTCAAAGGCTGGGACTTGAGAATCAGTGGCGGGTTGAGGCTCAGCCAGCCGTGAGGATGGCACCTCTTCGGCGGTCAATGTGCGGTAGGTGTCGGTAATCGAATTCAGTTGGTTCGCAAGGTTAACTTGAAGGGTTTCTGCCTGAGCTTGAATTCTGCCATCATTATTCCCCTGCGCCGTTTCTGTGTCTAAGTCGAATTCAGCAAGAGTTTATTTCTATAGATTAAACTGAGAGTGCAACATACCGTTCAGTTGCTGTGTGTGTTGCTTTGGATGACTTGCATTAAGCAGTTGGAAACGTACGATGGGGGGATTGCCGTTGAAGAAATCGCCTAAATCAATTCAGACTTCCCCATGGTCAGAATTAATGGAAGGAGGTACTCACGGTCACTAAAACTCTCGGTAGAATCGAGTCGGACGTAGATGCCAATACCTCCCGCTTCCGAGTTGTCTGGAAGCGCCGCGTCGATGTCGTGGAAGCCCACTTCGGCATCACCGACGCGAACACCGCCCCCACGGTTTACCCCACGGTTTCTAGAGGAGTCTCGGGAGTTTGATCCATTTCCTCGGTTGGCTCCTTCATTTTCGCTGTCGGAGTTCAAGCCTAACCACCCTGAGATGGAATGCGTCGATGAACTCGAGTCTTCAGTTGCATCCTGGACGACAGCCAACGACAGGTCCTCATCTGTGCCACTCTCTGTACCATTATCATCATGGTCATCATCGTTTTCACTCTCATCCCCATCGTCGTGTACCCCTCCGTCTCCATCATGTTCTATCCCATGCCCACCATCACTGCGATGAGATGCAGCCGGCTCAAAAGATGGCCTCTCCCCTTGATTGTGGTCTTGAAGGGTTTCAGTCCCTGAGGGGCGTGCGCTGGATCTATCCTGCTCCAGATTTTCCTGCACGATCTCGTCATGATGTGGTCCGACATCGGTTTCCACCTCCAAACTTCTACCCGTGCTTGCTGCTCCGTGCGATACGCCTCCCGAACCGTAAGCACTGCTTGTGTTCCCCCCCGCGCCTGTGCCACTGCTCATGCCGCCTCCTCTTCCTCCGTAATGAGATCCCCAACCACCGTGGCGTGTGTCACGGTCAGACTCCGATTCAGATTCAGATGATGAGCTTGCTGCTCTTCCATACCCACCTCCGCCATAAGAATAGCCACCTCCGCCGCCATATGAACTGTCGCTGTCTGAAGACATTTCAAATGCCACTATTTGACTTTAACCACAAGTCTTGGGAGCGGTTCAATGTCATACTTATGTATGAAACAAAGGACAATACGCACAAGAGCGTTGGGCTACTTATGCGCCTTGTAAAAGTGGTGGCTTACAGGCTGTTTTCATCCATGGAGAGCTTGCACAGCCTTTAAGAATCAGCCGTTGTTGCCTCATTTTGCACATGATCCATGCTGTCATATTTTAGTAGGCAATAGTTTGCCTGATTAGTTCCAATATCACATTTGTGGTCGGGTGGTCGGCAATTATAAATGCAGATGCCCCATGAGGATCGTGAGTGATAAGTACAACAACAATTTTATGTGTGCACATATCAATAGATAGATGCTAAGTTAGTTATTTGTATGTTCTCTTTTTATGAAGAATAGATTTGAAGCACGCGTTTTGGTAAGCTACCGACTAAGACTTGGGGATGAGGGAATGAGTGGCGTTCGCGATGTCACCCAACTCGGTTAAGTGGAACTGCACTTCCTTTCAGCTTGCATCTCGACAAGTGCAAATCCCCCTATCTTGCCTCTTGACTAGTTCGAAAGAATCTTTACCATATCACAGTACGTAGCCTGCCAGTTGCTAGCTGCCTAGGATTCATCCCTGTGCAGTACGCCACTCGACGAAATCCATGCAAGGTAGCAAAGTTTTTCAACTCCTGCCAGGAATTGTGGAATTGAATCACTACCAGACCCTACATATGAGAGATTCGAGGAGGTGGAAGTCGGAAGAGTAACATGGCCTTGAAGATTATCCAGTCCGGTCGACGCAGCCTTGCATGACTGGTGCAACTTCTGTATGACTAGTCGAAGGAAATTAATGAATATTAAACAGGAGGCCAGCTGCAAGCGCCTTCATGTTGCAGCCGGAGGCTGAAATCGAGTCTGGTAATAAGCTGACTGGTAAGGACTAGTGCCAAACCAGCCACACAGATGGTAAACCGGAATTTGGGACCTCATCTGACCTGGCGTTTACAATGGATCGTTACAGGTAAGCATGCGATTACTGAGGGCAAATTTGACATAGTACATACGCATTCATGCTTCTCTACGGCGACTAAAGAACTTTAATCAAGCTTAAATAATCCGTCTCTAAATAGCTATAGAAAGGAATATAACTGATGTAGACTATAACAATTACTTGCATAGCTTGGGATAAAGCTCATCTTGACTAGCGCCTTAATATATTAGTTCCATACAATGCACACAAAATAAAATTTGATCAGTTGTTTGTCCAATATTCTGTGCTCTATACTCTGCCATATTACGCGTCTTGGTACGGCAGTACTTCCACTGGCTATACTTTATCCTCAGCGAGTTTCAGAAACAGGTGAGCTGGGGATGAGTCTCAACTTCTGGCTAAGAATTCGAAGCCACACGACTCTATTCCACAGATCTTGGGGGATACGACGGGTTGGAGTAGGGGGTGCAGGGTGAGGATTAGGATTGCGCTTGAGCGGCGTGGGCATGGGGGTTTTTTTCTTGTCGGGATAGACCCGTCATCTCCATGTCCAAGTCGCGGGCTTGAAGCTCCCCATCATCGTAGAATCGGGGGCGACGAGTCGGCGCAGGAGGAGCCGGGCGAGGGTGGTTCGGGTTAGGCTTGGATTTAACACTCTTGCCGCGTCGAGAAAGCCCAAGAGCTTCAATTTCTAGGTAAATATCACATTCTTCAAGCTCCTTGTCATGGTAAAGTCGTGGTCGACGGGTTAGTGCAGGAAAACTAGGACGGACGGGCAGGGTTTTGGCTTGGGCCTCGAGATTTTCCCTCGCCGAGCAAGTTCCCGTGATATGAGATTGCTGAGTACCTATTTCGCGTGATTTGAGGTTATCATCATGGTAGGCACGAGGGCGGCGGGTTGGGGCTGGAGGGTCCGGGCGAGGAGGGTTCGAGTTAGGCTTGGGCTTGGTAATTTTGCCACGAAGATCCAGCTCGCACTATTCAAGCTGAGCATTGAGTATGGCATCCCGTTCCTAAATCACTTCATCACTCTTCTCAGGGTTAGCACGAATGCACCTCCTTTAGTTCCAGACCTTAGAGTGAGAAAATAATGGCTAGAGTTTGTTGAAAGAGCGAGTGTGTGAGAAGCTAAGCCAAATACAGGACCTGCGGCAACCCCAATTTGCATGATAGCAACCATTTGGGAGGACAGATGAGGAATTGGAGTCTCTCCAAGGAATGATGGATTTCCGAAAAGAAAGTAAAGAGCATATAGAGGTTTATGAATGTAAAAGCTTCTTCTTTTTGTTTTTGTTCTGAGTTCGATGTTCCTGCCAGCAAGCCGAGAGGAGGCTTGCGTTCTTATACTACTCTCTCATGGAGAGGCACTAGCTGTTTGTAGATTCGCCACTCAACCGTCCCGAACAACGGCCATGCGCATATGTAGTGATTTCAAGAAAGATTCACCATCGCGGGCGGAAAATTCCCTGACGGTCGAAGTGCCTAGCTACGCAAATATCAACAGATATATTGGAAACATGCATTGGGAATCCGTGACAACTCAGATCCATTTTTAGTATGATGATACCCCGATCACGGTAGTTGGGGAAGGACTCGCTAATCAGCATTGCTGACGGGGCTGGGTTGTCGCTCAAAAGTTCCATGTGCGGATATGCGTTCCCATTAGCACCCTCAACAGGTTTGAGTTTTAGTTGTGGTGATTAAGGCAGGATTCCTATGTCGTAAGAACGTGGGCTATAGGGTAGCAACTCATGTGAGGCGACAAGTTCAGGATGAGAGAATGCCACCAATAAGATGATGAACACACTGATTTTCAATGTATAGCCAAGCTGAGATATTTGGGGGATAGAAAACACGTCTACTTACTGGTCAGAGAAGTCTATGTCATACTGATCGAGGTGGAAGTTGTGTTCGGTATATTCGACCAATTACAGCATCGCAATTTTCGGGAAATGAAAAGGTACAAAGTACATGGGCTATTTCCCGAGCTTTGAGATTCATTGAAAAAATACCAATTCCCCGAACTCGAGCTCCGACATTATTATTTGGCACGAAGTTGTAGCCGACAACAAAGAATGCCCGAACCCGAGAAACGTCGTCGACGTCCCCCCGTGTAAGAAGAACTCGTATGCAACACATCTAGTTGTGAAAAGCTAATTAAATCATGCAAAGCTCCTGCACACTATGCAGGAAGAGGAAGATTCGGTGCAATAAGGAATCGCCCTGTAGTAGCTGCATTCGTTCGAAGTTGCCTGATGGTACATGTGTATACGATAACCCGAACGCAACACCCACGCGTCGACAACCCGGATCGAGCCTTCAGCCCGCCCAGCAGCCTACACTGGCACCCCGTTCAGCTTCTGTTATTCAGACCGCTGAAGGAGGCTCCAGCGCACTTGGGCAGCTCGACACTGTGAAAGAATCTGATCTCACCTTGTCTAATAACGATGATGCTGCAAAGCCAACGATGCCACCCACAAGGGCGGCATCTCCCAGTCAGTCAAGTAGAGACAAAACAATTACCAGAATTGCTCAGCTCGAGGAAGAGATTCTTCGACTAAAACGAACGGGAACTGAAGATCCCTCCATTGACTCAAATTCAAATCTGAGCCTTGCCCACCAAAGGAATATCGCCGAAGAGGCTGCGGTAGCTTCCAAAGGGTTAATCTCCGTATCAGAGTTCAGGAGCGAAATATTCGGCGAAGCACGGTTTACTAGCCGTTACATAATGCATAAGCGTCGCTTATTTGGACAGAGTCATTGGGGTAGTTGCCTCGTGTTGGTACGTCGTCATCCCTGTCTCTGTACCATTTGTCTGACAAGATATTGATACTAAATTGAACGTCAGTTTCGTGACCTCTTCGAAATATTTGAAGGCCAAGACTCCTTGGAAACCGCTTCGACCATCTCCGTTGACATCAACAAATGCAAGGAGTATGCTAGAATTATCAAGGCTAATCAAGCCGCTCCTTGGCCTTCGCTTCCAACCCCAGACGTCCCTGCTCGTGACGTTTGCGATAAGCTCATTGACTGCTACTTACGAACTACAGAGAGCGTGTACCGCGTTATTCATATCCCCTCGTTTATGAAAGATTACACTGCGTTTTGGCAATCGAAGGCCGAGCCCAGCATGAACACTCTTGTCCCCTTAAAGCTGATGATGGCCATTGGCGCTACCGTCTTCGATCGGAATTTCTCCCTGCGTTCAACAGCCGTTCGGTGGATTCACCAAGCTGAAGCTTGGCTTTGCCGTCCTGACTACAAAGCTCGTATCAATCTTGGCACGATACAATGCCAAATTCTACTCACCTTCGCGCGGGAAGCCGTCGGTCTTGCCTGGAGTCATACATGGCTGTCCATTGGAGATCTTCTTCGCACAGCAATTTACATGGGTTTGCATCGTGACCCTTCAAGAATGCCAAGGCGGACACTTCTTGCCTCCGAGCTTCGTCGTCGAATATGGAACACAATACTAGAGTTGGTAGTGCGAACAAGCGTTACCGCCGGAGGCCCTCCTCTCCTTTCGCTGGATGACTTTGATACGCTTCCTCCAGGAAACTTTAATGATGATCAACTCATGGATGACGATTCTCAATCGAAGCCAGAGGAAGAGTTTACGCAATCGTCCATATCCAGGATGATGCGATCCACTTTCTCTACTCGACTGACTATCACCAAGTCGCTCAATGACTTAGGCGGAAAGAACACATACACCAATACGCTGCACCTTGAGAATGAGCTACGGAGTGCCCAAAAAGCTATGAGACATACGATCCAAGCCTGTAAATCAAACAAAGCACCAAATTCTCTTTCTCCCTCCTCATTCCAACTTTCCTATCTGGATATGGTTTTTCGTCGTTTCCTTTTGTCTCTCCATGTACCTTGGTTTGGTCCCTCTTTGCAGGATCCAACATATGCATACACGCGGAGAATCGCAGTCGAAACTAGCATTGCTTTGTGGAGAATTACGGATGAAGGGGGCGCATCATCCATCGATACTTCATATACTGATTTCGTGACCATGTCTGCCTACCGAACAGGCTTTCTTCACGCAGCAATCATCCAAGCTTCCCATATACAACTTGCAGAAATTAGCTCTCAATTGAGAGAACAAAATGAAGGGATTTTATGGACGCCAGTCAACTCCGATCTGTTACCCGTTTTGGAAGGGGCAAGCGAATGGACCTTTCAAATTTTGCGAGATGGGGAAACAAACATCAAGGGTTATCTCGTCATGGTCTTAGTCACCTCGCAGATCAAGGCCGCCTTGGAGGGCACCAGCGCGGATGAAATGCCTCATGTCGTAGCTAGAGCTATCATTGAGGCAAAAGATAGGTGCCTTTCGTTGCTCGAAGGCGAAGTCTTGCGTTCACGTACAGAGAGAATGCTTTCGGAAACACCCCCTGCCTTGCCAGAAACCTGTCTGGAGGATTGGGACCTCACGGTATGTATTTGGATAAAATTGTGTCTTAAAAGCGATGTCACTGACGTTGAAATAACCAGATCCCCGATACCGATTTCTCTACAACTCCTGGGTTTGATCCGGTGGCTTGGATATTCGACGGTTCGATCTTACAAGGGCCTCAATTTTGTTCAGCACTGTATCAGTGAGCTACTTTCTCCGAATCTTCGTAGGATATAATCCCCACTTTTCAGTTTGATGTACGAGGAGTGATGTTAAATTTGCCCCTCGTTGCGCATTAGATTCCCGCGAACGGCTGTGTTCGGAACAGGCAATGCAACCTAGGGGAGCTTCTTTTCTGAGGTTGTTATTGATATCAAGAAAATCATGTACTGGATAATCAATGGCCTTTCAATCGCTCGCTGCTCTCCTCCTCACCAGCAGAGTAGAGAAATAAGCCAAGGGAAGCTGAGTTATTACGGGAGAGTTCTCGAATATAAACTTAAAAACAGTAATGGAAGATGCTAGAACTGACATCTCGACACAATGAATACAAGCTGAATTACTACTTGCAGGCTCATGGCAGCTTAGGGGATGATACAAATATGCCCTCGAAGAGTCGATTCATATCGGCCACATCTTCCAGCTCTCCGATCCAGCTGACATATTGATCCGGCCGAACAATAACAACGCAGCCTTTTTGTAGATCAATGCCGTAGTTCTGATATGCTTGGCCGTGTCCTTCATGATATGACATATCATCAACATAGACTTTGTTATAATCCCAGCCGTATTCCGAGGAGTAAGGATGAAATATTTCTGGTAGGGAAAGGAGATCCACTTTCTGCCTCGGTGACGAGTGAATGGTGAGAACCTCAAAGAAGGAGCTGAGGGAAGATTCGTTATCCTTGGGCCGAAATCGGTTGAGGAAAGAGTTAGGTGAACGTAATTCCATCCCAAGGTTTGACAATCGTAGAGACTGGGCATGATCAAGCAAGTCTCCGGCGAAAACGATAACTCTCCACTGTCCATTGCTTGGTAGCAGTTCTTGGAGGTGCCATGGCCTGCCGTCTGACTGGTTGAGAATCTTATGGCTCGGTATTCGCATACCTATAGGGATATTGGGTGCAAGTGCCTGCTTGCCCACCAATGGGGTTCCACCATCTTCTACTGCAGTTTTTGTAACCGCTGGCTTTGTAACGATGAGGCTTGATGCATAATCTACCACGCAGCCGCTGGAGAACAAGTTGCCTTTCTCAAAAACCTGCTTGAATGTTTTGAGATCGACACCTTCTTTGTCCATTATATGCTCAGCAGGCCGACCTGAGAAAAGATGAGAGAATTTTCGATCAAATTCAATCAACTCTCTCGCAACCTGCTGCCGTTCAGTGCTGTATGTCTTAAGCAATGAACGGTTCGCCCAGCCTTTCACAACCGAGGCCACTTTCCACCCAAGATTGTATGCTGTAGAAGATATTTGTCAGAGACTTGACACCTAGTAAAATGATGAAATTTTCGACGTACTGTCATGCATACTGATATTCATGCCCTGACCTGCCTTCGGGCTATGCGTATGGACTGCATCGCCAGCGAGGAAGACACAGTCATGAGCACTAAACTTAGAGCCAACTCTCTGTCCTATGCGATATGCAGTCCACCAATGACAGTGGTTGTAGGTGATCTTGTACGGACTAAGAATCCTGTTTGCAGCATCAAGTAGATTTGAGGGGGTGATGTCGAATCTGTCAACCTAAAATCATGTCAATAAGTGGAGGTTTCCATATGTGGGTATCTTGAGAGTTGCCTACTGGCTTGCCCTTTTCGTCTACTTCAGTAACTTGGATATATAACCTGACATACTTATTCTCTCGAGGAATAATCATCATACTCCCAGATGCAGAGTGAATAGCGCAACGATATCTGATGTCGGCTGTGTAAAGACGTCAGCATTCCATTGGGAGAGGATAGCCGTTTAGGCCAATACTGACGGAAGTCCGTGATCGGGATGATATCCAGAACGCCCCTGAGCAGTTAGTTAGTCCAATGGTTTACTGGCGCGCCAGGGTGAAGTGTACACACCAGATGAAATCCGAGTGATCGCCCTCCATCACGCATCCGATCTGGCGCCGCGTCCAAGAGTGCGCACCATCGCAGCCGACTACATACTTGGCCTTGATCTTCGTCGCACAAGTCCCATCTGCAGCTTGAGCATCCTGCAACAGAGCATCTGTAGTATCAGCGGTGAGATTACTTCTATGGAGGCCGTTGGGAATCTTCGAGTCCTCCACGTCAAGTGACACTTGGGACTCTGGGCCGGGTCTGGGTAAGCTTCGAAGGGTAACTGAAACAGGGTAACCGTCGCTCTCGACTTTGTCGGTATCGATATCAAGGGATTCTGGCATAACCCCATATTCCACCTTCAAGTCACTATACTTCTCAATGTAGCTCAGGAGATATTCTTCAACTCTTGCTACGAAGTGAAGAACCATGTTAGCGGCTGGTCAATGCATGGGAAAGTTATTGTTACCTTGATGGAGCGTTGCCTGTTGGAATCGGCTAAGTCCAGGCACGGTGTCTACAATCATGTCTGATCGGTATAACTTGCGCTGCTCGTCGGGGTTCTTGCAGATCGTTAGTGATGTTCTTTAGGTGATGAGTTATTCACTGAGTATCACCCAAAATCGAATTTCCAGCATGTGGTTGGCCTCACGCCAAATGTCTTGGCCAAAACCCAGGGAATCGAAAATCTATGAACCAGTAGATTAGCTGGCCGTTTTGTTTCATCACAGCAAAGCTATAAACATACTTCGAAGGTTCTGCTTTGCAGACCATCGGCTTGCCTATTGCTTTGTTAGTAGTGAATTTCGTACGTATATGTATGATTTGACATGCCCACTGTTTATCCTGTCGAAACGCTTGTCTACTATGCGAGTTTTGATACCCAAACGAGCCATCCATGTTGCTAGCATGAGTCTGTTACTAAATGTTAGTCATAATGCTAAAGATAGAGCCGCCCCCATTGGTGAAGGCTAGGTTAGAGCAATGGTTACCCTGAGGGCCCAGCGCCGATAATAAGCACATCAACATTTGCAAGATCTCCTGAAGACATCTTGTGGGATATCGAAGAGAAAACAGAAAGAGACCGAGAGAGCCAGAGAAATGCGAGTAGCGAAAAGGAGGGAAGAAAGGTCAAGCGAAAGCCGAATCCTTAGATTAATATACCTAGTTTCGCCCGCAACCCCCAGTCTTAGTATTTTCTCCAATCTCGGACCCAGCATTATAGCAGGGCTAAAAACCCAACCCAGGGGAGCATGGAGCACTGCTGATCGTAGAATTTGGAACATTTGGTTAGGCGGAAGGGCCCCAATTCTCAACACCTAGTTTCCAATTTCAGATTGCTGATATGCGGAGATCCCTATTGGTCTGCGGAGCTTCCGGGCCCGCTTGTTGTGAGATTGGAGCCTCGGTCCCTGCCGGTAAGATACGTAGCCAAATGTCACACTCTCCCAGAGGATCAGCTGCATATGGAATCATGATGGTCACAAGATATATATGTTTATCATGCCTTCAATTGACGAAAGAGAATTCCTTGGCTCAGTTCTGATGAGATCTATACTGGCCTATTATATTGTGGATCCCTCGGCTTTCCATGTAGTGAGAGACCTAAACATTAGCCATTGATTGTATAAAGCTTGCTACCCGTAATGGAACGATTGGAGAATGCCTGGCCCATTGTGGACCTTATATGGCTATGGTAGTCTGGGGGCTGGGCGAGGAGAAACTGGGGAGGAGTGAGGGGGAGGAGTATGGATCACGTCGATGCAAGGGCGACATGATTGGCTAACGGCAGCTCGGAAAAAGACTTCCCCGGTGCTAATTATCTGTTTTGCTTCGACCTTGATTGTACATCGGCATCCAACTCCTCACCTCATCCCTTACAACTGACTATTATCACTTAATACATCGACACGATAAATCCATATGCGAGGATGGCTAGTTCAAATACCGCTAGCATCATGCCTGGCTCCAGGCCAGTCCGTAGGAAAGCTTCAGAGGCCTGCGAAAGATGCCGGGAGAAGCGAATCAAGGCAAGATTCACTGCAGCCCCTCCCCACACACACACGCACACACCCCCAGAGCCCGTAACAGGCCTTGAGTATTTGACTAATACTCCTTATCAGTGCAACGGCCTTCAACCATGTGATCAATGTACCAAGAAGGAGGTGCAATGTGTATTTACCTTTGCGCCTTTGACCACTACCAGTGGCAATGAGGCCCTTATGGAGTGCGTGCCAGTCCTCCCCGTCTTGTTGCCTAACTGACGCTCGTCGAAGGAAACTAGACCTTGTATTATCACGCCTCGATAGACTGGAAGAAGAAGTAGGCCGGCAGGCCGACGCCTTGCGTAACAATCAGATGCAAGGTTTGAAGCCGCCAGCCCTTTTCTGCATGTGTCTATCTGACACCTCTTCGAACAACAGTAAAACAACAACAATACCACTTCAGGCGACGGTCCAGCGGCGTTGCCCAGTTGAACCAACAGACTGGTTGTTTTGAGTATTATGGTCGGTCTGATGACTATTACGAAATAGTATCCAAACAACTAATGGTTACTAGGTCAAACTTCAACATTTACTATAGCATCTTGCCTGGGCAAGAGATTAAATCAACCCGAGGATGTGTCGAATGACAGCCCATCAACTAATGACCGCCGGGAGCATTTGATTGATGGTCACCAGCCACCCCGCAGTAAACGTGCTAAGACTCTTGACTTAGATGAACTTACCAGCTTTTGCGACTACGTTGTGCCGCTACACAGCTTGCGTAGTGACCGTTACTTGCGCGGAAATGTCACTGATAGGCACGTGGATAATTTCTTTCGTGCTATCCATATACTCCTCCCTATTTTGGATCCTGTGGCTTTCAAGGCACGATATGGCTCGTTACGCCATCTTTTTGGCGATCGACGGCTCTTCCTTATGACTCCAGATGACCCAACGCGGCCGCAATTCGTCTGCCTACTATTTTCAGTGCTTGCACTGGGTGCATTGTATGAAGATGAACACGAAGATAGTTCATCGTGGGCTTCATGGTATTTTGCTGAAGCCCAAGAAATGCTGGGACGCCTTCTGATGGCAAGCAACATTCAGTTGGTCCAGGCTTCAACACTTCTGGTAGGCATACCGGATACGCATGATCACTGATTACACAAATACTGATTACCTCAACTGCACAGGGAGCTTATGCTCAGCATGCAATTCAACCCAACTGTAAGACAGTATCACCCTATTTATCCTTAACAGATTGTAACACAATAAAACTAGTGGCATACATCCTCAACGGCGTTGCAATGAGGTTGGCATTTTCTAATGGATTAAACGTCGAGTCATTGCACTGCTCGCTTGGGTTCGATATCCAAGAAGCAAGGCGCACCTGGTGGCTTGTTTATATCCAAGAAGTAGAACTCAGCCTAGACTCCGGCCGACCTATGACTCTCCGATCTTCGGAGATGAATGTGAAATATCCAAATGTTGAGGTATGTTCAAGATGGCTGGGCTTTCGGGATCTTTCTCCCTCGGCTGACACTGTGAAAGCTTCCAGCCGGCGGCGAAGCTGTTCCAGAGTCTGCTCAGGTTATGTTTATACCTTTCCTAGCGGAAATAGCTAAAATCATGCGAAGGATCATGAAGCTCGTATGTAAATCCATCCCTATGGATTCTGAACCTCCAAAGCTTACCATTCTGTAGGCTACAGAGCCTGTCGAGCCTGTCGAGCCTGTCGAGCAGAGCGATTTCAATTTAGAGCAAAAAGAAGCGTTGCGGCATGAATTAATACGATGGCATGCCTCGCTACCTAACTACCTTGCTTTCGAAGATGCTGCCCAAGACATCAATAACAGCGATGCCTCGCCGTGGCTACACAGTTGGGAAGCTCGACAACAAAGTAGCCTTCGAATACGTAAGTCCTCCCCTCGGGACCAAGCCTCTGATTACTATGCATCCTAGGAGATTTTATGTTGTGCAATGGCTCATACGTGAAAAAGATTATTACCTTGCCATCATTATATTGCTTCGTGGCTCAATTCCAAGAAAATCACCTGAGCTCCTTGCTTTGAGCACTCACCCATTATATCTTCTTCATCAGTCATGCCACTTGAATGCTGCTAGAAACATGATACGGCATATTTACAGGCTGTTCAAGTCTGCACCATACCTACGACGGTGGAGCTATTATTGCTTCTACTGTCTCCAGGCTACACTTGTCATCTTGCCCAAAGTTGCTGACGATCTGGATCTCTCCCGATATCAGCAGCAAAAGGATGCCTGTCTCGTGCCTAGTCCACTTTCTTCGACACAAGCCGACAGAGAGATGATTGAAGACGATGTGGGACTTTGTAACATGGCTGTCGAAGTTTTCGAAAAGATTGAACTGAAAGCTTCACAGCGTTGCGCCATCGTTGTCCGTCAAATTCTTGACAGCTGGGAAGCAAAGCAAAGAAACGACAAGCTCGACGCCAGCCATACCTCTATCAGCGTTGAAAACTGCGGAGTGCAGCGATCAACCTCGACAAGGGTAGCACCTGAGCACCTCGCGGATTCTTCATCTTCTTCGAGTACTGATACAATCATCAACGAAGAGGACAGTACTCATATATCGCGAAGGTCTACTCAAGCTGTGCCCAATGTGGTTGATAGTATTAGAAACTTTGGTGGCAGTAGCTCTTCGTCTCTGCCAACGTCTTTCAGCGAGTTCGAGGCAGAACTCTATGGCGCATTTTATGGCATCCTGGATTCTGGCTTTCATGTCGATGAGCAGCAGTATTGCGCCGGCAGTCAAGCCTTAGAAAATCAGGCAATGCGACCGGTAATGCATGAGAGACCAGAAGAAAGCTGGGCTTCAGCTTCACCCGACATCATGCCGCCTTGTGACAACTGCGGTAGGCATGATCCTTTGGTATGATGGTAATGGCATGTATGTAATCCATAACTGGCTCTTCGCCGACACACAATATTGAAGCGCCATGATAGTCATGGTCCCGTTGAACCGATTTGTGAAACAGCGTACATCCTTCGTCTGTTTTAACAATACTCCTGCCGCGGACTAACCGCCTGGGCCTGAACCGTAACCACAGACTGATGATCTTTGTAGCAGTTTTCAGCAAGAGCTACGGTAGGCAGGAATTGTTTATGTTATAAAACAATGGTGCAACCAGATCTAGAAAAAAATGACCAGAAGCTTCCCATAAATACCTACCTTCATCTCTACTCGGTGGAGAGAATTCCCCATTCTTTGGGGTAGTTCAAGCACCACTTTGTTGCTACTATGGCCGTTGTATCCCAGTCTCTTGCCCTGTGTCATGACGGATAAGTTACACCGCCATGCCAGCCCTTTCGAGGATTAGTCCTTTTGTGAAAAATCATTTGTCGTCTTATATCCTCATCCCGCCGCGGAAGCCCCGAGCACAGTTTCAAAGTCCCTCCTCACACTGTACCCCTCATCGGAATGTGCATCTAAGCAGCGACTGGCTTAATAAAAGGCTTGTAGAAGACATCTGGCTTTCCTCGGCATCTGCTTCGGATTACTCTCACCAAGTATATCAAGCTCTACTGCTGTCTCATTCATTGGTTCATCATGGCTACAAAATACGAGCGGGTGGCTTCTGATGTAGAAGGTTACACCCGTGTTAAGAATGAGTTTATTGCAATGCGCGATGGTATAAGGTTGTGTGCCGATCTCTTCCTGCCATTCTCCGCCTCGAAAGATGGCAACAAAGTCCCTGTCCTCTGCAGTATGGGGCCATACAGCAAAGACATCCATGCCTCCACATTTGGGCTACCGAAAACTCCCATCTATGCTGATATGTACAAGCACATCAAGCCTCTAGGTCCAGACTCATGCTTCGAGCTATGCGAACCACTGATTTGGGTATGTCTAATGCAACAAGACTTTGCAACCACCTTGAACTAACACTACTTTTAGTGCAAGGAGTATGGGTATGCCCTTCTTCGTGTTGATACACGCGGTATCGGAGGTAGCGAAGGCAGATTAGATGCATTTGGATTAGAAAGATCGTTTGAAATCAAGGCCGACGCTGAAGGCCAAGGTTAGTGCATCGTCACCCCTTTGAATGCCAAAAACAAAAAAAAAAAAAAAAAAAAAAAAAAAATAACCAGCGCGTTATATCTTCAGACCTGTATGACGTTGAATGGGCTGCTGCTCAGAAGTGGTCATCTGGCAAGGTGGCATTTTCTGGCATCAGCTACTACGGCATGGTCGGCTACTGGGCTGCCATGCAAAAGCCACCACACTTGACCTGTGTCATGTCGTACGAATCAACTTGCAGTATATATCAAGCTGCCCGTCGAGGGGGGATCTACAGTAACAACTTTCATTCCCATTGGTATCATAATATTGTGGTGCCCTTCCAACGCGGGTCACGAGATGGGTCGGTCAGTGAGGAAGAGCTCGCGGCGAATCGGGTAGATTACCCTCATCTATTGGCAACAACCGAGTACCCAAATGAAGGTCTCTTTGGTGTACTCGAGAGTATTCGCTCACTCTCTGATATTACCGTCCCGATTTACCTAGCGGGTAATTGGACTGATCCAGAATTACATTTGCCTGGAAACATTCGAGCTTTCAATGGTGTCAGCTCCGAGTATAAATGGCTCGAAATGCACTCTGGAAACCACTTGGGCGCGTTTTACGAACCAGAGCATATAGCTATGCAGAAGAAGTTCCTAGATCACTTTCTTTTCGATGAGAAGCAGAATGGAATGCTTGACGTTCCGCGGATTCGGCTACTCCAGCACCACAATACCGAGACCTTTTACCGCGAGAACGAGGTTTCCTTCCCACCACCCGACGCAGAAGACGTTTCTTTCTATCTGACACCCAAGAGGGAACTCTCGTTGAGCTATCCTACAGGAGAGGCGCAGCCACTCACTTATCAAGGCTTCCATGAGAATATTTCTTTTGTCCTTGACTCGGCCTTTGTTGACTCGTTCGAGATCCTTGGATCTCCATATCTCGAGCTTACGCTCAAGACCGAGGCGGAAGACCTGGATCTTTTTGTGTACTTGCGTGCGATCGAGAATGGCAAGCCCGTCGTTCTAACCGGTAACCACGGTGAGCCTATGGATAGCTTTGCGAGAGGATACTTCCGCCTCTCCCATCGTGAGGAGGCCGCCAAGGACTTTGACAAAGAAAGGGTAATCAAGCAGCCACCCTGTCCTCGATCTGAGGTGACTCCGGGCCAAATTTACAAAGTCATAGTCCCCATTTACCCGGCAGCGTATCTCTTTGACAAGGGGCAGACACTCTCGCTCGAGGTTGGTTCAATAAACACCGCGAGCACGATTCCCCCAATGCGTCACGAGGGAGGCGATAGGGTAGCCAAGAGATTTGAAGGAGAAAATACGATCTTCTCTCATGGACGTTTAATCTTACCACGCGTTAGACGCTAGGCACGCACGATTTCATTATTGAGAAGTTGGTGGGAAACATCTGATATATACAAATGGAAGATATTCTATCATTTCACTGGCTTTGATTTACTAAGTCTGCTAAAAGTGCTAGTGTACATCTAATATCAACAATGCTTTATTTAATGCTCAAATGACGACGAGATGGGTGGTTATAAAGTAATTGAAGAAAATAAATGTAACAATAGAAATATACATGCAGTGTAGTGAAGTCGAACTCTACCTATTGCTATAAATCATGATAACTTTAAGTATCCTTGTTTTAGTTGCGTCATCAGTGGACTTGAGTGGACTTGTTGTGGTTGCTAGCTGATACCTCCGAAGCCCAGAACACGCTCATTCCCCAGAGTTTTGTACAATAAAACTCGTTCTAATCTGGTCTCAGAGGTTTTGAGGCCCGCATAGACAACAGCTGGCTCTTACTAGCTGCTGAACGTTACCATCGGCTAAGTGCAAGTTGTGACGGGTTGCTGAACTCAACTAACGGTCGTCGGGCTTTCCAGTGTTTCGAAATGTGGCATTAAGGAGTATGCGGAACATCCGCACGCCCGCACATCCGAGATGTGATCACATCATGTGAAACCATGAGTCCCAGGCCAGCACGTTATAAATACCACCTAAGTATACCCTCTGTCCCTTATACTACCTGCTCCTAGACTTCCTGACCCATTTCTTTATTCTTCGACTCTGCCTATACACGATCGAAGATAGAGCCCGGATGCCTTACCTCAAGCAAATAGTGGCCGTAAGGCGCAAAGCAGGTATTACCAGGCAAGAATTTTTCAACTACCACTTTCAAGTACACGGCAGGATCAGTGTCGCTCCCTCGCCAGCAGAAACCCCATCGTGCGTTTCCATCCCTAGTACGCTATCAGAGGGCATAGATATCTGATTTTTGTTCTAGGAAATATTTTCAGATTCACTTGGAAGATGCGGCCTATCATTCAACAGGCCCAAGTGACAGCGCGAATGCGAACCCGTCATGGGCATTTTCTGACGATATCACCGAGCTGTATTTTGAATCAACAGACCATTTCAGTCGCGTATTTCAGTCCTTATGGGTCACAGAAGAGGTGGGACCGGATGCAGCCAATTTTTCGGACTTTGGTGCTTCTCTGCCTGTCACGGTGCAGGAGATGGCCGTTCCACTAAATGGGGACGCACCTTCGGTGAATGATGTTTCACTGTCTGGATCTTTGGTAGCCATGTACTTCATAGCCAAGGCCACTGATGATATTGAGGCAAATGATTTGGTGTCTGGATTTGCAGGCATCTTGCAACGATTCGACCCAACCCAAGTCCGTGCTCTCGTGGCTAACGTTCCAGTGGACCTTCCATTCGACCCAAATTCCTACTTCGGAAGTCATTCCGGACGACCTCGCTTCGACCTTGTCTTGGCTATTCACCTACGCGATAAAGCTGGCGTGTCGATCTTGAGAACAGCGCAGAAAGAATTCGAGGAAACATATGTATCCCATATCAATCTTGGAAGCAGTTGGATTGCATTCGGCCAACGCGCTTTGGTCTTCGACCAAGATCAAGACATCAAGGTATGCGCTTCAGCCGCCGACTACAACTTATATTTGTACTGACGTGTTGTAGTTTGACCCTGGTCGCCAGCCCTCCCTATATGGGAACTGAGGAGCATACTGGCTTGGTTTCCCCGCATACTGACGTGTATATGGAGTCCATGTCCGAGTCTTCGCCATGATGTAACGACAAAGGGTCAAGCAGGGCAACTGTGTCATCGTCGGATTAAGATACCACTGATGTGACCTAAAATGGGCCCTCTGTTATCGTGGAAGCCTGGTGCAAGATAGATCGTTCTGATGCTAAGGGGTAAAATAGGGGAGCTCAGCAGGAGATAGCATGGTGGCTAGCACATTCAAAGGCATCATGTCCAATGGTTTGTGTAGCAATAGGAGAGATGAGTATGTTTATTTCACCGCCGCATTGCGACACGTAATCATCGCATCTTTATGCCTCAAAGCAGCCACCACTTTGCGATATCAACAATCATGCGACCATCTTTTAGGTATATGATTTGCGGCCTTCCCGCCCAATCTTTTACAACTTCACTGCCTCCGTGCTCCGCACTGGTCATAATGGCGCATGAAAGGCTAGCATAGTTCAAGATAATCTAGTTAAAGTACAGCATGTGCCCATCGAGGTGCCACATCTAGCGCCATAAAATGATGTAACTGTTATAGTCCAATGCTAACACAGTTGCCATTAAGGTGCTATGGCTAAATGGATTAAATCTAATACGTGGCTGCTCTATCCATAAAAGAGAAAGTCACCGATAGATATAACCATATCCGATATTCGGACTATATAAACTTCCTTACCTTTGTTAGAGGTAATGACCTCTGATCCCCCCGGATTACTCACGCGGCTGGCAATACATGGTGAATAAACTCCTCTATATCACCCAGAAATAGCTCCGGTTGCTCAATGGCCGCAAAGTGGCCACCCTGCCAGAAGATATGAGTATCCAGAGCCACTAAAATGGATAACCTGTTCAGGCCAGGCTAACCTTTGAATGCAGTCTATGCCAGACTAGGTTTGCCTCTTTCCTCAGCCATTCGACAGGCGTGGGACCCAACTCGTGGGGAAAAGAAGAATATCCGAGTGGTTTCTCACAGTAGTACTTCGGATCAGAGAGTAGAGGATGCAGACCAGGTGTGCCGTGAGGCTATGTAGACAGATTGTCAGGACATCAATTTTTTAGTCAAGCAATTGTGAGAAGGGGTGAGACACTACCGTTCTGTAAGGATAGAGTCCTCGGGCAATTGACTCAGTAAACCAGTATAGCGTGACACTGTCAAGGATTTCCTCGTAGTCAGGGGTCGTGTCGGTCCATTCAATGAATTTCTCACCTATCCTACAGCATAAATTAGTATCCCTCTCGTACATTCAGGTGGAGAACTGTCTACCAGGCTAGTAGTGCGAGCGGACTCGAAGACAAGACATAAACGATTGTCGCTGGTCTTGTGTTGTGCTCTTGAAAATAAGCATTTCCTGACGTTAAAAAAATTTGAAGGCGCCGTAAACCCTGTCGCTCGGCATCGCTAATGTTACTTTGCACAACACCTTGGGGCTCCTGGCCGATGGCGAAATTGACTAATTAAGTGAGCTTTGGGCAAAGGCGATAATGCCACTGGGGAATACATACCGTGAATTGCTGGGTAGACGGTAAGTATTGGGCAGTTTGTCATATAGCAACGGTTCATATAAACATACCATGGCATTCCTTGTGATTAACAGCAAGCACCCAAGACACGAAAGCTCCGATGTCACCACCCTGAGAAATGTAGCCAAAGCCGGGGCCAATCATGAGTTTATTCATGATCCGCCCAATGTCTTCAGTGTTCCAATCCTTGGTTAGTGGAGGACCGGAAGATAGTGTGTAGCCTGGTAATGATGGGACGATAACGTGGTAGGGTAGTTCGTTCGGGTTGTACTTCTGGCACAATGTCCCAAGCACTTTAAGAAATTCGGTATGGTTACCTATTACCATGTAAGCCATCGCAGAAGAGTGTCATACCGCATGAAGATAGCTAACCTGGCCATCCATGTAGGAGAAGTAGAGGGATGGCATCCTGTTTATGGGAGAACAAGGCAGCAAAATGGATGCGGAAGCTCTCCCCGTCATCGTCTTGAATGGTGGCAATGGAATTTGGGAACGAGTTAATAAACTCTTCTCGTTGTCTCCTAAAAAGGATGTTATGCTTCGTTCATACATAGTTAAATGGGTATCTTGATGATACCCCGTGATCAGCGGTCGACTTACCAGTTATACTGGTTTTCCCACTACTCTTTCCCTTTGGAGATCCGTTCGTGGGTAATTCCGAACCTGCCATCAGTCTGAAGGCTCTCGTATGTTTTCGGTGCATGCTTGAAAAGGACGTAGAAGCCGCTTGAACTCATCTAGCTTCTCTTCCGAGATATGCAGTTGGAAATTTTCAAGTTGAAGCTGAGCCGCTGTCGGGATCCTACTGTAATCTGCCATGTTGGGTAACATACCTGTCACGCTTTCTGATTTTGATCTGAAGCTCGCTACTGAGGTGCGTAGTAAAGATAATATAGTGTACCTGGCTTCAACTCGGAGGGCTGCTTGATGACAAACGTACACCGGTGTCATTATAAACGATGACGAGCACGGAGACCACTGTAGCCGAGCCTGCTCGAAACGATGCAGCGGGTCAAGGACAAGCAGAATTAAGTACGGCGGCTAAAAAGGCCGAGCTTATTGCCGCTATGACCTCAATTCAGCTCATGCAAGTCATTATCTACCGCCCTGAGGCTTTAGTCTGGTAATGAAACGATGAATTGTCTGACGGATAGTCTAGATGATCCCATTCGGCGCCGGCATCGCGGCTACTCTTCCCATCGCCGACGATCTCAAGCTGCATCGAGATGTAGCTACCTGGATTGCCGCTTCTCATCCGTATGTCAAAGGGGCTTCACGTACGATATCTTCTGACCGAAACACTCTTTAGTTTAACTCAAGGTGCATTCATCCCTCAATGTTCGGCCACAAACGCACCTTAATCTGCGCAGGCGCTTGGTGGGTGCTTTGGCATCTTATCAGTGGCTTCATGCGGAACATCATCGGCCTCTCCTCTTGTCGAGATCTAGCTGGAGCTGGGGGAGCATTCATGGTCCCAAACTCAATTGCACTACTAGCCATAAACATACCTCCAGGCAAGATGCGTAATATGCCATGGGCTTGTTTGGAGCCATGGCTCCCATTGGTACAGCTGGAGGTAGCGTATTTGGTGCACTCTTTGCTCAATTGGCACACTGGAAGTGGCTCTTCTTCTTTGCGTACGTTGTCAACACATGTTAGACCTTGTCCCCTTTGCGCTAACAACACTCTCAGGGCGATGCTCGGCGCTGTGGTCTTCTCTCTAAGTGCTTGGGTGACCCCGATAGATCATCTCCCTACCCGAGGATCTGGGTCAATTGACTGGCTTGGTGCTTACCTGGGGATTGGTGGCCTTATTCTTTTCAATTTTGTCTGGAAGTAGATCATACTTTTCTATTTCCAGTTCCTATACTGACCTCTTTCCTAGTCAAGCTCCATCAGCGGGCTGGGATGAGCCTTACGAGTACGTCTTGCTCATCGTGTCCCTCGTCCATTTGGCCGCGTTCGTGCTCTGGGAGAAGAATGGGGCCATTGATCATATCCTTCCATTCGATTTCTGGACCGCCCCGTCTTTCCTAAGCCTCATGATAACTGTTTCACTGCTATCCTTCATGGCGTTTGGTGTCCCATTGTGGTACATCAACGTCTGGCTGCTGACCGTCCGCAACTGGACCGTGCTCTTGTCGTCCGCAGCCCTTGTGCCACTGACGGTTCTTGGAGCAGTGGCGGCCATCCTCTCTGCCTGGCTCATCCCACGTCTAACTGCTCAATATATCCTGGCCATCGGTGCTCTCTGTGTCATCGTCTCGGTAACTCTAGTCACACAGGAAGGATGGGATGAAAAGGTGAATGTTAAAGCTCAGGAAGTATCAGAGGAAGCCTGATTGTTGGCTGAGAAAGGACCTACAAACATTCCCCAAGCCTAGGAACCCTCTGTCACACTCAAGTATAGGTATCTTGTCCTACTTTGTCCCTTTCATTGCAAGATGATAACTTTTCTCTTGCGTGGGAGCTCTTGCTATATTCTCTTTCACTGTATTTTTAAGGGCTAAGAAGTATTACTATTAATACTAACTTCTATTAAATCTTACTCCATTCTATTTACTTCTCTCTCTATATAATATTATGATAACATATCTCATTTATTCTTTTACTTATACATCATTCAGAAGTGAGGCGCCCGAATCATCTAGAGTAGTGGTTAATGAGTACATCAAAAGGGTCGGTGCCTGATTAACATGATCCTGTTTGCACCGCTGCTGATACACATATGACTGCACTCGATACTGACACCCTTATTAATGAGGGGGGGAAAGATTTTGATCAACTATAAGAATATACGGTATGCAAAGCTTCCAAGTATTGTGGCGGCTTTTATCTCGAATGGTTTCCTCCATGTGCGACTCATTCTACTTTACCTCCTTTTTACGGCATTCTTGGCTGCTAGCAGTCATATGCACCAGTGGCAATGCCTATCTACACAGCGACGGTATTAATCAAGCCCTGTGAAACGCCTCATCCACACGCCTATGATCGATCTTTCATCAGTCACACATACGGGATGTTCGGGCCCAGGCCCTGGTCAGCAAATTATAGCATTAGACTAATTGGCAGGCATGTCGGCGCCTTCACCCGAACAGCGTTCGAAAGAATGTTCCACAGGGTGTCAAAGAAAGATACTGTTACCAATCCGAAGGCTCGATAAGTAGGCGCTTTTAAAACCCATATAGCCAGACAAAAGCATGCATAGCAATCACAAATCCAAGAATCTGTCAATAACCCGAGGCAGAGTGGTATACGAGAACAAGGACGCAATCAACCATGCAAGAGCTTGTATTATACGTTCAGAGGGCCGGCTTATATGTCGGATATCTGCGAGTCTTAAGGTATTCACTGTGTAGATATATACATTCTGCCACTCTGCCCTCTATAGTATTTATTAAATCAGCCGCTGCACCTACACATTAGTCCCAGCTATTAATATCCCCTAGAGATGAATATACACAGCACGTTAAGAAAATACAAGCTAAGAAACAAATAGCCACGTCAGCGTTCCGTAAGCAATTGCTCCAGCCTTAATCAAGGGTTGGTAAGCTTTTGGCCTCGCTCATATATGTCCCTGCGTAAATCTCCCTGGTCGAGTCCAACTGCTTTTTTCATTGTTGAATCAAAAATCTTCCTGTGGCCAATCGCATTAAGGAACCAAATCAGTACGGCGTTTGTACCCTTCCAAATATAGCTGGTCTGGGGCTTCAAAAGTTCATCCACAACCTGCCTTGCAAAGGCTTGCGGGCGAATAGATGACTTAGCATGGTCGATAGACCTCTGCCTAACATTTGCTTCAACTTCAGCGTACAAACTATCAGCTCCGAAGCTGATATTGTCTGCAGACATGAGCCCTGTGGAGACCTCGCCCATGAAGACGGTAACGACCCGAAGTCCCAGCGGTTCCACTTCCAGTCGCAAAGTGTCCGAGTATGAGGTAACAGCTGCCTTGGAGGCGTTGTATGCCGACGCAAATAAAAAGGGGATGCGCGAGACGACAGATGCCACGTTGACAATAGTAGGAGATTGGCGAGATCCATGAACAGCAGCAATCAGCAGGGGTGTAAATGTCTGAACCACGTCGAACAAGCCGAAGACGTTGGTGTCAAACATCTGTCGGACACGAGCACCATCAGCCTCAACCGATGGAGCCTCATACACTGCCATGAGTTAGAGAGACCGCAGCTAGATACTAAGTGAAGTTGGAAAAGAGCGGCAGGCTTACTGGTACCGGCGTTGTTGAACAGAATGTCCAGTTTGCCTCCAGTACGGTTGAGAATCTCATCTTTTAGACCTTTGATACTATCCCGTGACGTAACATCTAGAGTGAAGATCTCGACGCCTGCTGACTCCAGGTTGGTCATAGACGTCAGTGATCGGGCGGTTGCGAACACACGAAAGCCCCTGGAGAAAAATTCCAGTGCTAAGGCATTACCTGCCCCGCCTTGTGAGCACCTTATTTCGACCATAGAATTAGCATACAACGTCGAAAGCGAACGGCAGGAGTCAACATACCCTGTGATGAGAATCGATCGTTTCGTAGAAGATACCATGCTGATTGTGTATTATAGACATCAAACTTGGAATAGCATCATAGAGCAACTGTGAACGGGAAATGATGCATTTTAAAAGGAAAAACAAAGAATCGCTAGCTGGGACTAGTATGAAAAAGACAAGTTTATGTGGGTCTCCATCTAAACATGGAGTTACATAATGTGTCCGAGGATGAATAATCCCATCACCGGCGGGAAAATGTGACTGATTAGTTGACAAAGCTAATAACATAATCACTAGGTGAGGCGCAAGCGTCGACGAGACACGGACTTCGAACGGCACCTCACGGCCAACTGCTGTCAATATTCACCAATTTAGTCACATATCGTTGATGCCTCAGCATTGGTACGATGCTAAGAGTCGCACATGATCGCGGTTGGGCATAACTTGTGTTGACGAGAGATCGAGTCTCTAATTGTATAAGGCTTTCGAACGGTCATATATATATAAACATCCATACGCATTACCATCCGAAACTTCGATCATCACGACGCACGTCAAGGCTGTGATAAGCCAAATCGTCATGACAAAGTGAGAAAACTCAAGAGTGAGGTCTAGCTGAGTTAATTTATATAAATTGCAATATCTACAAATGCTTAGAGACATCTTGTTATGTAGAGCAGCAGACCGGTCGTCCTTCCAGTCCAAGCTTTGCCTCCAAAACCAGATGTTATCATCGTTAGAATAATACTACACTCTCAGTGGATTTCTTTAACACTAGGACCTCTTCCATCTTCAAATAAATTTGCACCATAACATATACAATATATTAGGAAAATAATTAAAGCGTCGCACCGGAACTAGTCAGATCGAGCCCAAAGACTCGAAAGCAAATAACCTCGCATCAGCAAGGGCGGCGACTCGATGAGGTACTGATGTCTGCTGATACTCCTCACTCATAATGGTATTCCTAAATACCCCAATGTTCTCGTACTTCACGAGAGCTACCTCATCCCATTCCTCATCTTGCAAACCTAGCACTCTGCCCACCATCGTGCCTGTAAATGGAACCCGGGTGCCAGCCATTGTTGGAAGCGCAAAAAAAGTAGGGACATAACGGTATTGTCACGCCTCCTGACCAGTACAAGGCGGTAATGATAGAATGTCGGGTGAGCTAGAAGGATCGTATATCGCAATCGGCCGGAATTTCAGAAGATTCAGCATATAAATAGGTTTATTGGGATCGATGGAAGCAACGGGTTTCTCGGCCGCTAAGGCGTCCGTGAGCTCCTGGTAGACCATTGGCAAAATTGTGGCTTAGACAGCATTCAATAGTGAGGATGAAATTAATTTCCTTACTTCCTTATCTCTGATGCTTATGACCGACTTTATAGTCTCGTAAAGCCTATTGTCGTCATGCCGATTTTAAATCTCGATTATTGATGATAAATTTGAGCTAACCTGATTTACGTAATACTCGGCATATGACGTAAAAACTTGTATAACCTTGAGATAATCTTATCCAAAAGTTTGCTAATAACGTAGAACTAGCTAATTATTTAAATATATACAAACAGTTTACCAACCATTTTACTTTTTAGACTTATCTACTTAGACAGGATTCGAACCTGCGATACTAACATCGAAAGACTCTCCTTAACTAGATGCTCGGTAAGAAGACCCCGCAAAGGGTCTTTGATTTGGATGAAGCAGAAGTAATCTGGATGCCGCTGAGAGCCTACCTTCGTAACTAGCACATTATTTAGACAAGAGATGGAAGGTAGACCCAACATCGCGTCAGGAATATCCCAAGAGGTCGCCCGGATGATCTAAACCTTCGAATATTTGACCTTACTCTAATACCAGAAATCATACACAATGAAAGGTAATGTCCACACTAGCTTACAAGACAGCAACGCTGACTGATATAATTCACAGCTACATCGCAATACGCACTTAACGCACGCTTCATATCTGAACAAAGCTTAGCAAAACATACTTCTCCTTTACTGAATAAATAAAATGCCTACCTTCGTTGATGTTGACCTAATTCCAATCTTCCTCTGCTATACACAACCGCACAGCTCCATAAGCACACAACCATATACACACACAATCCCTTATATATTATGGAACCGTAACGTTAATTTCAATTCTATCTACAAAATTCCCATTATTTGGACCACGATATACTACTATAACCAGGCTTAAAATACATACAAAGATGCAGTTTATATGAACTATCACAAGTTACTATAACTACCTAACTGAAAAACAACTATGCGAAGTGAAACTTATAGTACACCTTGCCTCTGATCCTCATGGACTTTGAGCACGAAGCCAACATTCTCAGGCTGTACCCTCTCCCAGAGGCTACCAAGCCCCAACTTCCTTCCTCGCTCGTCCTCCCGTCTGAACCACTCCTCGACACTCTTGATACGACCGGGGTGGATTTCATCCAGAATCTTATAGTCTTTCTGGATTAAACCCTTATTTCCGGCCGAGTAACGCCACAGATTCCACCATCCTGTGAAGTTGTCTCGATACTTCATGGTTGCTGGATCCTTGGGATCAGCGTTATAACCTGTTGGGAGCTCAGCAACAGGGACAGTTGCAAAATAATCTTCAAAGCTTGTATCAATGTATCTTGCTGGCTTGCCTGTGACTTTCGCAAAAGCCCTCGCGACCTCTGAGTATGTTGCATGTTCTATAGCGACGTCGAGATCCATCCCATTCGCCCGGTCGGGGTGGTCAAACAGCCACTTGACATAGTATCCGCAGTCGTCAAGGGCGACCTCGGGCACAGCTCCATCCCCCAGAGGTACCCGCCAGGTGACGACGCCGTCTTCGACCAAGGGCGGCATGGGCGTATAGGCATGAATGGCCATTTCCATGTATGGGCCGGTTGTAAATAGAGCGGCTCGCATGCCATGCTGGTGAGCGACCTGGGCATTCTGGAGCATAATCCATTCGCCGACTCTCCCCTTCGCGTCGTAATGACCCCCACGGAACTTTGGGTCATACCCACCCAGCTTGTAAGCGTAAACGAGGTTGCTGTAGACGTAGAACTTGACCCCCTCTTCAATGGCAAGCTCGTAGGCACGGATGGACCAGTAGATCTCGGTTTTCTCTCCGCAGTTAAACCCATCGATGTTAACAAATGCGCCCCAGGCTCCGCGGAAGAGCTCCCTAAGAGCTTCTTCCGACGCGAACGTGCCAACAACAGGCTCCACGTCACCAGCAGAGCCATAAGACCGCAGTTCCCGGAAACGTGCACTGTCCGGGTCGCGTGTCAGAGCCCGAACCTTGTAGTCACCAGACTTGACCAAGTCCCTGACAACGGGCATGCCCTGGGCGCCGGTTCCGCCGATAACAGCAATAATTCGGGTGTCCATTTTGAGTTGAATATAATGATCTAGTATTTGATGTTGGTGCGAGACGATTTGTGTGCCGATAGATGTTTACTTGAGATGAGAGCAATTATATCGAGAAACGCGTGGACAAGATGGGAATTTATACCCAATAAAACAAAAGTAATTACCAATCGCATGTGTCTACGTGTGCTGTTTCGTTGTACCAAGTGTACTCTCCTTGGAAAGGCATTGCAATCAAATGAAGACTTGGCAGTGACGAAGATGTCTTACGTTACATATGATAGCGTCACAGCGCAATGATTGCGTAAAAGCCGGGTCAAGGACGTCACGTAATAGTTCAGGGTGGGTTTGTCATCCTATTAAAATAATCAGCATCCCACCATTGAAAGCGATTAGTGCAATTCCATAGCGAGATCCTTCATAATTCCATTTGAGTGAGAAAGAATTAAGTAAGTCAGAGAGACACTGATAGGACTGATGAAAAAAATGTAAGCCTTTTTAGCTTGCCCAAACCTCGAAGGGCGACGAACATGGCGTAGGCCTGAGCTTGGACGCAATACGTAAATCAACCTGCGGAGGATGTGTAATAGTATATCTATCGGCCACTAGAATGATTAGTTATATAATGTAGCCTATATGTTTCCATGTTAGGGCGCATCTATGGACAGACTGATAATGCGGCTACTCATACTAGTCACCAGAATACGTCACTAAAAAGCTCTACTAGAATGCCTTGTCTAATAGAAGACAACTTGCACTTAATCTTTCTACTTGGTCATAGGAGACCGGTTACCCACGAGTTCTGTTAATGCTTTTTCGGAACGTGTAGAGAAGCTTGCAATCAAGCTTAAGTTATGCCTACTCCGTACGTAAGCATATACCTGGCATTAACTCTCTGATCACCATAGAGGACACGCTAGCTTCCAACTTTGCTGCTGAACGTGGCCGATATATCACACACTGGTCTTGACACCATGTACAAGAGGTATGGCTCTTCCGATGACAACAGCACTCCGAGTTTCAAAACTATTAGATAAGGCGCTTTTGCCACTGATACAATCTACGACGGCCTCAGACTTTTCCGGGGATGGCCTACTTCCATGATACCAGAGTCAGAAATCTTTCCTCCAGTTATAGATCCTGAAGGCGCTTTCGGGGAGGAGGCGGGGTTTGTGAAGAACTAGAGATCTGATGAGAAGTCGTCGGCGCTTGTGCCCGATGTACCTCGTCCGCACCTCGATGGTTGAGATCACCGTCGTTCTCTTGTGATCTTTGCCTTGCGGGTCTTTATCTGAAACGCTTCTTGGTGTGTTGTTACATGCTAATCTACTCTTGATCGTGTTCCGCACTTGAATGTAGTTCTGCAATAATCACAGGTCAACCCATCTGGTGGCACGTCAGTCTTAAGCCATACGCTTATTGTGTTTCCAGACCTTGTCGGGTGTATTCTGCGGCCTTGGTGGATTACCCATATTATGTATTATTCATCACTCACGTAATTGCTCCGACGGGGGCACTCGGCCGGATGAATGACATAAAGGCTCCCCGCCTCCCCCGTTGCCTTCCACGCTTCTTGTTCTTTTCGTCGGGACTCTTACTTTCTCCCCAGAACTACTTTCTCCAAGCCGCAGACATGCGTAACTCGGCATCTCCATCGGCTGGTAAGCGCCGGCTTCATGATGCCGGGGATATCGATGTATGTAACCATCTTGTACCAGTCTCGGGCCCCAACATTTTGCCATGCCCCACCAACTCGCTGCAGTGCATTGCTTTTTCTGACTGGGATGTTGATCTGCAGGCACGGCGTGAGCGGAATCGCAAAGCTCAAACCGAATTCCGTCGGCGCCGACAAGTAGCTGAAAGGTCGAGAGACCTTCGACTACAGCTACTCGAGGATGTCGTCGGGGAAATGGCCACAATCCTCACCGACTTTTGTGACGAACTGCTCAGGAATGAGGCTGCGGCAAAAGACCCCAATCTGGTGGCTTGTCTCCGGCGCTCATCAGCTCGGGTCATTGCTCTGGTTAAGACTGTGCATCCGGAGGAGACGGTGGATGCCACAGCGACGATACATATTTCAAGGTCTTCTCATAGCCCCGGCACTGGTCGCTCGATCGAATCCATATTAGAAGACACCTCGGAACGTCGCGACGAGCTATGCCACTCAGAACAAGCTGATAATAGCGGCCCTTATGTGTCCTCCAATGACAGCCCACCTGCAACCTCGATGGAACATGAAAGAGCAGTTCCTGGGTGGTCTCTGTATTTAGCGGAGATGGCTCAATCCGACAGTCCTCGTGGCTATGATTTCGACAGTAGGGGGAGAGCGAACTTAGACCTCCAGCCAGTCCAGCGGCTTCCCCCTTGGATCCCCTCCTCCTCGCTGCGGGTCGTTCCTTTCCCTCTTCGCCTGGTCAAAACCACTTTAGCTCAAGCATACCTGTTCCTCCGCGGTGATCTCCACATATCTAGCGAGGATATCCATCGATCTTTTGGAAACACATTAAGACTGCGCACCCGTGAACAGCTTATCTCTCACTTGCATGGGCTGCTCGGGCGAAGAATCGACGACTTATCTGAAGCGGCAGGGATGGCCGGTACCTTCACCCACCTAGTATCTGCAGAGAGGCCGACCACAGATGGTACTTCTTCCCATGCCGGTACCGCTTGGGACTTGGACACCGACGGGATTCTAAATTTGCTATACAGTGAAATACAAGCGGATGCATTCCTCACGGCGTTTGGTGTCTACAAGGAACTCAATCACCTGGGAGCCAGGATGCTTGATCCGGAAACCATGGAAATTAATATTAGTGGCGTTGGATTATCGACTTCCCACCACACGGAAGGAGAGCTACCAGGGACTGGTCCATCTAAACGAAACTGCACAAAACGTAACCCGGCACATCTAACCGTGCGGCTGAATGTATCGCGTCTGGCTAGTAGTCTTACTAACGTAGCTGTATGCCTAACAAGAGGTCCAGTGTATCCTCGACATGAGCTAGCCAAGGCGGTAGAGGCGTCAGTGATACTGGTGCAAGGTGGTGAAACGACATGCTGATGTTGAGAGGTGTTATATCAATTGATAACTCAAGTATATATCTGCGAATGCGCAGGTGTATAGAGTTCTACCCAAACTACCAGGAGAAACGTGATCCTTGCCATTTAGATTGACCCGCTTCTATACATAGCTCTGAGTTTGGTCGAGTACCGGCGAGCTACTATTGTGAAATGAATGGGCCCTTCTACCAGACTGTGTCGTTATGCAGGCTCAACGAGGCGTACCCAACTTATATAACTGGTCAGTATGGTTAGGTTGAGCCCGGTATCTGCTTGAGGTTTGGGACAAGTTAAAGATAAGGCACGCAATATCTTGATGCATAGTTATGAAATACGCTATGATGCCCTGAATGACAGCAAGAAGTTGCCATTGCTTTGAAGGGAGGGGTTACTCCTGTACCTTGAAGGCCGGGCATGGGCACGTAATCAGAACCCGCGAATAATGCCAAAAGTTTTGTACCCAGGACATGTTTTCCTTCCCAGCCATTGTATCTGGGCATAGGATGGATTGGATGAGTATGATCATCCTCGGGGTAGAGAAATTCGACTTAATTACATTAATGAACTTTATGTCTGAAATTGCGATATTTACTCATGATAAGATAGTTCTAAAATTTATTATCTATAGAAGAGAAAGAGAATAGAGTTTAATAATAATAAAGCTACCAGAGTCTGATAACTTAATATAATAAATATAAAAGCTTAAAAATATAGCTTTTTCTAATCTATCTAAGATATAACTATATAGTAGGAAAATTCTATAAACCTTTATATAGATAAATTACTTAGTATCAGAATAGCAGCTTATTGAATAACTATTAAAGCTATCTCTTTTACCTGGCTTCCTTTGTTTGATGCCTAAGGCTAGGTCACTATAATTATATACAGCTATCCAGAAGAGCAAGTAAGGCAGTATAATACGAAGAGAGGAAGGGTTAGAGGAGATAGCATTAATAGAAATGCTTTTAAGCTTTTCAAAACACAGTGAAATTATTTTCTACATCCTTACAAAGATTTGCGCTTCAAGCGCTTAACATCCCACTAAGTCAGCTGCCCTGGGTCAACGCATCAAGAATCGACTTTTATGCCCCTTCTGATGAAGTGAAGTGCTTGCTAAATCAAGAACCAGATTATTCAGAGTCAAGGCCCAAGTGCGCTATTCGAAACAGTTTCTTTGTCGTAAGCTTACTAGCATTTGAGAAAGCTCCCTTAGGAACATATAAGCTCAGGTGCATAATCGAGTTATAAATTTGATATGCCAAGGTACAAGAATGAAATGCGACACCTAACGGAGCTCATGCCACACCAACTCTTCGTCGTTGACAAATTCTTCAACGAACTTTCTATGATGCCAAAGTAGAAAGAACTTGAACTGATCTCGCCACTCGCCCCAGTGCTTCCAAGCCAAGTCAGGGTACTTCTTGGGATTCCAAACCCATTCCGAACTGGGGCATTCCAGACGTATCTCGCCCTCCCATCCGAGCCGAACCATTTCCCATTGCTGTACTTTACTGTGTGATTCTAGCCACCCAAACTCTCCTAATCCTATTCTTAGTAGATGTCTTTTATTATTGAAGCTTGGCCAGCAGCTGGACAGTCTCGACAGTCCCGTTTTCTGCCTCTGTTTCATAAGGTCGAGTCCGTACAACATTTTCGCCTGGTAAAATTTATGATCGAGAAAGATGGCCAAGTAAGAAGGATATAGTTTCGGCGTGGCCGTCTTCCCCAGCGGCCTCCAAGGCTTGTGTGAATATCCCTTGCCAACATCTTGTTCGTTCGCGTTTCAGGGAGAGCGTTGATTGTTATATCAACATGCCAGCTCAGAGAGTTAAAATCCACAAGTGGTCGTCTTGTCAGCTCCGCTATCCCATGGAAAAGTGCCAAGACAATATGAGCCCTTCGGTATTTTGCCGCCGCGGGGGTAAAGAGCATCTTTCACGACATGTTCCTTTCATTAAAACAAGTACCTTCCAAGATTATCTCGGAAATGAAGCTACACTTGTTCACGGGAAATTCTTCTGCATGAGAAACTTCACATTTCTGGCATGAACTGTCATCGAGCTGCCTCCAAAGCTGTTCTATGTTGCACAAGATTATGCCAGCCGTCGATTGCTTCAGTACCGATGGCCAAATGCGTTAGTTTCTCATAACTTATCGGTGCAGCATGCTATAGTGGCAAGAACAGGTTATCTTCGGCATCCCGATCTACCCAGTGCTTTGCGGAAGAGAAGCGCGAAAATGTCATTGTACCGATTGACAATGGTAGGCAAAGCATGCAACGAGGAATGGGTTTCGGAGTACTGAGTCGGGGCCCACTTGTCAAATTGGCCGGGTTAGATAAATTAGCTATTTTTCGGCATCCGTAGAAAAAGACATCCTTTTCACCCTTCTTATGAAAGATGCGTCTTTTGCAACGTTACGGCGGCTACGACAGGTCAATTGACTAGCTGTAAACGTGAACCATTTGATCAAATGAGAATACACACACAACTCAAAATCTCCTTTTCATGGCTGTTGTGGAAGGTTGTTTGGTTGGCAGTCTGCATTTCAAGCTCGCTAACAGCTGTGGTGTTGTTCGCTATTCCCCCAACACAGTACCCCATACTTCACGTTCCAAACTTGCTCTCAGAATCAATAAAATAGTGATTATTGACGTGTTTTCCGAAGGGGTATGCAAGATAGAGACCACGGTGCTGAAGCACATTCTGCTTCTCTGAAGTCCTTTTTAGCCCTTGCTAACTTGGACTTAGCTCCCGTTATTCCTGTCATGAAGTGGTCGGAGGAGAGTGATGTGATACAGAGGGCCAACGGTACTGATGCCGGCCTGGGTGCGTCCGTGTGGACTCGTGATGACGAGCAAGCTACACGCATCGCTGGCCAGCTACAAGCTGGCAATGTATGGATCAATACCCATGCAGAAATCGAACCAAATACTCCTTTCTCAGGCCACAAACAGAGTGGGCTTAGAGTGGAGCATTCCGTGGAAGGTCTCAAGGCGTATTGCAACGTCCGATCCGTCTTCCGAAAACCATTTTAGGGTGTACTAGGGTATTTTTCCTGTATGGCGTAACTACTTTGAAGGCATTGATGGAAAAGGACCCAACTGATCCACCTTCAAAGGAGACATTCAGTGAGGATTCTCGAGCCATGATAGTAAGAGGGAGTGTGACAATCGCAACGACCGTGACCACGACACTATTCCGCCTGATAAAGAACCCGAAAATCCTGCACAAGGCGCAGACTCAAGTATTCGGGCTACGCCTCCAGATCTGTCCATCGAGTTCTCAAAGAGAGTGCAAGATTAATTAAATCTAAATTCATTGTTCTCAAGCCTTCTGAGTTTCTTTAAGTATGTCGACGTTGCCTTAGATTTCATCCAGATGTACGATATCTATGACTTTGCCCAGGCCACTTTGATTTTTAACTCACTTATAGATGGCTACCCGTTTCGACTCAAAATTTATGACCAAATCTTTCCAGTCTTGTTACGTATTAATCTGCAGGATGCCCCTGGCTACAAATCACTTAAGAGAGAGTAGGTATGAACGGAGCTATGGTGATGCATTGCATCCTATCCTGAACAATTCATTCTGCCTGCTCATAGCACAGTGACCACAAGATGAGCGGGAAAACCTTTCGACACTGTAGGGACCAGACTTTTGCTCTGGCTAGAAAATATATTCTTCCTTTAACCCCAATCTATCTTACCAATCGAACGCTGTTATAAATCGAGCCATAAATGCTGCTCAGGGACCAAAAACTACCAGGCTGAGTGGCTTTCCGTGTCCGCCGGCACGGTCCGTCAAACTAATCTCCCCGTTTCTTTCAATCCTTTTTACTAGCGCCGAAGGCTGCTGCTGCCGCCTCCTTGTCAGCAGCCAACAGCTTCGCTATAGCTGGCCGGTTGATGACGCGGGCCCACCAAGCACTCACGGCGGTACGACTGTTGATAATGTCCCCATACCCACATGCGAATAGCCTTTGAATGAGAGGGATGTAGTTAATGTCTGTGAGCGTGAACTCTTTTCCAGCCATGTAGTTCTTGTGCTGTAAGAGGCGCTCTGCAACATCCAAAAACGACTCGACCGACTTCAGAGCGTCCGCTACAACAGCCTCGTTGGGGGGCAGCCCCATGAATTTCTTGGCGAATTTCTCAAACCCGATCCGACCTGCAGGCTCCGCAAAGTAAATCATTTCCTCTGACTCGGCCTGATCGAACAATGCCATGCCTTCAGCGTCGGAAGCTGAGGGAAGAAGTGGAATGGAGTACTTTCTCGCCAGGTATTTGCAGATGGCACGGCTCTCATAGACAGTAAATCCATCGGGGAAAGTGATTGAGGGAATTTTACCCCATGGGTGGCGTTTAATGTTTTCAGGAGACTATGTGCATCAGTGTTAGTTCAATGTGATTAAAGTCCTAAGCAGTTTTATTAAATCAAGAAGAAAATCCTTCTGAAGGTTTTATAACTTCATCCACTCCCGAGTATGAAGACTATGAACGAACCTTTTGCTCTCCTTTTGCCAGGTTCAGAAGCACAAGTTCGTAATCTGTAAAGCCACCTTCGGCGAGAGTCAGGCGCACGCGGTCGGTGTTGGTAGACCCACGAGCCCCGTACAGAGTGAAAGCTGGCATTTTCGACGTGTGAAGAGATCTAGACACGGATCTGAGTTGATATGGGAGTCTCGACATTGAATTTGAACGCCGGTTTATCTTAAAATGTGAGGACAGCTCCTCACTATATAAAGATCAAACGTCACTCGAAAGTCATTCAAACTGGCATAACTGCAGCGACACATGTGATTGGCGGATTCGCTCTCTCTGCCCAATAAAGCTAGCGCCAATGCCAGCAAGATTCTTGCTGACAAAAATGTGGTCAGAATCTGTTCGCTTGTGGCTCGTGCGTGGCTCATTGGCCAGCGAGGTAATCTGATTGGCCTGGTCGGAATTTACCACGAATGAAGATGGCGGGGGATAACTGCACGTGATATCGTGTCGGTCTTTCGCGTTTCCGGTCGGGTTCCGGCGATGGATTTAGCTGCACTGTCTGATTCGCTTGCTCGGATTTCTTGCTTGCCACGGCTCTCCTCGCGCCTCAAGTCCGTTACGCGACAAGTGCAGGCATCCCTCTCTCTCCCCTGACTATGGCTGGAACCCTCGTCCCATCTGGTCGGAGCACCAAAGGGAGAACCAAGGTGAAGACTGGTTGCGTAACCTGCAGGTCAGTTACCCCCACAGTTCACCAATCTTGTTGGCCTGCACCCTATACAGGTCTAGGTGTGAACTGGTTATGCTCAATCTCAAATAGAATTAGGAAGGTCAAATGCGACGAGAAGAAGCCATCTTGCCAAAAATGTACCAGTACAGGCCGCAATTGTGACGGTTACGAGTCCCCGTTTAGACTCCACGTTCACAACAATCAACTCACCAAAAATGCTAATAACGTCTATGCTCCTGGCATCAAGTTGCGGGTTGGTTTACAAACCATGCGTTGTACCCCAAATGCACTGAGCCCTGAGGGCATCAACCTTCTCTGCCGCTATTTCTCAACTAAAACCATATTCAATGTGCCCTTGGACTGTAATGAGGAAGCAAAGCAAGTTCTTCAAGCTAGCCTGACTGATACTCCGATACGTCACGCAGTTATGTCTCTCAAGGCTCTTCGGGAAGAGCTTGAATCATCTGGAGATAGAAATCCAGCTTCTGTCGGACGGAGAACCCCCAGTTGCGATTATGGCCTGCAGCAGTATAGCGTGGCATTGGCTGGTCTTGCATCAAAACTGTCGTCCTCAAGCTCGAGCGAGTTGAAGACAGCATTACTTTGCTGTCAAGTCTTCATCAGCATTGAGCAAGTACGGGGCAATTTCGCTGCCATGGCACTACACATTGTTCGAGGACTTGGCATCATGCGGGAGTTCCGAGCCAGGCCCAGCTTTACCATCACGAATGAACTATTGCCAGCATACCGTAGCCAATTACCTTTCCTGGACGTTTTCATCGTCAAGCTTTTTGCTGCACCATGTAAGTTCGCGGAAGCCGCAGAAGCAGCCGACGGGAAAGTGATGGTGCCGGTCGGGTGCTCGACATTGGAGTGCCGAGATCATCGCAGAATCGCGCCCAACATGCGTACAAAGCTGGTACATATTGCTACATCAACACTCGATTTTCTGGCCAAAGTGTCGCAAATTGAGTCAATTGGAGCCGCTCTTCGGCTTGTACCTGAAAAGGCGAGTCTCCTGGACTCCTTGGACTCATGGCTTCGTGATCTTGAGCTCGTTCAGATGAATACATCGGATCCCGAGTCTATTTCAGTCTCCTTCCTGCGCTTTTTCTATTCGATACTGAGAATCGTGCTGTTGGGGGCATTGGAGTCGCTATCACCAGATCTTTATGCCAAGCTGCAAACTGAAAACGGTGGATTACAAGAGGTGGCTGATGATATTACCGAAAAAGTGAGGCTCTATAAATTAACAGCGGGATGAGTACAGAGAGCCGAGAGCAATTACGAGTGTGTACAATTAGTCGAATCATTTTAATAGCTAAATACCCAATATCATTCTTTCGAACTCAATCAATACTAGACCATCTTACAAATCAAAGCGCGGCGATTATTACTTCCTGAAATTTTCAGCAGCAAGTAAAACCCGCTTAGGGGCGTGTGACGGTGTGAGATTGCGTGCCATCCCCAATCGTAGTATGTTGAGCGAACGGACCAATCAGAGGTTACTCCATAAAGAGCCACACCAACATGCCAAAATCAAGACCATCAAATATATAAACAAGTCTTCAACCGAAAGGCTCTTCAACTTCGACAACTTTGACGCCCATCTTCCTTTTCTAACAAGCTACGACAAGTACAAAAATTCAACATTACCTTCCTTCTGCTTTCAAACGGAGAAACCAAATAGAACCTACTATCATGCATTTCCTCCTCCTTGGTGCCACTGGCCGCACCGGCAAATGCGTTGTAGCCGACTTGCTTTCTCAAGGTCACACAGCTGTCGCCCTCGTACGCAACTCTAGCAGTCTTCCCACCGATCCCAACCTAACCATCGTCACTGGTTCGCCACTCTCAAAGGATGACATCCGCACAGCTGTTACTGCCTCGCCTGGTCTATCACCCGATGCTGCCATCATGACACTTAACACGGTCCGCAAATCTGACTCCCCGTTCGCGGCTCAATTATCACCTCCTCGCTTCTTGGCCGACTCATGTGCCAATGCTTGCGAGGTTCTAGAACAAGCCGGCATTTCTCGCGTTGTGGTCATGTCGACGGCAGGCGTCGGGAGTTCATGGGCAAAACTGCCATGGATAAGCAAGGCATTCATGGGGTGGACTAATATCAAATACGCCCTCGAGGATCACAACCTCGTAGATGTGGAGATTCGGAAGACGCATATGGATTGGACTCTGGTGCGAGCTGTCAGGTTGGAATTCAATGACCTGAAGTCACCCAATGACAAGACCAAGGACGTGGAAACACTAGGAAGTGCGGGCGACGGGATGACAGTATCCGACAGCGTTCATATTACTAGTGTGTCGAGATTCCTGGTCAAGGTTGCAGTCGAAGGGCTATTTGTCAAAGAAGCTGTCGTTGTGAGAAATTGACGTGGTGATGAAAGTCGATGTATTCTCCGCATGGACTTGATTAGCAGGGATGTTTATTGATTTAAGTTCCTGGACTCATTTCCAAATTCTTAATACAATGTACTCTTGCTAGCTTCCTGTTGATATCTCTCGCCGTGCATTCGCACTCTGCATCATCCATGGTATTGTGGACGAGGCAAAACTTGATAAATCACCCGAGATATGCGGTAATCCAATGGAACACTAGCACAAGAACTCTCCCTTAGTAAGGTTGGAAGTTGAGCCACCCCCTGTGCCTGGTACCCATACGCTGTTCGGTAAAGAAGGCCGTCTCATGATCAACCTCTTTGGGTTTGACAGCCATCACCCTGGGCCCTGACAACAGTGTCAATAATGAGCTGGCTCTAGCAGCATTCACCAAAGCAGACGAACCAATAGGCTGCCTCGTCAATCGTCTCGCTCACAAAAAGAAGGTTATGATTTTGCAAAATGCACACCTTGTCCTGGGGATTGAGGGTAGCAGCAATGTTTCTTCCTTCCTCTGAGGAAAGCATTCTAGACATACTACCTCATATTGCAGAGAGGTGGCCGACGGTTGAAAGACACGCGAGTGTTTAAAGGCTACTGGCTCGCCGTGTGACTGACTCAGTGCGGCCTTGAGCTACCTCCCCAAATAGGGAGAGACCATGGCCCAGGGTTATGGGCCTAGCTACACAGTCCGATAATATGACACAGGATAGTGGAAACCTGGGTCACCAAGCGGAGGTGTGGGATGCGGCCATGGTATCCTTCTTGAATGAGCCATTTGACTTCGGTAGAATTAATTGGGTGACCGTGGAATGGGATAGCTCGGATCTACTGGATCTAACGTAGGCTAGACGCTATTCATTGTGTTGAGATGTCTGGTTTGGAATCTGTCATTGACGTTTTAAGTTTCTACTCAAACTCTCGTCCGTAGGTTAAACGCAGCCATTGTGCAGGTATTACAGTCCGTCGAGACAGATGCTCCGAGATTCGGCGTGGGCCCGAACGGATCTTGATGTGATGAAGCTTGGTTGTATTGCCCAATACCTTTGAGTATATTACAAAGTACAAAAGCCGCCTCCATACAGATAACCCTGTGAATCATGTGCCAGGTCCCCCAACCCCCAGTTCAACCCCGGGACCACACCTCCGGCTAGCTGCAAGGCCATGATTGAATTAGGCGATTACCGAGCATCTGGCTGCTGGGAAAATGCTCAAACTATAAACTCCTCTCACACTGCTGTCCATAAATAGTAGTCTTTTCCCAGGTTTTTCTCATCCTCTCCCGTCCTTACTTACAGATCATTAAAGACCTGCAAGTCTATTGTGCAAGCAGGTCCCAATCCCACTGGCTGCGACAATGTCTGGAAAGCCTCAAATAGCGGGCAACCATGCGTACGAGAAAGAACGCATCATAGACGAAGCTGAGAATGTGTCATATTTCGCAAACCTATCCCCAGACGATGCACAGTGGCTCGCTCACTTCCCTGAGGCACGCAAGATTGCGGTCGTCCGAAAAGTGAGTATCTACCATCTACAATTTAGGTTTCGGCGAAATATTTATACTTTACTGACTTACTATTTCCACTTGCAGGTCGACTGTCGACTTATACCTCTTCTAACTCTAGTCTATCTTTTCTCATTCATTGATCGGGCCAACATTGGTACGTGCAATGAGTGGGGAATATTGGTTCCGTTTCTAATCGTCATTACTTAGGAAATGCCAATATTGAGGGCTTTTCCGAGACGCTCAAGCTCAGCAGTACACAATTCAACATTGCGTTGTCCATATTCTTTGTACCTTATGTGCTTTTAGGTATGCTGAACTATGCACGAATCTGTTCGATCCATCGACTCTAACACACAATCTTCAGAGGTACCAAGTAATTATTTTCTCAACAAGTTCAAAAGACCATCGCGCTACATTGGAAGCATAATTGTTGCTTGGGGCACCATGACGACAATGCTGGGGTTAGTGAACAATTTCGGTGCCCTCGTTGCGGTTCGCTTCTTGTACGTTTCGCCTTGGCTCTAGGCTCTACTTCTCTGGCGAAACTAAGAATCTCTCCATCTAGGCTTGGTATCGCCGAGGCCGGCTTTTTCCCCGGAGCTGTTCTCATCATCTCCAAGTGGTATGTGCGAAACGAGATACAGACCAGAATCGCCCTCTTCTACACAGCTAGTGCCCTTGCGGGTGCGTTCTCGGGTGTCCTCGCTTTTGGAATTGCCAAGATGAACGGAGTTGGCAATTTCGAAGGCTGGCGATGGATTTTTATACTTGAAGGTATTGCAACTGTGCTTGCCGGCTTTGTCACCTTCGTTTGTCTCATCGATTCTCCAGCCTCATCGACCAGGTGGCTTGATGCCGACGAAATCAAATTCCTTGAGCTCCGGCAGATCGCGCAAAACGGGCACAAGACCATCGAGACGAACAAGAAAGGCGTAGACTGGAAGGTGTTGCGCTCAGTGATCCTCGACTGGCAGATCTATCTTCAGGCTCTCATTTACTGGTCCAACACGATCCCCAATAATGCGCTCAAATTTACCATGCCGAGAATTATTAAGAATATGGGCTACAGCTCCTCAAACGCACAACTTCTCACGGTCCCGGCCTATTTTGCTGGCGCCATTAGTGCATACCTTTCTGCCATTCTTGCAGACAAATTCACCTGGAGGATGCCATTTATTGTCGTGCCTCAACTCTTAGTTGTCTGTGCCTATGGCATCTTGTTTTCGTTGGCATCCAAGGTTAAGGAAAATATCGCTATTTGCTTCTTTGCCGTCATCCTTGCTTGCATTGGTCTGTATCCAATCAGCCCGGGAGGTAACGCTTGGACGGTAAACAATCTCGGTGGCTCTACCAAGCGAGCTATGGGAATTGCCTATATGATATGCCTCGGTAACATTGGCGGCATCGTCGGAAGCTACATATTCATGGAGGATGAGAGCCCGCGGTATCCCACGGGTTTTGGGGCCTCTCTTGGCTTTGCTGCGGCTGGTGTAGGAGCCTGCATTGTGCTTGAACTTATCTACAAGACGATCAATTCCAAGAGAGAGGCAATGACAGAACAGGAGATTCGGAACAAATATACGGAGGAAGAACTAAACGAGCTTGGTGACCGGTCTCCTCTGTTTCGCTTTACTCTATGAGCATGTTGACTCATTGGCTATTCCGAATGCACGGTGTGGTTTGACGCCTATTTGGGCTGTATCTTAAACGTTCCGATCATCTCGAATGTATTTCACCCTAGACGCCCTTCCATCATACTTCTAGTTCCAAGCAAAATTCCTTTATTATATTAGTACAATTACAATCCTAAGAGAAATCTAGTCATTGAATAAGAATTATAAAAATGCTCAAAAAAAAAAACTCCCCTTTTCTAAGCTTTTCCAAGTATTAGACGCTAATACGTTGCTATGACTGCTAAGGCCTCTCACCAAATGCTGGCCTCTGACTTGCAACTGATCAGTGCCGAATTTGAGGTTCATTTCCAAAGCCTCTTAAGTTAGCTATTCTTCATCTGCAATCCCAACCATTATCTGCATGGGTTCCCATTCGCCCGAAGGATTATTCTCACCTCTACAGTTGTTCCCCATCCCGAGTAGTACGGCCAGGACTTTCTCTCTATCCTGTGAGGGATCACAAACAACAAGAACTTCGCCGTCAAACTTCCTTTTGAAGAACTGATACTTCAGCAGTCGGAGCGCATCCGCACCACTAGATAACAGCAGCTCCGTCATCTCATCATTCTCCTGAGATATTGCCGAGACGACGGACATAACATTTCCCGGCCCTCGACGCTGGGATCTGCGCCGTGTTGCAGCAACATCTCAGCCGCCCAAATATTCCCCTCCTGGGCTGCGATATGAAGCAGGGTTTTGCTGCCGCGGGCTGTGCACCGAGCATCAGGGTCGGCGCCAACACGCAGTATCTGGCGGAGACAATCTTCGTCGCCCATGCCATAGGCCAGACCCATGACTGTCACCCCATTGAGTATCTCCTTGTTCAGATCAATGCGGTGGTCGACAAAAATCTGGAACATCCTGTACTGGCCACACCGGAAACAGGCAAGCAAAGGGCAGCTCCCATTCTGGTCCCTTTCGTTAATGTCTGCACCGCCTCGGATCAAGACACTCGCCATCTTATCATCCCCGTTGTAGATGGTGTAGTGTAGAAGCGGTGTCAAATCTCCAAGGTTACCTCTGGGCTTCGCACCGTACCTGAGCAGTAGAGCAGCTGCCTCGAAATGTTTGTGACAGACTGCAAATTCCAAGGGCGTCCCGCCCCAGTCGTTCTTGTAATCGATGATGTCCACTTATTCCTTCAACTGCAGGAGCTTCTCCATCCCGCGTGTATGATTAGCAGCTACAGCCACGTGGAGGACCGTGTTTCCATTGGAGTCTCCGCTCCTTGGATCTGGTAGATCTGGCAAGTTTGCAAGAGACGGATCATGGTCTGGCGAAGGCTTTGGACTCTGAGTAATGGCGAGATTCTAGACAGCATTCCTGCTTTGTTCATCTTCTGCCAATGTAGAATAGCCATCTTCGCCCTCCTTCTGGCTACTGGTGGCTCTGGCTGGCAACGCTTGACAGCCAGAATCAAGCGTGGCATCCTCATCTGGCTCGCCGGAGCCTCGAGTTGGTCCGAGCCTAGGTGTAGCAGAGTATAGGTCAACCTCCTCTTCTTGGACCGCCATGCCGCCGGTGCTAGCAGTTAGGCGAAAAGGAGCAAAAGTCCCGGGTTCTTATATGCTGAGCGACCCCGTCTTGATGTGTTCAAACAATGGAGTAGAGGGACAGTTGTCGGCCCAAGGCCCGACTCTCGCAACCGCAATACATCGCCAGTCGGGTGGCAACCCGTCTATGCTCCCCCAAATCCGATGATCTTCTCTCATCGTCTTCGTGTCTTCCCTTGTCCCCGCTTGCTTGATTCTGGGCAAAGCCCAGTTCATCTTGGGCGGATCCGACTGCTGGCTCTTTGAGATTGGTATCCGCTAACGCACGTTGCCTCCCAAGCCTTTCACCCCGACGAATGGTATTTCTTCATCCGAGAATGGCTGTAGTGTCCCAATAAAGGACTGGTACTCATCATGCGATAGATTCATCTCATCCGCCATTTCAGTTCTCTCACACCTCGCATCGACAAGTAGGTTCCGAATGCCTTCAAGGTCTTGAACCCATTTCTCACGATGAACGGGGCCACCCTGAGATATCAAACCTGGGAAGTGGAATGAGCCATACGGGGATTCACTAGAATGTATCAAATACAGGCCAACTTCAACGAAATCAAGTGCCGTCACTTTTTGTACGAACCGAAAGCCTATCTTCAAGCCATCGTCCGCTCCGTCAGGCGTAGTGGAAACCGCCATGTCAAAATTCCGTTCCCGCAGCAGCTTGACCGATTCGATGTGGCCGTTGCCAACCATATAATGCAACAGACTCCTACCGCTGGTGAAGTCTGTTTCAACTCGAGAGGCGAAAGGTCGCTTTCAAGGAGGAACGACAGAAGGGCCCTGTCCCATATCTGGTCAGAGAGGCTCAGAGGCCGTGTCAGGCCGTACATGGCCAGCCAGACTGGTGTCCCCTGTGCGCCGTAGAGCTGCTCGCCTCCGTGGCCCCTGAGCCACTCAACACTCATTATATGTCCTGGGCCGCGATGACGCAACCAGTCAGCCACCAAGTCGGAAAAGATGGATTGCCCGCTGTAGGCGTCGCTACCAAAGAGCGTCTCAAGCTGGTCCTTGGTGCACGTGTCTGCGATCAAGTCGGCCGTTTCCAGGTGGTGCTGTTGGAGTGCAAGGGCCAGTGGTGTGTGGCCGCTGCTATTTCTCGCCATGATGTTTGAGCCATGGAGCAGTAGCAAGCGAGCACATTCTGTGCTTCGGTGCGTCCAGCAAGCAAAATGAAGAAGCGTCCAGTTGCCGCGGCCTCTGTTTCTGAAACTTGGCGAGTCACCGTACTTTTCAGCCAAAACCATCAAGCACGCTGTACACTCCAGAAGGAAACAAAGCTCTGCTATGGAGGGCTCGGAATAAATCCCTTCAGAATTGCGGTCACACATGGCGGCAAGGAAAGAGTGTCCGCTATTCTCAAAATGTTCGAGGAATAGTGCCAGGGCAATGGCATTGTCGCTCACGACCGCCGTGAATAGGTGTTGTTCCCGAAGAAGAAGAAGGCGGAGATGACGGTGATTATTTTGCGCAGCAGTATTACGACAAGATTATACGGCCCTTAAACATGTGTTGCGCTTAGTAAAATGATTTCTTCCCATCAGAAGTTCCAGGATCAGTAATAGCACTACGCAGCTGAGCAAGATGATCATGAGCAATATGGACATTCAAAAGCACATATGCAACCAAAGCTGAGGTGACCTTCGTCTCATATTTCTTCTCTGGGCGCGATTCTCAATTTCTTACTGTGATTGAAAAGGCGATTGCGGAAAACGTTAAACGAAGCAAAATATCGAATCAAATCAAATCAGATCGCACAGATGTGGCTGATCACCAATATCTCTTCTACGCAAATGGTCCCTGGATCCCTCCATGCTGAATTTCCACCTTCGAGAATCGATTCCTGCTTGCTCCTCCAATCTGAGCATGACCATTTGAACTACGTGCGGTGTGAGGGCAAAATTGCCTGCAGACCCCTCCAAATGGCTGTCAGAAAAGCAGGGACTGCAAAGTCACCTGGACAAAATTCTTACGGCAATTAGTCATATCATACTGGGTCCTATTGCATAATAATTACTCGATAGTTTACTATTATTATTACTAACTATCAACTATGTCTCTCAATGTTGTGGCTTACAATGGAGAATCTGAGACAGAAACACTATTGCAGCCCCTATTATTCTCGCGCCCACTTACCCTCCTCTAGCGGGAGTTCCGATCAATCAACATGACTGCCATTCTATCACATTGACGGGGGAGGGGAAGAAAGCAACGCTGTGAACCAAGGCATGGTCTGGAACAACAACAAAAACACCGGTGGGCGCCGACCAAACTGTGCTTGGAGTGCAGATCCTTTGCGTCGTAATTCCGTAATTGGATTAGACAAATTCATTGGCCTTTGCTGAAAGAATTTGTTAGTGCAGCTGATGGCAGATCGTCAATGCAAGATGATATGTAGCTGAAACCGAATATTCGCTTGGCACGCAACTACTGTGCAAACAAGGAATAGGATGGAAGTGGAAAATGATATGTCGATTTTCCCAAGCACTCTTCTCGCCTCTTTCCTCTTTGCTCCTCCCAGCGGCTTTCCCTTTCTGTTCGTTCCGTTTGCCTTTCTTTTTCCGAGCCAAGACAATTGGTGATAAGGACCAACCAGGTGATTCGTAAACTTGCGCATTCGTAAGCCCTAATGAAACTGGGAAAGGTCAGGGCGTAAAAGGGCGGTGCGGCTGAGGGAGGGCATCGACAGTTTGCTGTTCCAGGCGGCCGACCTGATTGTTCGTCATGGAGAGTGTCAAAGCTATAAGACCGCACACCGAGACAGAATTCTCTCTCCTGGACCACGTCACTGACAGCACTCTGCATCGATAAACCTGGTCCCTGGAGTCCGGCCCTCGCGACTCATCCAGCTGCCAGGTTAGACCCCATACGAGGGTCCGGGCACGCGGGGTATTTGCATTATTCACCCGTACCGAATGAGCATGTCCGCTGACCAGGCACGTCATCCCCTTCCCCAGCGAATCCTGTCTGTCCCGCACAACCCACATCCGATTTCACCAGATTCGGTAGCACTGATACAGGGGTGTGTAGATCGATCCTCGATCCTCGATCCAGCCGAATCCTTAATCTTTAGAGACTATATGCTCCGAAAGGGAACATCGTTGCCCCGATTGCCAACTTTTCTACGATTGCAAGATGCGCAGCTCTGACGACCCTACTCAGGGCACTCCTACTCAATGCATTCCTATTCAAAGCGCCCCCCCGAGGCCGCGGACATTCGCAACGGGATCTGCAGTATTGCCCGTTGGGGTCAGCAGACAATATGATGTTCCTCCTCGTGTATGTCAAAAGCACCCCCATGTATTACACTGCCAATTCTCTTCAAATAACTCTGACGGCCGTTTATTTTAGCTAGCTCGAGGTCCGAGGCCCGATAGGCCGGTCACCCAAAGCAGACTTAGCACACCATATAATCAAGCAGTGGCGCAGAAACGAAAGTTGGGATCGGTTTGTGTCATGTGCAACATAAAGAAGTCAAGAGTGGGTATCTGGCATACATTTGCTAATTCTCGTCGTTTGATTCCTTTTCAGAGCAATAACTAACGCCGCCATTCCGAGTTACAGTGCACAACTGATCCGAATGCACCTAATGGGCCGTGTACAAGGTGCGCCTTACACAGGTCTCCATGCGTCCGCAACCGCATCGAGAACTCCGCCCTGTACAGGAACCAAGATGCCCCGTTCGGCTTGTTCAGCAGGCGATGGCATTCAATGGACCTGATAGACATCCCAAATTGGGCCAGCGACAACTCAAGGACTATCCACTTGAGCGTCAGGTATCTCAATGCGCCCTACGAGCTCAAGGTGAGGGAGTTCGTCCCTCTCCCAGGCGACATGCTTGAAGAGCAATGGACAAAAAATGGTCAGGTTGTATACTATCCCCTTCCGGCTTATGGCATTGCTGTCATGGAGGAGGCAGCCGTTTCTATCGGTAATATGATAGAGAGACAGGTCTCTAATTTTGTCGCCGCGACCTTGAATGAGCGCGGCTCGAACCATCTTGTTTGGGACACGTACCTAGTTGCTTTCCGGCGGGCGAATAATGCACCGGTAAGAGACGCCATTTGATGGTACCCATGAACTGTTTTGAACATATTCGTTTGGTGTTGATAGGTGTGGCTAACGGTTTCGAAGACTGAAGAAGAAAGAGCACTTCTCTCTAATACTTTTCGGCTGTGGGTGCTCTGTCGTATCAATTGCAATTCTGAGCATATTGTCGGTGAAGATAAACTGGACACACCGACTGTCGTTGATCCGGATAGTCCGTATTATGGCAGCGTCCCCGCGTCTCCCGTTCTAAATGCTCAACTTGAATGCATCTATTATACGAAGTTTCTTCGGCCTTTCAGCGACAGAGTTCTCCGGCTGCTGAGATCCTTGATGGACAGTCCAAAACGCCAAGAATACTGGTTTACCATCTATCTAACGCTTTTCCTACTACTCCACAGCTGCTCCATGACGACTAGGAGAGATAAGGAGTATGCATCTCAGATCAGTCTATCGGTACGTCCTATGGCATTTTCCCTGAGCTTCGTAAACGTACTCGCACTAATCATTCATCAGGCCACTTTCTGCAATCCGAACGGCATCAACGAGCATAATTTCGGCTCCAGGACGCTACTGGCTCAATTCCACATGGCCTTGAAAGGAAGCCTCCCATTCCAGCTAGCATTGCAGGGGGGTCACCACGCTGAGCACCTCTCAAGTTGGTTGACACCAGGCGAGATGAATTTTGTACGTTCGTCAGCGATCCAAGCAGCTGCCCTCAGTGAGTTTTCCCTCAATCGCCGGCTTGTTGATGCCGAAGAATAACATTTCTGGGTTTGAAGAACCACATTGGGATCGGATCCGTGCCTCTGGGGAGTGGGGGGACGATGATTTCTGGATATCTCAGCTCTTTGACGATTTTTGGTGCCCCGGGCCGTTGCATTGAGGGAGCCCGGATGGGGCGAGAACGCAATTGACTCAACATCAATAATACTTGAATATGTTTGAGGGGTGAATTTATAGTATATTTCATTTCAATGCAAAGACCATATCGAATATAGTTCAGAAGCTCAGCTCAATATATCCAGTCCCGTATTTCAAGAAGCAGCCAATCTGTACTAACTTGATACGGAAATGGTTGTCTTGACGTCAGATTCAACTCCGTATCTCCGAATTTAACCCGCCTGTAACTGGATCTGCGGATTTCAACTGGGAGAGACACCCGGAAAAAAAGCCACGTTACATGGCGCTTCCGCAACTACCGACAATTTTGAGATCTCAACCTCACCACACGCCGCACTTCTCCTCATGGCTCCGGCATCCCCGGCCCTGGCCAGTCTTCCTGTCGAGCTCTGGCGCCATGTCCTGCAGAACCTCGTGTTGCACCGGCTGGCGCCAGACCAAGCCCAGCCTGACCCCGGCTTCCTCGCCAATCGGAATGCCCTGCGCGAGCTCTGTCTGACCTCGCGAATGCTGTCGGCTATGGCCCGACCGCTTCTCTACGAGACTATCGTTCTATATCCCACTGTGGTGTTGCCTTTTCGGCATGTCTATGATAAGGCTGTGGATCCTCTCGTGCGTTTGACCTTGACCCTCGCCGAAAACAGGAGCTTGCGACCCTGGATAAAGAACCTGGCCGTGCTAATACCACTATCAAACACGGACGACATATGTGGCGTAATGAAGAGGCGTATCCACGAATTCTGGCCTGGATTCTGCAACTATATCGAGCAACCAGGTGTCGATGAGAGGGATATTCTTTCCGCCGTGGGCTTGATCACGGGTCCTGGAGAAGAGCCGGTGCCAAGAATAGTGGCTGCACTGCTCGCCATGGCCCCCAATTTAGAAAGTCTGCTCTTGCTGGATCTCCTCGGCCCGGGAACCGAGGTGTTTGACGAGGCAGTCCTCAACCTAGTCGACTCCCAAAGCACCAAGGACGGGTTTCTCTCGGAGCTGAAGACGCTACAATTCCAGGCTGCATTCGGCAGGAATCGATATGCACCGTCGGCAAACTATTGGGATACTGCCTTTGACGGTGGTCTTTCAACCTGTCTAATAAACCTTCCTCGTCTGGGTCGCATGGATGTGACCTGCAACTACGTAGACAATATCAACGTGGATACACAAATCCGCAATGGCCCCATCCATCTGAACGAGCTAAATCTGATCGTCACTGGTGGTGTTGCACCACTTGGGTCTCTCATTGGATTGGCAAGCAATCTGTCCTCGCTGTCCATCGACTTCCGGGCTCCTGAGCCTCTCTACTCAATTACCGGTGCACTCCCTGAGGCCGACCTCAACCCCATCCTCCTCGAAAGGGCTGGGACTTTAGAACGTCTAGTTCTGAGGACCACTACGTGCCCTTATAAGCACATCTCAGAGCAGCTTGGGCCACTAGAGAAACTCATATGTCTCCCAAGCCTTCGTCGGCTCACTCACCTCTGCATAGAGCCTTACTTGTTTCTGGACTGGCTCAACGTCAACACCTGGCCGAGGTTTCTCAGAACACTGCCCCCAAATATCGTCTACCTGAAGCTTCTGTTTGTCCCAGAACGCGGGGAGGACCTGGCACGCATATGGGCTCGCAGCGGGATGGGCGCTGCGCTCCGAGCCCCAGCCCACAAATGGCGAGCCAAGGTTCCGCATCTCCGGCACATACACCTTGAGCCGCTGCCTTTCTCGCAGCACGCGGTCGAGGAAATTAAGCAGGACTTGCAATTGGCCGGCATCTCACTTACGTGGCGCGATCTCGAGGCAGTGGAGTTAGGTCTTGACCTTGCAAGTCTAAGGATTCATTGATCATCTACGTATTCGAATAGTCTCAACACGACTGGTTCTCGTAATATATCCAATGAGTGACCAAGTGTTTCCATACCGTGAAAATGTCAACATAAATACCACAGACATCGTTTCTTTTCCAAGTCGATCCACAATTATGAAAGGAGTCAAATCTAATAACTCTAACTCGAATCTGTGTTGCTACCCTCGTCCCCAATATGCTACCTCAAGATGAGGCAAGAAATAGGTCGTGAATTTCGTATCTATTAATGATAAGCTCCACAACGCAAGATATCGGGATATGCTCATCTTTGAAAGATCTACAAAAGTGAGGGTGGGTGAGTGTGATGAACGACATGAATGGGGGGTTTGTGTGGCTATACACAATCACCATATACGTTCAGGTTGGCTGTATTGTATCACAAGGGGTTATTTGTCTCAGCTTGAGCCATTTTTGAATCTTAATATACGCTGCATCTGGTCGGTTGGGAGTAAGGCATGCAGGCCGACCCTTCTGGTTGTACCACCGTCAGCTGAGTTCGAGGTTGCATCAAGGCGCATCATGCGAAGTCAGGCTTGTGGGCTACTTCATAACTGCCTTGGGCGCGCAGAAATATCCCGTGCGACCTGGATTTTAAAAACAAAAGCCAGGTCGCCCGCTAGATCATTGCTTACCAGCGTTCTTCCTCCAGACCCTCCATTTCTCAAACGTATCAAATTGGCTTGTGCCCAGTACACCTTATCATGGCTCCTACAGCTACCTCTCAGGTTCCGTCCACCTTTTCGCAAATATCTGGTAACAGTGGCCAGCAATCGGGCCGTACATTGGCGATCCTGGGCTATGGTTAGTCTCTCTCCTCGATGTTGCAACATCTAGTATAAAATGATCTAACAATATATCCCTAAACAAAAGCGCCATGGGGACCGCAATCCTTATTGGAATCATCTCATCTCAAAACTCCTGTTCTGGGTCACAGGAAATCGATCTACTACCGACCCGATTCATCACCTGTGTGCGACGCCCTGAATCAGCAAATGCCATTCGCTTGAAACTGCCACGCGAAGCACTGGATTCGGCCGTGAGCGTGTATGTGAACGACAATCATGCTGCAGTACTGGAGGCAGATGTCGTCTTGTTAGCTTCCCAACCACACCTCTATAAACCCCTTCTTGAGGAATCGGGAACATGCATAGCACTCAAAGGCAAGCCGATCATCTCGGTGCTGGCAGGTGTCCCCTCTGCTGAGATCGAGCACCACCTTCGTCAAGTTGCCAACAAGGAAAGCAAAGATATCTGTGATTTGGATGCTTTCTCTGTTAGTCGTGCCATGCCCAACATCGCGAGCGCGGTGCAGGCCTTAAGCACCGTCCTTGAAATCTACCCACGGCCTCAATTCAAAGACATGATTGCCACAGCGCATGCCATTTTCTCGTGTGTGGGCACTGTTTTCACTGCCAAGCCTGAAAATTTTGGAATCTGCACAACTCTGAATGGGTCAACTCCGGCATTCTTCGCAATGGTGATCGACGGCCTCGTAGACGGCGCCGTAGCATTGGGCCTGTCGCACACCGAGGCGACGCAAATGGCGGCCACCACAATGCGCGGGACGGCCGATTTGATCATGAGCGGCAAGTCGAGGCTGGATCTCCGCTACGAGGTCGCTTGCCCTGGCGGCGCGACGATCCAAGGACTTGAAGTGCTCGAGGAGGCACGAACGCGCGCCGTCTGGATGCGAGCCATGGCCGCGGCAACGTCGGGGCAGGGCTCTCTTGTGGGCGGACTCAAGTTTTCACGCAAAGGGATCTAAATCTATCATAGTGTAGGAATATGAAATTTTCAATAACTGGCCTTTGACTGCCTACCTATGTAGATATTGAGTTGCAAATTAATCTCCTCATCGTGATCTTGCTACTCGCGTCATGCATCATACGCCTACCCTAGAGCTCATCAACGCAATACATGCCATCTCAACTTGACGCCGAGAAACAATACATGGGTAGAATGTTACGCAGAAATATCTAGAATATTAACTTAGGTCTAATGCAACCGATTTATATCAGAGGTGTCGGGTTACAGGCTGAGCCAAGCCATTCAGCTTTGGTAATGGGCGTAGTAAACAAACAATTTGTGATGCCTTGGTTATTCTGAGTTGAACGAGGATTGATTAGGTAAGCATTTGATTTGGAACGCGTACCCTTGCTGCATTATGTAATCAAAACAAAGTGTTCCAAAAGCAATGAGCGCGTCACTCCAAGGTAAATCCCTTCCAAACCCGGATTAATTTAAGGGAGCATTGGGTTACAAGCATCCCTAGATATGTGAAAAGCATTGCCATACTTTCTACAATATTCCCCACCGCAATGCCCTCAATATTGGTGCCAGTTCGGATGACCGATTCTATCCCTACCAATACACTGAGAGAACATCCCGCTGGATATACATTGCTAGGTGAGACATTGTTCGGCGAGACAGCTCTTCAACAACGATTATGTGGCATGCGGGTTTCTCAGGATGGTTTAATGGTACAGTCGAGCTGGATCAACTCAACGGTTGGCTCAATTAATACGCGTGTAGCATGAGACATGGCGCATTGTGGGAGAGAATGCCCCCAAAAACTGGTCCTGCCTTTCCCCATAGGCTTAGCTGGTTTGACAAGCAGACTTCGGTCCCTCATAGTATGGGTGGAGTAGGGACGAAGGCAACGGGCGAACCATGTACATCCGCCCTTGTCATCTCCCAGAAACAAACTACTACCTACACAGATGCCAAGAGTTCCGGAGTGATCTGTCTAATCCGCGGGCCGTTGCCTTCGCTGTTTCCGTCAGACTGCTTTCGTCAACGGCCATGTCTCACATGCGATATCACTGATCTCAGATGAAGATTATGCCATGTGGACACAAAAATTGCCTCCCTGGCGAATTTTTGATGCAAAGTTATTATCCCTCGCACGTCGAGGGCCGAAAGCACCGATCTATCCTTCAGACCAACCTAATCGCCGGTTGAAGACTTAGATGTCCTGGTAACTAAAGGCTTGATAACCTTCTCGTTGTTTGCCACCATACCGGGTAAGGAATGCTGCACCGTTTCGATTTTTAGAGGTTGCAGTTTGTGCATGAAACTATCGGATGTGAACATGTACCGAAGTAAGACAGCTCGTAAGTGAGAGTCCCTCGATGATTGCAGTGTACTGTAAATGAAACACGAATTTCTAGTTGCCGACACGCTATTTGACGCTACGGAGAATGATTGCCACAATGATGCACCCGGTTTGGTTAGTCAGAGATCTTCCTGGCCGAAACCGGGACGGAGAATGTGATTCAACCTCTGTTGGCATGCGGCTTATCTATGATAAAGCTGATAGAACTCCATCCTTTCCGACGGGAGTCTCACAGTGGTCTGTCAAAAGCCTGGACTTTGCGGATCTTGATCATCTTTAGTATGATCGGCTTCATATTATGGACTTTTTGCATCTGCACCCTTAACAACCTCTCGTGCCAGCATTCCAATCCCTTAATCACATAGCACTCCGGCGATAGAAACAGGGTCCTGCCGTATCCGGCGGGAAAGGGAACTCAACTCCTGGCTGAAACTGAACTCAGAATATTGGCGGAGCCTACAACCATAGGTTCCGCCTGCAGTGTCAGTCTGAAAGCAGATATGTGGCATGAGTCGAGGGCCGCAATCTTGATAGGAGGTATATATGCCGGCTGAATCTTGGTTTAGCTATCCAAGAATTTACCTTCCCTACACTTCTTAGTACACTCAATTCACCATGGCTACTCAACAAATCGAAATATTGCATAGCCATCATGTGCTGCCCATTCTCCAGAAGAATGGAATTGTGACGCAAGAAACAGAACTGGACCTCCCTCTTGATGAAATTCTCGACAGCCCCCAGTATGCGCCCATCCCTGAAACGGATTCTCGCATCAATGACGCCCCCCAGCTCGACGCAAAGGCAGAATGGTACTACATACAGACTCATCTTCGCGATGGGAACTCCTCCACATCCGATGATCCTAGTCATACCGTGATCGTTTGCCTCTTCCGCCAAGCCACCGACCCAGAGCTGGACTCGACTAGGAAGCATAACTGGGCTGCCATCTATGCGACCCTCGACTGGAAGACAAAGGAATACACTACCGTTTCGAAAGTGCCCGCCAGTGCACCTTTGTACCTGGCAAAGAGCCTTGGGGAGAACCCCACTGGCCTCGGAAAGAAGTTTCAAGCAATGCTCAAGTCGGGCCCAATGTGTCAGGATGTTCCAGCCTTCCAACCCGATGGACTTTTCTCAAGCCCCGTCGAGATACACTATTCCAAGGGAAGCGACGATCCCGCATTGCATCTCGAGTGGGACAACGGTGCATCATTAGTCGGCGAGAACGGCTCGTACCGTCTCAAGGTCCCCGAGATTGACCTTGACATCCAGGTTCACCCCGAAAAGCCAATGATGCTTCACGGCGATGGCGGCCAAACTCTCGATGAGGATAATGAGGATAAGAAAGTGCGTTTTAGAGCCCATTTATGTTTGCAGCTGACTGACTTCTTATTAAGGGTACATCTATGTTCTACTACAGCTGGCCCCGAACCGAAGCTACGGGAGTGTACAAGGGGGGAAAGGTGACGGGCACAGCGTGGGTCGATCACGAATACTCCCTGGGAGGAGATGGTAATCAGGACCCGTTGGCGCTTTCATATGGTTGGAACTGGTTCTCTCTACTTACATCCGGCCCAAACAAAATGGAAATTTGCGTGACGCAGGTTCGTACATGATATCGCCCACTTCTCTTACCCTGCTAACGTTTTGAAGGTTATCAACGAGGGTGACATCTTTGAACAATATGTCGTGTACCACGACGAGGCAGGTGTCCGCCATGAGGTGAGAGATTTCTCTCTTACATCCAGCAGGACTTGGGTGTCAGGGCATACTTTCCAGAACTTTGATACTTGTTGGAGCCTCAAGATCCCGAGTCTTAATGTCGACTTGGAGATAGAGTCAATTACGCAGAACCAAGAGCTCCAGACTTGGCTGAGAATGCCCTCATTCTATGAGGGGGCGGTTCGATTTTCTGGTACTTGGGAGGGTGGCCCGATGAAGGGATATGGTGCCATGGAACTCACCAAGGGGACAGACACGTCCAGGTCCATGGAGCAGATCTTAAGTAACGCCACATCTGTTGTTCGCAAGGAAGTGGACGTTTGGGTTCCTTCTTCGATCCGTGCAAACCACTTCAAGCACATTACCAAAGTGCACTTTGACAGCTATGAGCAGGATGTGATCCAGAAGAATATCGTCGAGGCGTTTTACATGTTGAACAACAGAGGTGGCAAGAACTGGTGAGCATTCACGTTTCAAGCTAGATCATGAGCTTTACTGACTTTAATCGAAGGCGGCCCATGTTGTTTGGAGCTGCTGTCGGAATGGTAGGCGGCAACGCAAATGATTGGAGATCTTTTTTGGTCCTTCCAGAGCTTGTTCACACGGCCTCATTGATCGTCGACGATATCCAGGACGAGAGTGAATCTCGTCGTGGCGGCCCTTGTGTGCACAAAGTTTTGGGCGTGCCGACCGCGATTAACGCCGGATGTGCTCTTTACTTCTGGGGAGAGACCATCATCCGAGACAACAAGCTCTTGACCGACCGGCAGCGACGGGACATTTACGCCATGTACTTTGAGATGATGCGAGTCGGCCATGCTGGCCAGGGTCTCGACATCAACGGTATGACGATGGACAGACTCCCAACCCTTCAGGAAGCTGAAGAGATGCTTGCCCGGGTCATCAACCTTCATCGGTGCAAGAGTGGCATCCCGGCTGCCTTCTGCGGCACTGTGGGCGCGCTCGTCGGAGGAGGAACACCAAAGCAGATTGAAGCTATGGGAGCATATGTCCAGAACCTGGGTAAGATTTACACCGGCCTCAAGATTGAGTAATGTCCCACTGACGAATGAATCCATAGGTATTGCCTTCCAAATCCGGGACGATGTATTGGACGTGCTCGGCAAAGTCTCTGGCAAAAATGCGGCAGACGACCTTTACAATCACAAGATCACTTACCCGGTTGCCAAGCTGTTTGCGACGGATCACCCTGACCGGGAGAAGTGGTACGGATACTGGGAAGCCCATGACGTGCCAGCCCTTGTGGAGGCTTTGCAATCATCTGGCACAATCGACAGATGTAATGAGGACATCCAGCGTACGGTGCGAGAGGGGTGGGACTTGGTTGATGCCATCACGCCCAACTCGTATAGCAAAGCTTTGTTCAGCCTCTTTGCTGAGTTTTTGATTGTGCAGCATTATTGATTTCGCGAAATATTCATGGTTGGAAGTTGACAGTTGGGAGTGTTAATACCCGAGACTCAAAAAAGATAGTCTTCTAATATTTCTCATCATCTTGATCCCAAGTAATAATACCTTCTCTTGATCCTAACTCTAGAGTGAAGCTTCAGATTGTACACCAAAGTTTGTGGACTTAATCCTCCCCGTTATCGAGTAGCCTCCACATCTTCACGGTGCTCTTGCTTCTCGCTCTCATTCAACATATCCTTCTCGGCCTTGATGGCATCCTGCTCAAGGAGATCAAGAAGGCCGACGTCTCTCCTCGCCTCATTGAGCAAAATGGCATCCTCCTCGCCTGTGTGGCTGCCAAAAACACGGTCCATCTCTTCAAGCGTGGCGCCCTTGGTTTCGGGGAGGCAGAAGTAAATCCAGACAATGCTACCGGCGAGGAATACGGCGAAGAAAATGTAGGTTCCCCATTCGAGCTTCTCGAACATGGGGGGGACATAGAAGGCGACGGCGAAGTTGTTGAGCTGAATTAATGTAATTAGTTAGGGCTATATTTCATTGCTAGAAAAGATGTACTTACCCAGTTACTGGAAGCACCGATGGAAGAGCCCTTCGATCTAATGGAAAGAGGGAATATCTCGGCGACCAGAGTCCAGGACACAGGGCCCCAAGTAGCACCAAAGGCCCCCACGTAGACCCAGATGAATGCAACGGCGGTCCAGCCGGCAGCTGCGTGAGTAACCCAATCGTGCTGGAACTTGGCAACGATGATACCCGCCAGGACCATTGAGATCCACATGACGACGGAGCCGACGTAGAGCATGGGTTTACGGCCGACCTTGTCGATGATGGCCATGGCGGGGAGGGTTGAGACGAAGAAGACGACGCCGGTGACACCGGTGGCGAGGAGTGCTTGAGTTCCGCCAGTCAAACCGAGACTTTCAAAGACGTTACTGGCGTAGTAAATGATGGCATCGATACCAGACCTACTCTCATTAGCAACTCTTCTATAGAGACGGCGAAGGAGAAAAATTACCATTGCTGCCAGAACATCACCAGCCAGGCGGTAGCAACGCGCTTGAAGTTATCCTTGGTGCGGACAATGTCATAGTACTGGGCGAACTCTCGGGTCCAGATGCTCCCTTCCTCCTTGGCGGCCAGGTTGGGGAAAGATTTAGCAAAAGCGCGCTGCTCAAAGAGACACTCTGCTTGGATTTCCTTGTATTCCACCTGGACTAGTTCGTGGTCTTCGGGGAGCTTGCGCAGGTATGAGAGCGTCTTAAGAGCCTCCTCGTTGCGGCCCTTCTTGACCAGCCAGCGGGGAGAAAATGGAAGCCACCATATACCGCCGGCGAGGAGAACTGCGGGGATACCCTGAATGATCGAGGGCAATCTCCATGCTAGGTCGGATTGGTTCTCACCGAACCCGCCAATGTTGTTACTGCCGTAGCCGATCCAGAAGGAGAGCATGATGCCGAGAATCGTACAGAACTGGTAGAAGGAAACGAGGAAGCCACGGAGCTCGGGAGCGGATAATTCGGCGTTGTATAAAGGTCTATGCGGAGAATGCGTGTTAGCTCGATTGGCCTGTTTGAGATCAAATCTACAGCGATGCAGCTGAACGGGACTTACCCAACACCACTGAAAGTGCCAACACCGAGGCCAGTGAAGAAGCGGCCGGCATACAGCAGGGAGGAATTATGATACGTAGCGCCGCAGTAGAGGTAGCTACCAAGAATGACCCAGCAGCAGGCCGAGAACATGGTATATTTACGGGAAATAACCTCGCCGAGGACGCCAGCAGAGAGAGAGCCGAGAATACCACCAAGCTGGAGGATGGAGGTCAGCCAACCAGTGGCACTGGACGAGGCGACAACGTTGGGGAAGTTGTCCTTGAAGCGGTACATGACCAGGGATTGGCCGAGAACACCCTGTTGATAGCCATATTCGAAGCCACCAAATCTTATCGCCAGTGTTAGACATGTGATATCTGAGGGGGCTGGGGTGAGACAACTCACGAGGCAAACAGGGCAATCACCATGAGCTTGGGATTATTTGCCAAAGTCTTCCATCGATTCTTATAGGCGAGCTTAGTGCGGGTTTCCGCCGCTGTTTCGGCAGCCATGTTGGCACGGAGCAAGATTAGGATAGCTAGGGGAAGATCTATAGAGAAAAACAGGAGGGAGGGCTGGAAGGATGAGCAGCGGATATTAAGCTTGACTAGGCGTGCTCCTGGCGATGCAGAGGGGAAGGAAAACCTGCAAATCGCCAGGGTGGTATCGAAGCTTTATAGAAACCTCTAGCTGAAGATCACCTCACCGGAGAAGTTAGCGGGTGATGCTACGTGAGCAGGGCTGAAGTGACCATTGCGGAGACAGAGTTGGCTCATATGGTTCCCCAACTTTCTCCGGTCCCCAGATGATTCAACGTGTAGGAACGAGGGGTGCGAGGGGAGCGGTTAATATGGCCGGATCGAGGCTGGAAAATTTCGTCCCCGGTAGGCTCACCGAGTCATAAGACGGGAGACCCCAAGTCAGCTCCTCAAACGGGATGTCTAAGCGCTTGGGGAAGCAGAAGCCCTGGAGGGAGTGGGTCAAGGGGAGTGTAGCTGAGAAGCTCCATGGCAAAGGGGGCGGGTAACGCTATGAGTAACGGGGAATCGGTCTAACAATTAAGTAAGCCATTTAGCAAGTGCTTCAACCTTCTCAAAGGAGAAAGGGGCCCGACGTTGCATTTCTTCCCACGGTGTGCCATTTCACCACCAAAAATCTGTTGCTGGAGCTGTGCGGTGTGTACCGACATGGATTGCATGTCCCATCTGGCGCTGGGCAGCGCAATTAAGATAAATTATAGCAATGGAGAAAGGCATACACATAATAGCCTGATGAAATTAGTGGGTATGACTTCGACCCTGGTGAAAATGCAGCGGCGAACTGAGGAATGAGTCCGTTCCTCTCTGCCCACATGGGTAAGCAATTATGCTACACTGGTGTGGATGCCATCACCTACCTTCGAGCTCTAGCAACTGCTAGTTTAGGCATCCTCAAGATAGATGGATTCTGCGACTAGGAATTCGTTGTTCAACAACTAAAAACATCCCGAGTGTGCAAGCCACAGCCGTTGACCCGGCCGGGCGGTCTCGGCTCGGCATCGTCCCGTGTTTTTTGTCCGCGACCTCCTCTCGGATTCTAGACACTGAGACGAAGACAAAGACAATACAGCTTCTACGTGATGGTGATGAGATGTAAACGTGTTCTGAATTCCACGCATCTGACCTTCCACCCAGGGTCGGTAGGTGCCCGGTTTGCCGCCAAGATATGCGGGGAGCGGGGTTAGAGCCGGTAATACGAAGCTGATCCAGGTATTGAACCGAGATGCCATGTTAGAGGTCAAATTTCTGGAATATGACCGAGCAAGACGCTGTGTTAGATGGTTCACAGCCTCGATATGATTACTAAAGACTGTCCTTTGGTGAATATAGTTCTACCTTTCTTGCCCTTCCAGTTCCCAACTCGCTCATCAGCGAGCCAAACACCCTCATGCTACCCCCGGAAAGTTATGTCCCGCGGAAATGGAGATATCACCTGACGGCGGCATTCGACTCGGCCTAATCCACACCTGTTCTCTAGCCCTGCCACCCCACCCAAGCCAACTCTGCATGGAAGCTCGTCACCAGAAGGTTTTGCAGCCAATTGGCGAACAAGACCGCCCTTGGAGTTGCGGAGGATGTACAGTCACTGTCGGACCATGTTCTGGGGCTGTTTCAACCCCGGATCTACCACCTCAGTGCGGCCCGTCTGACTCCCTCTGGTCTGCGGTTGTGAGGTATTTACCACGGGGCAGCCAGCTATCACTCGTGTTTTGCGGGAGGGCAAAGTCAGACGAAGTCATTTGGAAGATTCACTTTCACCCTTGTAGGACCTATTTCCCCTCTCCTCTCTCAAACAGAGCGGATTTTAGACTGTTTGAGTTAGGTCAGTACAGGCACGACACCAAACGAGGTCCCAGCGTCGTGTTGCGTCAATATCGCGGTATTTTTCGGCAGCATTTTGGCCTGACTATGCCCACTCAAGATCTGCGGCTTCAGCCATGGGATCAGTTCATGTCTGTTTCATATCAAAAAAATGTTTTGATCAGGATGTTATCTGATGCATTGCGCAAATTTTGTGTATGAACCTCGAATCATGCCCTTACCTAATAATTACGAGTGCCAGCGGCTGTTATTCATCAACTCGCCGGCATAAAAGGATTTTAGCAGCAGACCCAGCCGTTTTGAGAGAATGCAGAAGCGCTTTCTCCCTGCAATAGCGATGACAAATGACATCTTGTCAGATGGTGCATCCAATTCCAATGGTGCGATAGCGCTCGGCCGCATTGGATTGAAAAACCGTAACACGAGACGCTTACTCCTTACTTTCACAGAGACATCGCCGCCCTCGCAACCGGACTGGTGCATATCGTAGTTCTGCCTAATCGGATACTGTGACTTTTCGGATGGAACACATCGGTTAGGCTAGATGAAATCTTGGACCACTATGCGGTTGAGCCCCGACGCCAAAAAATCGACAAAACTAACTTTCACGTAATTGACAACATAAGTGCTAGAAGAACCTCGTATTTCCATTAAGATTGGCTATAATGATGGTGACTGGGGTGAGAAGTTTAAAGTCTTCCTAGTCTACCGCGGCGGCACCTTCAATTCTGATTTATACTCTTATGAGCGTTGATCATAAACTTCCATAGACGAGGCAATGAAACATTGCGAATACGCAGAAATGAGAAAGAGAGCGAACTACTTTGGCAGTAATAGAAAGCCTCGAGATGCTCGCTTCATACGAATTATACAATTGGGTACGGGTTGATCGTAGGCTTGGTCAATCTAAATGACCTATGATCACATCTCTCGTAGTTTTTTACCTATACTTCTAATACATGTTCCTTTCACATCAAATTTGTTGTCCCATCCGATGGCTAACTTTATTTTGGGGCTTCCACCCACGAAATTCTATACCCAGCTTAAGTGCAGCGAATGCTTCTTTGAATTTCTCTTTCACTTTTTACATCTTAAATGTAGAACAGAAGGTCTCAGTTTGAAGCCTAGCCATCGTGATGTTGGCCTTCTTATAAAGACCTACGTGACACCTAGAAGGTGTTTATGAATTTGAAGATATTCTCCTCCGAAGCCTTTGCAAGAGTGATGTTCGGTGCTAGCCCGTCATAAGCGTGGAAGAGCACCTGGGTAGAGGTGGAATTCCACTTCCACGTTCGCTGATGCAAGTTTTGCGGCGTATGCTATATTCTCGTCTCTGAAGAGATCCAGCCCTCCGACTTCAATGAATGTCTTAGGGAGCCAGCTCAAGTCATTAGCTCTTGCTGGGGCGGCATATGGAGAAATCGTGCCCTCCGTTCTGTTGGCTACGAGTAGGTTAGTGTGGATACCACATAGAGAATCTTATTTTAGGTTCAACCTACACTGCTCTTTGTCCCCAAGATACGCCTGCCAGGCGATCTTGTTGGCTTTGTCTGACCAGGAGAGGAATGGATCGAGGGGATGATCCTCGCTCAAACTCGTGCGGTCATCAAGCATAGGGCACTTCAATACTTGGGCTGCGAGAGGGGGGCTCAAGCCCTTGTCCCTGGCCATCAGTGCCACGCCTGCAACAAGGCCAGCACCGGCACTATGCCCGTGGACAAGAACACGAGCTGGATCGACGTTGAACTCAGCGGCGTGTTCCTGTACCCACTTGATAGCAGAAAAGACGTCCTCCACACCTGCCGGGAAGGGATGTTCTGGGGCATAGCGGTATTGCACTCCAAAATAATGCGATTGCGTCTCTACTGCAGCTTTCCCAATAAAAGACCGAAATTCTTGGACACTGCCGGAGACAAAACCCCCTCCAAATGCAAACACAACAGCCCGATGCGGTCCAGGCCCGTCCTTGACTTCGCGTGGGAGGAAGCGACGAACCTCAATTGAGGTGCTTCCATCAAGTGATGTAATGGAGTGGCTGATTTCCTCGATACCCTCAGGGAACGGAACGGCCATAAAAGTGACTGCAGCCACGGCAGAATTTGATGCACGAATCTGCAGAGCGTCATGAAAGTCGGGCTTGGGAGCCGCAGCGAACGGCGCCATAGCCTCTGCTAACTCCGGATCTAGTCTAAGTGGCATTCTTGAAAAGATAGAATCTTACCCTTATCGTCAGAAGATAATATGAGTTGAAAATAGTGAAATTGCGCAGCACGGTGGAGGACTCGTATTGAAGATTGATGTTGTATCTCAGAGAGGGGTTTTGACATGGCATCGATGAGTGGAGGGTCTAAATGTGTCCCAGAATCCCATAAGCAAGAGGAGCTCCGTTAAGGGCTTTCAAGTCACTTTTGTGCAACCCCCTCCTTTGATGAGCAACACAGGTGTGGATTTCACCTCGTAAATCAGTCAATCAAAAGCCGTAGATATGAAAATAGCGAAGCAGATTGTCTCTGCGTAAAGGGGTTGACTCCAGTAACTGACACCCTGACCCTAGTTTGGACCAGCCAATTGGCGTCTCTCGAAGACATGCCATGGTTACTCCTATGCCTTGTGGCTACGCGTCGATGTTTGGTCAACTTGAAAACAAGTAGCCCACCTTTTTATTATCACCCGTACCAGTTAATCATATCCTATGATCTGATCGTCTTATCACTCGTAGTAAGCATAGCTTATCTGGGTGGTCAAAGGAATCCTTGGCAACCAAAATGGAAACCAAACACCAAAGCACTTCAGTCCACGATACGATCTGCACTTGCCATAGGCAGAGTAGGAGAAGTTCGAAGATTTGACTTCCGACCTGTCTTACCCCCTAGCTTAGAATAATATTTTCTGTCTTTTAGCCTACACCTACTTACCTACACATAAGTTGCCAAAAATTCAGTTTCCGCACATTAGCTGTGCCACCATCTAGGCACAGCAACATCCCGGCCTGCTTCGTCCATAAGAACACGAACCTGACTACCGTTTGGACCTACCCGTCGCTCCCAGAGAGAGCTATCGGTCGACACGTCACTTTTCAACATAAATCTGATTGGTTCTTACGCGAGTAGTATTCCAAGACAAGTTACTGCTTAAGACAAGAAATATCCAAAAAATGGCGAATGATGAAACATGAGAGAATAGCAGCAGATGAGCATAAACCCAATGAATATATTCCAACTACTCTTTCGTGATCGTTGGTTGTTTTTTGGCCGTGATGACAACTCGTCATTGAACGGTGTTGAGCGTGTTTTCGCAGGTATTGGAGCACATTTATATGCGGAGCCTCAACACATATTGCGTTTATTCGCCGTAGTAGTATCTTATCTATGCCGAGTGCTGGCACCAAGTATTTCGAAACGATCTGTGAAGCGAACGCTTTTCGAGTGAGTATGCTTTGTAGCAGATGTGCCTCCTTAGCAAGCTGCCTCATTCGATCTATCCGACTTGTTTGAACTGTAGATAAAATTATTGCTATGGATTCTTCGCGAGAATGATGACTACTAAGCCAGCGGGTGATGGAGTTAACGAGAGTTGCTGCATCTTCTATCGCGTTGTTTCCACCTTGGCCAGATATGGGATCAATCTAGGAAATGAGTTTGAGCACTAATCATGCAATGAATGCGTACATAATGCGGAGGCATGTGTCACGGGATACCTACCTTATGCGCAGAATCGCCAATTGTTATGATTCGATCATAACTCCATCTCGTCGAGACGAATTCCTCCATCGGTAATAATGCAGACCTTAAACGATGTTGATAGACGCCCCGAAAAGTTGTCGAATCTCCTACGTGATCATTGGCGTATCTTTCGACCATGCGTATTTCATCTTCCTCTGAATATCGGGGTAAGATTGTTCCACGTATTGTTTCATTCAATGATTCAAACAAGAACCAATACGTCCGATGACTTGGACCTGAGATAATCAGGTAACTTCGTCCGGGATAAGTTATCATGTCTTCGGAGTCACGTAGTAGAGCTTGAACATTTTCCGATATTCCGAACATACATCGCACATCGGCTGAAACAGCTGTATCAGGTTAATCGACAGAACATTGGTAGACAAAATTGCCAACTCACAAAATGTATCAGGGATCTTGAGGATCGACTTTGGAATAACGCGCAACATCTGCTCTCTGACAATGCTGTGAGTTCCATCTGCACCCAGCACAACATCCCCTTCATACAGCGATCCATCCTCTGTATGAACTTGGACTCTATCTTGGCACAACTCAACCCGCTCAATGCGCTTGTTCGTCATACAACGAGACTTGTCTTTCAAGTTATCATAGAGGATGCGAAGGAGTTGTTGTCGCTCGGTGAAAACCTGGGGATAACCAAGTCTATGGCTGGTGAGAATATGGATTGGGACTCTGAGACGTAATTCATGACGTACCTCTTTTCTAATTGCACAGAAAAGCTAACACTCGATCCCTTACTGAGAATTGTTCCCCCTGGGCCACGTAAATTAAGTTTATGCTTGATACTCTCAGATGCCTGTTGGAGATGACGATAGCGCCCTAGCTGATCCAAGATACGTAGGCAGTAACGCAATGCTAGCCCCTGCTTGGGGTGCTAGATCCGTGTGTGCTTCAAGAAGGCTGTAGTTGATTCCAAACTTCTCGAGCATATTCGCTAGGGAGAGTCCAGCGACGCCACCACCCACAGTGATGACGTTTAGTTCTTTCTTTCTTTCAGAGATATTCATTGTGTAAAAGCTTCCCTTGGTCTGTTGCAAAGGTGATTATACCAGAGCTATTGTGGTCGATGTTTTTTGATAGTACAATTTCGATGACTTATGGATGGAAAGTAGAGAGATGCAACGACAGATTCTTTTGTATTTCCTAATTCGCTGTTGACTATTCCTTCGTATTGCTCCAGCCACTTCAAATTTATGACGCCATGAGCATATGGGTCTATGTAATGATTTCATGGCGCCTTCTTGAGTGGGATTTCTTCTTCTCTACTTGGTTACAATCATTATCACCGCGGCCGACCAGCCCCAAGACAAACCTGATAAATGTCGCCGAGTGCATAGAGAGAAAAGTGCATAGAGAGAAAAGGCCCTAAATTCATCTCAATACTTTATTACATCCTGGTGTGCTTGCTGATCAGCGGAGGGTATCCAGATGTGTTTAAGTCTATTGTGGACTGCTAATAACTGCTCTTGCTTTAGGAACTAGTTCAATATTGCTCACCGACTTTACTCAAACCCTCAAGTGGCGACCTATGTCTTAGGTTGACGGCCATTGACACGCGTAAGATAGTGCATTGGCTAGCCTTTTCTAGAATATTGAAACATCTTGGTGTAGAACTCTGATAAATATTCCGATTTACTTTTTCACATCGAATACGAGGAGTTTTCATAACTCCTACGAAGCTTACAAATCCATACTCAGCTATCCCACTTTCATAGGGTGTAGGTCTTCTAAAGAGGTCTCAGTAAATGACCCCCAGGAAGAGAATAACTAGTTTGGCAACGAGAAATTTCTTCTGTCGCGATGGCGTCATAGCATCATCGAGCTAGATGCCCGGAAAGCATGTGAAAGGTTCTCCAGATCCCTACTTGGCATTGGCCCCCCGCACTCATGTTTCAACCCTGCTTTTGGATGCTGTGGGCGAGGTAACAATCTGGCATGAGTATTCGAAGCCATCTGATCTAACATGACCTTGTATCCACTTCTCAGTCCTGGTGTGCTGCAACTCGGCCAAGAATCTTATCTCGTCATACATTGGAACAATGACGTTGATTGGTTTTTAGAATAGAGCATTCCGAAAGATGCATACTGTGCTGTGAAAGCCTGTTTATCTTACAGATACAGTTTGTCGACATTTGTTTACAAGTGAAGCCCTGCTAAAGCCTTCGACGATCACACTAAGACAGAGTGCCGCTAAACTTATGCCTGCCGCGATCCGTTTTTCTTGCCACTGTAACTGCGACAAATAACTTACTACGAACATGTAAGACACGCACAGATACGGCGACCTCTCTCATCCCGATGCATAGTATGTGATCTTGAGACAACTTTAAAACACTTAAATATGTGAAGGGAGTGTGACGCCTCTATATCGTATGTATATCTGACTAGGTTCTTAGATCCAAAGTTGAAGAGAGAAATCGAAAGAGATCACGTCATCATATGCTTCCTGGAAGGTCACAAGTGCTCACTTGGCCTTTATTTCCGACTTCTCATACTTCTGAATGTGATCATAAGGTTTTGGATTTGAAAAATCGTACAGAGGCGTCACGTCACAAACAACCGGATATGAAAGCTAAGAGGATGAAATCATCTCTGACACAAACGAAAGTAGGGCATATTCCCTAAATTCCTTTGGTACGTGAAGAAGATCTCATGACGTCCTTCGCCCGGAAATTTGTTCCAGTCGCCTATATAAACTCTCTCAGTAGTTGATTCTGGCATATAAATATATATCAGCTTGTGAACATTCCCTAGCTGCAAATTATCTTTTTACGTATCACTTGACTTACTTCACGGAAGGCAAAGGCCAAAGGAGAACTAATGTCTCAACTCAAGTACTTCATCTATCCAAATAATGGGGAGTGGGCTCGAGATACTTTCAGTTATTCTCAAGCAGTCCGCGTCGGTGATAGAATCGAATGTTCCGGCCAAGGTCAGAAGCCTCTTTCGCCAAATTACGTCCGCGCGTATTACTAACCAAAATAGGTGGATGGGATCCAAAATTGCGTGGTGTAGCTATACCAGATGATATAGACGACGAAATATCCCAAGCATTTGAGAACGTTGATCTCGCACTTCGCAGTGCTGGGGGTACAGGATGGTCTCAAGTATTCCGCGTGAATTCATACCACGCCAGCTTCACACCCGAAACTTTGAATAAAATGGGGCAAGAGTTTCGCAAATGGATGCCAGAACATAAACCCATCTGGGTGGCATTGCCAGTTGAGCGATTAGGTGTGCCGGAAATGAGGATTGAGATTCAAGTTGTGGCCTATAGCCCTTGAATGATGTAAAGATTGAAGATGTGGTTGTAGTTGACAATGTTGGATATTCAACTAAGATATAAAGATGATATTGGGATGTGATTTGCTGCGTAATGGTACAGATGAGCTCTACCCATCCATTCACTACTGCAGCTATATCAACAATACAGTTAGCAATAGCAAATCCGAATATATATCAAGAAGTAAGGACTTGGTAGTGGAGAGCATTAAAGACATGGTTCGTATATCTGTAACCACTCGAATCTGCGCACTCATGTACCAACGTGGGCATGCTTACCGCCAACGATGTTGAAATACTCGAAAACACAGCCTTCTACATCCTCAAGCTTTTTTTCAGCATATCAATGCTACTAGTCGTTAGTTGGTCCATGAAGACATTCCTTTGTGACAGTATTCGCAACCACAATATATTAAGTAGATCTCTTAATGACTAAAGCTAGGCAATGCTCACTGTGAGAGTGCAACGCCACTATTAACAATCTATTTTACCATTCGGTAAGCACCTTATCTTCCGAAAGATTCCCCTTTAAGATTTCTGGAAGAGGTACGGAAGTACTTCACCATTTGGAGAACATCAAAAGCATGATCGATCCAATCAACATTCATGAGTGAAAGACCCAAAGCCGCCATACTGATCAATGTTCCAAAGAAGATGACGGAAGCACCAAGGAGGCTGTCAATATTTGGACATCCTCTTGCACATTGAGTAGAAGTTTTACTTTGGATGATCATAGCCTCAAAGAAGCCGTATTTCAAATGTTTCGGAACAACCGGTACAACGATTAATAGTCCTATTGGATGGAAGTACTTGATCTTATGAGAACAGGGGTATAATAATTTTTCTATAGTTGAGGTTTGATGCTTGAAAATAGCTCCTTAAGAGGTACACATATAGATAGACACAGTAACTTCGAAACAGAATTTTCATCTTAAATACTATTGAAATCATTTGGGAAGCAGGTTTTCTCGGTGCCATCAGCAATGGCGAAATATCCCATCATCCTGCCGAAATTAGTGATAGAAAGGAAGAAGCTATAACAGGGAAGAAGCATGCGTCACAATCAAGGGGGAGGGATCTTGATTCCACTCCGATGATCAGCTTAGATGTATTCAGCTGGTTTTGCGTCGTCAGTTGACGGGTGATCTACCCTAAAGATAAATGAAAAAATAATCAAGTGGTTGTGAGACATAACAGCGAGTTAGTAGGAGGATGTCAGCACTAAATAACCCAAACTACACGAAGGCAATGAAGCTAAGCAGTGCCGAAATTGCCGTGGCCTGCAAATGATGTCATTGATTTGCCTCGCTCGTTGAAAACTATGCCTACGGATCAAACATGCATGATCCTATCAGCTAGATATGAATGACTTAACGATAAGCAAGATGATTGAGGTAGTTGAGGTGCTCGTGCGTGGATCTGCACCAATAATATGTATATTGTCGCAACTGGTTATCCCTCACACTCAGCAGTAGGTTTTGGTTAGACATGCCGAGAAAATGTGTCATGGTTTCCCAAGATATGTTGAATATACGCCCACTGCCGGTATGAAATTCAAATATATTGAACGCCAATAGCCATCAGATGGAACGAGCTTCATGGAACCAGCTTCAAGCCCTCAGCAGTGTGCACGTCTCAAGATTTCTCAGGGTCATCCAGTCTTTAGTTAAAAAGCTAGCTATCCCTGGAGATTATTACAATGCCCACATGGTCTCACCTCTAAGCAACGACAGCATCCCTTCCCCTGCTTCCTACCTTCCCAGGTGGGTGGGTGATTCAAGGGATGAGACACCAAACCAGTATGTCGGGTTCCAGAACCGGATAGGCTCTATGGTATGTCCGCCATAACATAATTTTGAACCGCCTTCAAAATATAAGAAGAAGACTGTAAGATAATTCGAATTCTATAGAAAGAAGATACTTGCTTTTAAATCCTTATCATATTTCTTTCATGTCATACATAGCTAAGGCGTAAGAATATGATGTCTCATCTGTATGTCACCCACTTGCTTTCGTATCCCATGAAACAAGCCTAGCTCCTTACATAGTCAGATAAACCGGGACACAAAAGCTGTTAATTCGCTTTTGGGATTTGGGGAGGCCTCACGTCGTATCCGGTCGTCACAAGTATGCGGCATGGAAACCAAGCTCTCATCCATCCACTAGCATTCGCAAAATTTCACGTTTTCTTGTCGCTTGTATATGTTGTATGATTTATTTTCTGCTTGATATGCCAGGACGTGATAAATTTGCAACTTACCGCAACCTTGACCTCCGATCCTCTAACAATGTATGGTAGAGTCTTTGAGGCGATTGAAGCTTTGCCCCCATTCTATGAAAGCTTCATGAATATCGCTGTCCTCAATATTCTGTCGCATGTAAAATCGGGAGGCTTTCTAGTCGGCGGATGTTGAACATAATTTCGATTTGTAGAATCTCGGAATTGGCGAGGCCGATAAGTAGTCATTGAGGCCAAGGCTACGCGTATCAACCTATCGAGCGTGCGTTAGTCATTATCTAAAACAAGTTCAAAGAGGAGAGCAGGCTAAATCGGGAATTATTAGTGTGATATGATTTTGGCGTCTTTTTCCCCCTCTTCTATCTTCTTCTTCTCATTTTATCTTCGTTTTGTGTTCTGTTGTTGGACGCTGAAGTTAGAGCAGCGATACTAGTTGTTTGAACTCCATCCCTGTGCATTCGTAATATAGGCTGCTGCGTTGAAAGTCCCCTGGAGAACACTGAATGGAAAAGAATTCATCGAAAGGCAATATAGTTTGCGAGCAATCCCTATTTTTTGGGCATCGAGAAGAGATTTCCAGATCCGAGAATTGCTTAAATGTTCACGAGCATGTTTATCTCAAACGACCTCACTGATAGTATCCTTTTGGGCACCCGATTTGGGTGACATATCGACAATCTTTGTCGGTGCTGATCGTTGTCCAGGCTAATCGTTGTCCAGGCTACAGGTCGGATCTTAGTAGCGGCATGGTCTTTGAATATGGGCAGACGACTTTGCCATCAAGCAAAGCATTTCTCGTTTTATATATTATCTGACCATCTCACTACTCGAGCCGGTTTCTCGGTGAGTGGTATCACCATGCCCAAGGCCGGGCCGGCCACATCGAAGCAACTTCGAGAGACATTCGAACCAAGGTCGGCTGTATAGCAAACTTGCAGAATTAACTTCCCAACAAGCAAAGCCTTAATTGCATCCCCAATCTTTTGCTACAAATCTTAAAATGGAGTTTTCCTAATCGAGGCACGTAGCATACAGATCGCTGAAATACCTTTTCTCACAAGTCTGTTACAGATCTATCTTCCTTTCTCACATGGTTGAGGAATTGGCTCATCAGCTTCCGGCTTGGTATCAAAAGATCAATGCTATGAACAAATTCATTTCGGAGAAGAATGGGCAGTAAATGAAAGTATCTCGCGTAGCAATGGTAACGCATGTCCGCAATGTATGCTTGCGGTCTTAGGTAAAGAAGTCAGATATTCAAATCATGAGGTTATGAACTTCGGACCTTGGCAAGACCTGGCCTAGTCTTTTAGGTGCGCAGACCCATCACAGTGCATCTTGGTGTTCTTACTTCCAACGGGCATTTCCGGCAAGTGTTATCGGTGTTTGTCCCCGAGATAGCCCATACATTTCTGACCTAGGGTAATTATGCAGGAAACTGATGCCAAGCACCAGGCGGTCAATACCTTTGGATGTGACGCCAAGTGTTATCAATCCAAGACACAAGCCGAGCCGCCAGACCGGCATCATGACCGGCTCGCTTGGTGCCAGAGGGAACAAGGGTTCGTCCATTCGATTACGTTATTCACTATCACTGGTCAGGTGAAGTCCACCGGATCAGCCGACGGTAGTTCAGGGGCAAAAAACGGGTTTGATTATGATTGACAACTTGACATAATCGTTGGGCCACAATCGAAGCTAAAGCGCTCAATTATAGTAATGTCCGCCGCCTCAACCTTGCTGCATGGCCTTGGCGGACAAAAAAGATGGGACGCTTGACCAGGGCCCCCGGCAAGATTTCGATCGGATGAGCAGACATGAATCAGCACGCCTCGTCTCGCACGACGAAACATGGGTAGGGTTTGAGCTTAGGCAGAGTCAATCTTAAGCCGCATGCCTTCTTGAACTACTAAATGCAACTAACAGTAGGACAACCCCGGTTGGATACTCTAGATATTGCCATTCCTCACTTCTTACCTTATTCCCGCTAAGAGTTGCTGTTGCCGTCCAGTCGACAATACGACCGCCTATGGATCTTCCAGAGAATGACTACGCAAGCACAAGACCATTGAAAGGATTTTCTAGCCTTGGGTCCTCCTGCATTAACATTCTGAGGTCAATTTAACCCCTTGAGAACTAAGTACGTAATAGAGTTGTGCCAGGGTAGAGAAGACTGGATCTCCGGCGTAGTTTCTCCACCACGTCAACCTAAAACATACTCTGTTTGTGGATACACGCGCCGCCTCACGGGACGTTTCTATTATACATACGATTTCCCAAAAGGGAAGCAAAACATCACGTTCCCTCGGAAGTTGTCCTGTGCCGATGCTTTCCATTAGTTATGAACGTAACCTGGTAGCCTGACCCAGCTGGACATCAGCAAATATTGTGGATTTCCGTTGTTTTGACCACGTAAATTCTTACAACGACGGTCCGAATAAGCCGCACGGGTGACTAAACTCTGATTTCTTCATCCGGTGGATTCTTCACGTCACGAAAGACAAAATGGTGCCCCACTGGTGACTACGCGCCGGAACAGATGAATGAAGGGTGGTTATGGCACAACGTGCCCAGTGTATGGCACAATCTGTAAAACTTGAATTCCAGCCCAAGGCAGATATAAAGAGCTGAGAGGCCAAACCAAATGGATGAGCTCAGGCTTGTATGCGAGGCCAATGAGGTCAAACTCAACGAATCGAGTCATGTTGGAGTCAATGCCAAGGTGATTTCTCAGACTGGACTGACTGCCAAGCAGCGTGGCAAAGAATTCCCACAAATTATTCATAGCCTCTGGAATAGTGTCGGTCTCTTGTGGCTATGATGCTGCCCAGACCGGACCGGAACGTTATGACAATTTTTTCAAAGCGATACCAAATCCCTCCTGTATCGATGGGCAAGATGACTACGAGGAATCGCAATTAAATGCATGTTCAAGAATATTCAAATAAGGGAAGAGAAAAATGTTAATGCTTAAACTATGCAACAAACTATCTAAATATTCGGCGGTCTGGCCTAAAACAAGGCATTATTTCCACAAGAGAATACGCCCTGTACGCTACTCGAGTCCGACTCGAAAATATCCAAGAGCTCAGTGATGGAAGACCATAGGCCAGCTCCATTCATAAACAGTGAGATTAGAATCAGAAATACATTGACAATAAACAAAGAAGTCTTCTTCCAGTTGCTGAAATACCGCCCTTGGTTGAGATTCAGCCAAAAGACGGCACTGAAGCCAAACGTGAACCACGAAATAGTCGTTGCTGAGGCGATGGAAAGGATGGAATCAAACACAGGAATTGCGTTTGAGAGAACAAAGCAAAGGATCCAAAAGACAGTCACGGAGATAATCCAGACGGACCAGGACTTTGTGCAGTTTTTGGTCATCTGATGAGACGCGCCAATACCCTGCATGATCTCAACGTACACATACTTGATACCCGTGTGACCGAAAGCGAGACCAGTGGACAAAACAGCTGGCAGAGCAATGCCATAAGCAATCTTGGCAGTGGTCTGGACGGCAGATCCAAGCGCAGGGGAGACGGTGAACTCGCCTGCGAGACAGTAAATGACAACACCGACGAGCACGTAAAACGAAATCGACGTGACCTCAAGTACGCCGAGAGCGAAGTTGAAGTCATTTACAGGATCAACCATCTCGGCCATGTATCCGACAAAATTGATATTGCCAGAGTAGGCATAGACGATCTTGAGGCAGGCGTTCAAGCCCTCGCGGAATGTAGGATTGCCGACCACAGTAAGCTGCCTCTTCCAACCTTGCGGGGCAGCAGAAGGGTTGGTGACACCCAGGCTGATCATGACGAGGAGCGCAGCCGAGATGATGCTAATGCAGCAGGGAATACCGCTCCACGCCACAAATTTAGCGGTTCGGGGCATGCAGAGGACCCAGCAGCAAAGGCAGCCAATACCGATGAACCCGACTGTGCATAGAGAATGGCTACTAATGGTGTTGAAAGCGATGGACAGAGTGACACTAGCTGAGGCGGCAGTCATGATAACCTGGATCAGGAGGCCGACACCAGCGGCGATCTCCAAGGGGCGACCTCCAACGACCTTGCACATGTCGACGACGTTGAGGACATGTTGATGCTTTCCGTAAAACTGCTTGAGCTCAAAAGCTGTGTACCATGAAAGGCAGCCGATGCCGATGATTGCGATGATGCCTGGCACAATTCCGAGGACTTTGAGGACGCCAGGCAGAGACAGAACACCGAGACCGACTTGGTTGGTCAGAAGAGCAAAGACGCAGTCCCATTTGGACATGTTGCGGAAATTCTTGCCGCCCTCTCCGCCGAGAGCATTTGTGACCTTGACAGTAGCAGTAGGGGCGGCTTGGATGTCGACGCCATTGTAAGACTTCTCGGTGGACTTGGTGTCGGGATTACTTGAATCGTCGTTGCCGCTGTCGGCGGGTGAAGCGCTGATATCCATCTTGCCCATTGTGGAATGCTAAGAGCGAGTGATGAGAGAAAGAAAAGCTAAGAACAGTGCTAAGACCTGAAATGGGGCGAATATAGATGGACGGATGAGTGAAGTTGGATGTGGCGAGATGGGAATGATTGAGGCGCGGCGCAGAGGGGATATTTAAACAAGTAGAGACGGGCGGTGTCTGGAAAGGACGCACTGATTCCTCCCAACACAGTCACTTTGGTGAGGGGATTTCGGACACGTCTATCAATGCTCGACGAGGCCAAGTACTTTGCCTCACGTCTCCACGATAGCTACGTGGTGAACCCTGTTTGTCCGTCTGGGGTGATCGAAGGCCCAAGCTGCGGAAGAAGAAGCGAGTATAAAACACGAATGGGGTGATCTAAGGAGTCAGCATTATATGCCTCTTGCTCTACGCCCCGTCTCTTACTTGAAATACGGGCTAATGGACAAAATCTGATTAGCTGAATGTTACGCAGCAAAGCTTTGGCTAGCCGTCACTACACCGTGGAACCTTGTTACGGTGTGCGCAGCCGCCCGAGGCCAAGGAGCTACTCCATCCCTGGACTGGGCCGCCCTGAATTCGCCTTCAAGGGTCACATTGCTGCCCATGGGGCATCGTAAAGAATATGTAATAGAATTGCAAATGTAAATCGGGGAAACGGGGATGGACCCGCGTACCCAAAACTGCTTGCAAGGCCCAAAATATGGATTTGTCGTGAGGTGGTTTTGCGTTTATCGTTGCCTACTACAGCTGTCAGGAACATGACATCATGGCAATATCAGAAATAGGTAAGGAGTAGGCCCTTGGCACGAATGAGAGCCCCGATGAGTTAATTTAACACCGGCTGTAGCCGTCGAGATGACCGGCAACCACAACGTAGACCGGCCGGTTAGTCGCTTAGAGGTGGACCCCTATATGTTTCACTATTATTCTAGAAATTCCATGCCGTCCACCACCCCTGTTCCTTCCCCTTTGCGTCCGTGCTAGTTCGCATGCTACTCCGCCATAAAGTGAGGCGTGGAAAGGTCTGCAGCTACTGTGCATACCCCAGACGGTCCCAACGGGCCAATTCATGAATAACTTTCTGTCAAGCTTTCATGAAACCGTAATAGACACGTTTCGTGATGTACTGATTTGATGAATATAACGTAGTCTTCACTTGCTACGAAAGAAAGTTAGTCTTCCTCAATTGTTCCCAAGGCAACAGATCGAGCAGTCACCACCTTGACTTTTGGGGGGGGGGGGGGACGCATGAAGCCATAATTCACCACTAAAACAAATCACCAATGTTTTAATTAACGCGTTCCCCATTTCATAGGAATCCCGCAGATCCAGGGTTTAGTTCTGGCAGGTGGGCCATCCATAAGATGGACTTCGTGGGCTAGCTAGAGTCCCTCGGTTTGGCATTCGCAACATAATCCGTATACCCGGGCTACTAAGTGGTGAATTGGAAATCGCGCCATGCAATGTCTGGCTGGCCGCGGGTCCACACATTCCAACACGGCTAAACGTAGACATACTAACATTGTTAATAACAATAACCTGCTATCGGCGCCACTCTAACGAGCCGCCAGTAGTGAGGCAATCCTTTAGACATGAGGCCATCCTGGGGTGGAAACTCGGGAACGACCGCTTTCTTATTCATACGCCACAGGGTGCCCTTGAAGTTACGATGTCGGTCACAAACCCTATCACGGACATAACATGCAGCCTTCCTGGTTTGGAAATTACAAATAGGTAGTGCCGCGCTTCCCGAAGGTGAGCATTGGGCCGCAATACATATACTGGAACAGGAGTTGTCGGGGTGGCAAGCCACTCCTCCTCCGCATCACGCCAATGTGCGGATTAGTTTGACTATTACATGACATTTTCTTCCTGAATCGAATCAGAATAACTGCTAAAAACAGGAGACCCCATGTTGTATCCCATTCATTGCGCTTGTTTCCAATGCTCTACCTCAATACTATACATTGAATCACTAAAATATGCCCTAGTTTCAATGCCAGCCACTTACCCGCACTGTCTTTGCATCTTTGGATAAAAAATTGAATTGAAGTCCATGAGTGGAATCGCACATCTCGTAGAGAGCTCCCTTTGCTAGCTCAAAAGTTAACATAGTTCCATTTGGGGGGTTTTTCTTTTGCTTGAGTTTGCAGGAAGACTGTGTATGAGGTTCGGGGCTCAAGGTGTAGATTCTCAGCAATTGGCCCTTGATTGTTTCAAACTGACGCTCGTCTTCTATTCGTAGTCAAAATATATTGTGCTCTATTTTGGAGTCTGGTTTGGTTTGCATTTCCTTCATAATGCCTACCTTGTATAATCATTTTCACCTAATGAGACGATCGGTTTATATATTTGAAGCGCACTTCTTGAGAAATCAATGCTTTGGTGTGAAAAATTAATTAGAGCAAAATATAATGAAATGGTATATACCTATGCATATAATTACTCAAAAACAAAGCTGAGTATCCCTTGTTATTATTGAGGAATGGTACCATCTCATGTACGGACAGCTTACAATCAGAAGTGGTCAATGTCTAGGGTAGGCTACTCAATGACGGATGATCTTAGTACATATATACAAATAGCGGCTGAGTCACCAATCCACTACAGTGGCTGAAAACAGCTACCTGTCTTCCGTAGTATAGTGGTCAGTATGCAAGCTTGTCACGCTTGAGACCCGGGTTCAATTCCCGGCGGGAGAGTCCGCCTGCCAACTTAGTTGGTTGTGTTTTTCTTTTCATTTTTTCTTTCTTTTCTTTTTTGTTTATTTTAACCATGGAGTATCCTGCGACTGGATGGCTTTCTGCGAATTGTTGCTCCCATGCCGTGCTATTGACAAACGGTAGTTGCTGTTGGAAAACGCCTTGCGAAAGGCCCATGGGAATCTTAGCTCAATTGGCGCTGATCCTGGACCTGTAACTATGATTCATAATGATTGTGCGGCGCTGTTGCAGGGGTAAAGACCAGCAATGCGCAAACTAGTGAATGAGCTTCCATCATAACGTGAGTCACCGGCGGCATCAGATCAGACATCCTCAAGTGCAAATAGCATCAGCAAACCCAGAGGCAATAAATAGGGCTCTGAAGTTGGAAATACCCAACAGAATTCTCACACAACACGGCAAGAAGGCTGCTATAACTCGCATCACGCCGCGGCAATTGACAAACGACCTCAACTTCATTCACTCTTCGTTAAACCACACTCTCCTATTAGCATTTTTTACGTCCTGAGGGACGCAAATACCTGTTCATGGCGCCTGCCGCTCAGACTGCCATGTCGGCTCTATTGACGCCCTCGACCGACACCGCGCTTTGCTTGATCCCACCAAAGCATCTCTGGGAGCCCGTTGACCGACTACGATCCCTGTACGACAAAGCCTACAACCGGTGGCCGCCCCATGTGAATCTTGTTTATCCCTTCGTCCAACCAGACTGCCTGGAGAGAGCTGTCGAGGCCATTGCTCAGATCGACTATGGCCTTGAACTAGGCCATTCAACACCCCTTGCAGCCCTGTCTGAGCCAGACGTGTTCGCGCAGAAGAACAACAACACTATACACCTGCGGCCGCGAGCCGGCAAGAATTTAGAAACCCTGCGTCGGCTTTCCAACATGTTACAACGCGCTCTTGGGAGACCGGAGGACAACAATTTCAAACCTCACATGACAGTGGCTCAGAGCCAGGACCGCAACTCAGCCTCCCACCTCTATCTTGTTGACAAGGTTCGCTCCATAGGCGAGATTTCCTGGGATATCACCGAATTGGCCATTTTGATTCGTGACAAGGACGAGTCTTCCACTGATCCCACGGCGCCCCGACTCATGAAGCTCTGGGGACGTGTCTCCCTCAACGCCCTTCAAGTCAATCGACTGCCGATCCCCGAGACAATGTATTCCCAGAATGAAGAAGCCCAGTCCTCGGCTCTTCCCAAGCCAGCTCCGCAGACATCTTATAGGTTTTGCCCATCTGAAAGCAAGTGGGTTTCGCACTCCTATTCGATCTCCCCTACTGCTCAACAGTCCACGATGGACCGATTGATCGTGGCATCTTACAATGTTCTCGGAGAGTTTGAATGGCCGCCAAACCAAGACAGATATCTGAACATCGTGGAGAATCTCATTTCCGAACGTGGAAGAGCCGATATTATAGCCCTGCAAGAGGTCACTGATCACTTCTTGCAATTTCTCCTCGCCGACGAACGAATCCGTTCACAGTATCCGTTTTCCACCCATGGCCCGCCGGATCAACTCGATATCGGACCTCTTCCAAATCACCTCAACATTGTAATTCTGAGCAAATTTGAGTTTCAGTGGAACATCCTCTTATTGTCGAGGAAGCACAAGGGTTCGCCCATTCTTACCTTCCCGACGGTTCGCGAGAACGATACCGAACCCAGCAACAGCCAAACACTACCTCTGGTCCTTGCCGCATGCCATCTCAGCCATGGGTTGGTAGATGGAGCTGTAGCCAGCAAAAAGAGCGAACTACAAAGAATTATCAATCATCTTGCTAGTACATACCAATCTCACCCATGGATTATTGCTGGCGATTTCAACATCCCAACCTCATCGTACACCATCGAAACAGCCCGACAACGACGCTTCATCTCCTCCCAATCCTACCATTATCTGAGAGACTTTACCTCTAAGCTGACTGAATCTGGTCTACAAGACACCTGGATAGCTTCAAGAATCCAAAGTGGAGAGTCTTCAACACAGTCATGGCGATTGGAGCCAACGGCTAATGAGCTCTTCGAGGGTGAAGAAGGCGCGACGTTTGATCCCCAATCCAATATCCTTGCTGCGAAGCTTGTAGGCTCTGGCATGAACAATCGCCCTCAAAGATACGATAGAATTCTTGTGAATTCGCACTTCAGGCTTCGCCCGTCGCGTTTCAACATGTTTGGTCTCCCACCAACCCAGGTTCAAGCAAACACGCAAACCGATGCTGGCGCAAGTGATCACTGGGGTGTTCGCTGCCTCTTCCAAGCACCGTCGCAGGAGGAGAAGAGCCAGGTGAATGCAAGGGAGAAGGCGATGGACGTGAAACTGGAGCGCGGACCAGCTTCCTTGGGCAGACTGGAGGATTTGAAACGTTGTCTGCAAAAACGACAATTTCTACCCACCCAAGCTGATGTTACTGAACGACAGCATGCAATTAATCTGCTTCAGACTGCTCTACAGTGTCAAGCCGTCGGACATGATACGCCAGAAGACGGAAAAGGGCCGCAGTTGACGCTTGTGCCAGTGGGCTCATTTGGCCTAGGGGTCTGGACTGAGTCTTCTGACGTGGATGTCCTGTGTATTGGCGGCATCAGTTCAAAGTTGTTTTTCAAACTGGCCATTTCAAGACTTCGAAAGGCAGAATCCAGCGGCATTAGAATTCTCAGAAGGGTGAGAGCAAGCTCAGGAACGATGTTACTTCTGGACATCTCTGGAATCAAGTTCGATCTGCACTATTGTGGTTCTCTCTCTATCCTTGAACAGTAAGTAAACAAACCCCATCCACTCGCATAAACATGGCATTCACACACTATAGGTTCCCTGAGGTAATGAAGAGACCACCGACCGACCCAGCTTTTGCCTTACCACCTCAGACACTGTCAAAGCTAAAACCTGTCCGAGACCTATTTTACATCCGCCGATCAGTCCCGGACATGTCGCAATATAGAGCGGCTCATTTGTTGATTAAAGCCTGGGCCAAGTCCAGAGGCCTCTATGGGGCGAAATTTGGCCTTCTTGGAGGCATAAACATAGCCGTGACTCTTGTTCCCGTGTGTAAAGCTCTTGTGAAGAAGGCGGGATCAGTCTCTGTAGCGGATATCGTGGTCTCTTACTTTCATCACTACGCTCAGTTCGACTGGAAGACACAGGTAGTTTTTGATCCGTTCTTCCACAAGAAACTAACCTACCGCCGGTCTTCCACGGAGCCGCTATGTCTTTTGGGATGGCACCCTCCTGTTTTGAACACGGCTCTTAACGCTTCCGTGCCCACCGTCAAGACTATCCAGGCTGAAATTTCTAGATCTTGTGAGCTTCTTTCGAGCCAGAACATCACCTGGGACAAATTCCTCGACTCATTCATGGGCCCTTCTTCGCTCGGAGAATCGGATCTTGACCCTGGAGCCGCGGACTTCTTGGAAGCGTTCAAAGTGTACGCCAGGCTTGACATCAGCTATTGGGGTTCGTCATCAAGGAAGCGCAACGACTTTGTGGGATGGCTGGAATCGAGATGCGTCATGCTACTTGTTGGTGAGCCTTTTTTCTCCCAACCCTCCAACAGAAAGACACTAATATTCTTTTTCTAGAAATTGGCAGAAAGGCCCCTGGTTTTACGGCTCGAATCTGGCCACAACGGTTCGTAGATGGAGGTGCCGCTAAGACTTCTGGCAGCGAAGAAACTTCGGACTATAATGGCTGCTACCTGCTTGGTATCGAGCGCGAGTCTCGCGATCATTCCGAAGGCGCTCTTCAGGCAACCCTTTCCCAGTTTGAGGAGCGCATCCGAGGGGACGCCAGGCATTTTGACGCCAACACTTCTTGGATGGCTGCAACCCTTGTCAAGTGCACGGAATTAGGCGACCTGCAGCTCGACAAGAGCCTCTTCATCGAGGACAATGGCGGCGCAGCTGATGATGACATTAGCTCTGACGACGAGGAGTCTGATGAAGACGAGGAGATCGATGATGTTGATGGAGTGGCAAAGTTACCAATTCGACAACAGCCACAGCATGGGCTCGGACTATCTACAGCAAAGTTACGAACCGCGGTAGACGTCATGAATCGGCTGAGATGGGATTCCAACATGAATAGTGATGACTACATTGTTGGCTACGAGGATCGGTTCACTGGCACTTGTGAGAAGGCTCTTGACATGTGGAAGACCGACCAAACCGACGAGGAGTTCATTCCACAACATCGAATTCTCTACTTCAAGCGGCGTAGCGATAATGAGGTGGTCTGGGAACGGAGGACTAGGATAGACAAGATATTCGGTAGCGGAGCCTCGAGCCAACCAGAACTTGGTTGCGAGTAAACATAGGTAGCAATGAATGAGAATCAAGATTTCACGTATATTCTCATAACAAATACTCATGTCTTCGTGAATCAATACAGGTAGGTTTAAATTTAAGTCTTTTTGTTTCTACATCTCTTCTCTGTCATGATATGACGCATACTCCATTGTTATGTTCACCCTCGAATAGAAGAACGGAATTAGAAGTCCAGTTTCTCTGGGCTTTTCACTCTGATCCCTCTCTGATGAGATTTATAGTCTTAAGAGAGTTGAGGGTAAATGGGTAAGCAGGCTATCTCTGGTATCACGTGATGGCTTCACGGATCAGTCGCGTGAACTTCTTAGCTCACAAACCGTTCGCCCGTCACGCATGTTCACTTTCAGCAACGGATAACAGCTCTATTGGCTTTCAAACTCGAGAAAAACAACGCATCATGATTCATACTAATATCCCAACGGACTTCTCCATCCGCACGCTACCAAGCAAACTCACAGTTGCTGCAACCAAACTCCCCGCTTCCGACCATCGCACGCTTAATAAAAAGCGTGAATGGCTTGAGAACTATACAGTTGAAGTACCTAAAACGCTCAAACGTAACGGGGTGGCAAGCCCTGTTCCTGCAGTTCTGGTTTTCGCCCAAGAAGAAGCTGGGACTGCGATTTGCATATCTCCCAACGGCGTGATCTTGACCTGCTCCCACTGCGTCGCCGAGACGGAGGATGAGCTTGACTGGGGCAAAACACACTGGCTTCTTTTTGCCTCTGGTACTGTTGTTGCTGCGAAAACAGTGTTCTGGGATCCCAGTCGAGATCTTGCCATTTTGATCATCACGCGTGCACCACCATTAGCTCTGAATTCCCCAGCCTCTTTCCCATTCATTCGCTTGTCACCGGAACCCCCTCGTCTAAATGCACGATTGATGTGTTTCGGTCATCCAGGAGCAGAGGACTTGGAAGCTTCGATACCTGGTGTGAAGACAAACTATGACACCCTGGTAATGAGTCTGGGTACTTTTAAAGGCATGGCGCCTGGTCAGGATCCGCAGGACAATGCAGAGATAGGGGTATTTATGCACGATTGCTGGACATATTGGGGACACAGCGGTGCTCCCCTGCTGGACAGAAATACCGGCGCTCTAGTAGCCTTGCATTCTAGTTGGGACGACGAGACTGCGATGAGAAGAGGTGTCCCCTGGGAAGCGATTGATGCATTCCTTCAAGAGATTGAGAAGCAGGAGCACGGCACCACGCCAGAAGGATGGCGTTGGCATTGCCGATAACTGCTGTCCCTTTGGTTGGCAAATCTCTAGCTGACAGGGCAATTTTCGACCGATTTCCCTAGATATTCTACAATGCATAAATCTTAGAACACGGTAGATACTTCCTAAATCCGCTCATTCCCGGCAGCTGTTGGCGTTCATAGGTAGAATAGCCTGCAAAAGATCAGATGAATAAAATATGTTTGAAAAAGGGCAAGACATCTAAATTTAGACCAGGCACCGGACCTGGAGAGTCAATATTAAAAAACCTCCGCTTTTGCTGTCGATCACTGAAAAAGGATGGGATAAAGGAGCGTTCCTTTCTCAGGTCTAAATCTCACGTAATAAGGATGTCGCAATGCTGATCGCATCAACGCTGGGTTTTGCTCTGTGGTGTTTATGCAATGAAACTCATCAACTTGGTCATGGGTATCTTGGTATTTGTTTTGGGGCATATGATTCGCGCTATGAAAAGGGGTTTCGCATGGATCGAATTTTATGGCCCGCATGTGGTGGCTTTGAGGGAAGACCATTCATCCCGCTGTTCATGAGAACTGTGACACTATTCGTAACTGTAATTGGCATTGACTGCTCAACACACAGAATTAACTGTTTGAACAATCGAAGCGTTCATCATAACTGAGCGCCCAAAAGTTAGCACAGGCTGTACTATGTATCTTGGTTGCCCGGTGGAAAGCTCTGGTGCCAATCTCTGTAGGAATTGACGAACAAGGGCCTCAGCTCCCTGGCTCCTTGAGGATTTTCTGCCTTACATTCCAATCTCCCGAATTTTGGCTCAAGCAAGGGGCCTGTTTATTGGTTGAATGGTCCGTTGCCGGTCCCCCCTAAGCTTCTTGGAGTATGCTATGGGCCTTCCGAATGGACCGGCTTGGCCAAAGACAGATCCTATTTGCGATTGCCTTTGAATTGGCGGGGCTTGTGTTCAGCCAATATCGCCAAATGCAAGGGTTGTAAGATCATCGGTTGCCTTTCGCGGGGCTGGGCTGAGCTGTGCGGACCAGTCCAGCCTAGACGCGGGCTATTGAGAAAAAAATTGGACTAGGAGTTTCCTTTTCGATCATGGTAAGCTGACAGAGCCCGGCATCTGCGTGGCCCAGGCCCTGGTTTGCTGACAATGCGCTGGGCTGGGCTTTCGGGAGGGCCAACTAGATATGCATGTCTCTAATCCATCCATTCAGCTGAAGCCAAACGGGGCCAGCTCTTGCTTCTAGTCCAGGATTGCATGTACTATTCATGTGGAATAGCGGAGTCAATTCCTGTTATCGATTTTGGTACCTCGTAAAAGAAGACGTTTCTTCCTTTTCGCCCCCAATTGCAAATGCTGACGCCGTGGTGAATATTTGGAAGTGTCGAGGGCCTCTTGCCCATACCGAAAACACGATGGTTTCCAATTCCTTCACTGATCACCGAACTCAGGAATTCGCGACTCCAGCCGACGATTCGACGCTACGCTCTGGACACCCTCGAAGTCCTACCCCTCCGCTGAGCCCATCGCAAGCAGCTCTCGGCCAGTCTGCGCCCCTCATGGCTGACCACCGACAGATTTCCGAGTCGAAAAACGTGGCGAGCGGCTTGGTACAGGATGTGTCGTCCTCAACCCGATCATTGGAGGACGACGTCTCGCCGTCGGGAGAAAAGCCTCGCAGAGATGGCCCTACGTTTCTACAGGTCTTGAAGGCATGGTATCCTGAGCTTCTCTGGGTTGCTTTCGATGTTGCGCTGCTCATTGCTCTAGTCATCACTCTCGCTGAGTTCAATGACAAGCCGATGCCGAAATGGAAATTGGGCCTGACTCTGAATACCGTCGTCGCCATTCTCTCGACCGTGAGCCGGGCGATGACTATCATTCCTCTGGTCGAGGCCATGTCACAGCTCAAATGGAATTGGTTCGCCTCAAAGCAGAGACAGCTCCGGGATGTGTACTTGTTCGATCAGGCGAGCCGTGGGCCTTGGGGAGCCATGGTTCTGATCTTCAAGACGCGTGGAAGGTATGCGATATCAATTCTTCCCCCAACAGACCATTGACTGCTTAATACTAAGCCTCATTGAAAAGACTCATCACCTTCGCTTGGGTTGCGGCTGTGATTCTAGTATCCGGTCTCGCTACTTCGTTCTTGACTCAGTCCGCGGTCACCTACGACCAAGACAGATTCGTCCAAGTTGACAATGCCGAACAGGCATCAGTTCTCGTGGCCCCTACCTGGCCAGTGTTTAGCAAGTCCAGCAATGTCACATACGAGCATGGTAAGTCAGAATAATATTAGCCGTGTACTTAGCCTCCCTGTTATTAACTTCCGGCCCAAAAGACCCAAGCTTCGGATTCGGTATCACCCGATCTGCGATCCGAGCTGCATTTCTAAGCGAAGGAGAAACTTGGGAACCTCCCCAACCACGATGTCCCGAAGTAAAATGCGAATGGCCACCTACAAGCTCTCTCGCCGTATGCGCCAGTATACAAAACGTCACAGAGCATCTTACCTTCGAGACGCGCGACAACAAGGTGAATGACTCGTACACCGAGATCATCACCAACGCCGCCCTTCCCGATGGACGTGCGCTTCTCAGCAAGGTACTCGAGTCGGGCGTGAAGGCAATCAGTGGTAACATGACTGCTTCAGAGTACAAGTTTCCGATCGAGGAGTTCAACGACCACTCCGTTGCGGACAGATGGGACACCCTGGCGAAATGGGAAAATCAAGACATCCTAACGACAGCACTGTCCCATTTTTACGTCATTTATAGCAACAACAACAAAAAGGAGGATCCCAAATACAGGTTTCGGGCAGCTGAGCTTGTGTATCATCTCTGCGTCAAGACATATGACGTGGGATTCGAAAATAGCGAGCCGACTACCAAGACCGCCTCGACTGCTGTCAAGATCGACAAGCTTCTTCACCCAGGCCCCAAGTTTGACCAGGAGGAAAGTTCTTTGACCATGGTCAGCGAAGAAGGCAACGGCCCTTTCAATGTGTCTGTCGGCTGGACGTTCGAGATTATGAGAAACTATTTCAAACATGCTTTTACCGGGTCCTGGGTCTGGAACATCAACGAGACGGAAATTATGCCTACAGCTCCCGAACTAATCTTCCGAAACATGTTCTTCCGCTTCAACGAGTCCACGGCGGACGATGAATTTGACCTCAGAGCCATAGGGAACCTCCAAAGCCTTACTGATACCATTGGCGATGCCATGACTGCTTAGTATGTTCCCTCTGCAGACACTTTAACCATCTTTCCGCGCTCTACAAGCTTTTCTTTTTGACGGCTGCTAACAATAAATAGCATGCGAGAAGTAGACCCAAACCGAGCCAAGTCCGGAGTTGCCTTCAGACAGCAAACCATGGTCAAGATTCGTTGGGAATGGCTCAGTCTCCTGATCATTCAGATAGGGCTGACCCTTTTATTTGTCGTTGCCGTCATGATCCAAACAGCCAGGCTTGGAATGGATGTGGTCAAGAGTTCCAACACGGCCGAATTGTTTGCATTCCAGGGTATGCACGAGAATGGAGCTGGATCTAATCTTGCTCAGGAGACGGATGGGTTGAAGTACAGAGGTATCAAGACGGAACTGTCTCCCACCTTGTCTGGGCAGCTTGTACAGGGAGAGCATGGCTGGAAGTTGAAAATTTCGTAACGCGGGCAATTCCCTCACTTGATCAGCCGCCGGCGCGTTGCATTATAATGATGTCAGAAATTATTCCGTTTCTTCTTTTTTATGAATCAGCATTCAAAATTAGCATATTTACTTAATTGGGGCGGGCATTAATTAACGATTTTCTGGTATGAACAGTAGAATACACTCACCTTGCCAGGGCTGAGAGCTGCGTACCTATTGGTGGAGATGAAATACTAATGAAGACGAAACAATTTTCCAAATGAATGCTCTCTTCATTTTGGCATTCAATCCAAGGCGTTCGCCACATGCTATGATTGCATCGTGCAGTGGCGAGTCGGCCTCCCTGATAACCGTTGTTATGAACTACTTAATAGAGACTTCGAGGACGCTCTTACGGCTTTGCAGTCGGGGTTTTATTGCACGTAAAATTTGAGTTATCGCGGTTCAAGTTTACTGTTCGGTCGTAAATAGTGCTCCAAGTTTTGTTCAGATGTGTTCATAAATTAAGCTCATGAAGCCGTCAGAACTAAAAATGCATTGGCGACAAGCTGACGAACATAGGACATTGAGGCACTGGGACAGACTAATCCGGTCAATTTGATTGCCATTCAATGAAAAGAGTCTTTCATGACTCCCCCATGTATCTGCCTAGAATAGACATGTAGTCATGTGCTACCTCGGCTTTCGTCCGATTATCTCCCACTTCCCGTCCTAACCAGGGCATTTTGAACCGAATCTCCAGGGTAGGCTTAATTCAAGGGGCGAAGGGGAATTTAGGCTCTTCCCCTGGCTGGCAAATTGTCATCAGCAAAGCCATAATTGGATAAACTCACCCCGCTTCCCGTGATTCTAGACTGGACCCTGGTAAATGAGCTCGCCGACGGACGTCTGCTTTCGGCACTGGTCTTTCCACGGCCTCTGAATAGTGCAGAGGGTTAGGGCTTAGGAATGAATAACGGAGAATTGGGAAGAAGAGGAAAAAGAAAACCCTCATATTCCGCCACTGGCCTAAATCACCGCAATGCATGCTAATATAGTCCTCTCAAGGAGCAAAGGAAAGATATGCCTCGTGGCGCGTTCAAACTGGTTGGATGAATACGAGATACGTCTTTCTTGTCGAGCATTGCTTACCCCGCAAAGAGTCTGACCTCTTGGACGGAGTGGTGTATGGAACATCGCTTTGGTATTTTCACTAGAGATCAACGGATCTTCAGGTTTCGACCGTCCAAGATGAATATCGATTGCCACCATTTCTGATTGTGCTTGTCGTCGCGATACCATGTAGAAGTAGATTTGTGTGTGGCATGTCACGATTTTAAATGAGATGGAGGTGCGATGTTCTACCATTCTGCTTGCACGAATTGATCAGACCTCTTGTCGCAATCGCAATCACTTCATCTCATGAGGGAGATGGGCTTAATCTGAGGTTTTTAGGATGATGGATATCATGCAAGATTAGTCGGAATGGCGCCGCCTGCATCGCGTAGTGGGTGGAATCGCTACTCAGCTACAGATATTCACCGAGTCAAGTATTCCGCAAGGGGCAAGGTGTTAAATACTAGAGATGAATGGCAAGTCTAGACAGAACGGAGGCAAGGAGGGCCACGAGACATGGAGTGCTAAAACACGACAAGTTAGCTGCAATGGTTGGGAGAGAGATGGTGGCATAGACTATGGGAGGCACCGCGTGACCCTAACAAGAGAAGGGCGTTGGTAAGAAGCTTACCGCGTGGCCTTGGGCTGTCCTGCTGTCACATATCTCCTTGGCATGTGTGCATCCTATTCAGCTTAATTCAGCCGTAATACACTATGGCTTTGCCTATGGCTAGCCCTACCACACTAACACACCATAATGCAGAGGTAAACTCAGTTTGGCTTGGCGGAGGCAGGACTATTCCTTGTTGCTAGTCTGGATTGGCCCAACCGTCAAGTCTAGTCCCAAGCCACGGTGATCAGCCAATGCAGTGTCAGGAAGATACACCTACCAAGTGTCAGCATTGGACGCCACTCGCACCCGACATGTCTCTGAGCTGGCCTGGGGGCTATTTAATCATATGCTGGGTGCCCATCGCCCCTTGGAACTGCTAAAATCTGGAAGGCCGTAGATCATCCTCGCTCTCGTCGTGGTGCCATGTTGACCTCGAAGCGCCTGTATCTCTTCCTCGCGTGCCTCGCCGCCTTCATTGCACCCTCTCTGGGGCAACGGCCGAGCACCGCTTCATTATGTGACTACTACGCCACGGCCCTGTATGGTGCCAACAACAGCAACACGCAGTGGAACCTCATCAGGCATATCGTGGCTTTGGCGTTTGAGGGAGGTTCCGAGTTGACCAACAAATCATCCGAGCTGACGGGAATCTTGCGTCCGGGCAAGTTTGGTGGCGTGGACATCGACCTTCGACAATACTTCAACGGCTCTAGAGCTTCCACGAATGTCAACAACGCACCGATTGGTATTAATTGGCTTGATCAGGGTGGTACTGTGCCACTCTCGGATTTCTTGACTGGGAGGACGGACACTGTTGTCATGTCTAATTCCTCGAACCAATAGTGAGACTTGACCATCAGAACTAAGTCAATATTGAAGCTACCTTGCTAACGATCCCACCTAACAGTCACCTGTTTGGAAACTTCTTTGTTTCGTTCAGCCGAGCGTTTGCCTGCAGTATCCCATACCCCTCTCTACCGAACTCCGCCGGTCCCGTTCAGTTGTCGTACGCCCACAAGTTCATGAACCTCGAGTATAACCAACTTGGACACTTCATCAACCAGCTCAGCCAGGCAGCGATATACTACGGATTTTCCACCCAGGACGCCGAAACGTTCCGTACACGATTGAACAGTCAATACAACGTGCGATGTGCACCGCCAGTCACATTCAACCCAGCAATGGGCCCGCAGCTACTCAGTCTGTGCCAGAACCCGACGTGTCCGCTTGCGGTTCCAGTCAGCGACTGCGCAGCATACAACAATCTTACAGCAAATGGAATATCGGATAGTAGCCCTACCACGGTGACGGCCACGGCCACTGCTACTGCCACGGCATCGACGGCGCCGTCGTCTTCGGCAACATCTGCGTCTCCAGCCACGCAGGATGAGGATAAGCTGACCAAGGGCGCAATTGCCGGTATCGCCATTGGAGGCGCAGCTGTTCTTGTCCTTGCCGTCGCGGCCTTCTTTGTCGTCAGGAGACGACGCAATAAAAGTCCCCCTCCACCACCTCCATCAGAGCCCCCGGCTGCCTGGGCAGGCTCGCAGCATTTCTCGTCCCCAACTCTCGACCCTACCACCCCAGCCGGGCGTGACCGCCACGCGTCTTCATTTTTCTCTACAGGCCCCCCACCGTCTGAGATGGCCAGCTCTAGATATCAGAGCCCCGTGGAATTGAACGCCAAAACAGGCGATCCGTATCTCCAGCAGTGGGCAGCAACAGTCAGCCACCCAGTCGAGATGGATAGCTCTCCAGCTGAGGAACACCAGTGGTCACAGGAGCAAGGGGGAGAGATCCAACAGGCTCAAAACCAGTCCCAGAGCCATGCTTATCATCAGACTCAAGATGAGGCGACGCGGCAATACCACGAAGGTAATTATCGATGAGGCGTCTGCCTCACACAAACTCTTTGGTGGAAAAGGGGGTGGGGTTTATTATAGATGATGTAGAATAATACGTATACGGTAAATTAATAGCAATGCATTTTATCTCTTTATTTCAAACATATCTATACTTATGATGTGACGCGCGGTCGGATTCAACATGTTTTTTTCCTGAGATCGCCGTCTTTCAAAAAGAAACTCAGTGTCAGGCGCATGCCACCTTATCATTTACCGTCAGTCTGTGATTGCTCAAATATGGAAATGTGAAAGCAGATGATCAGTATCATTACAACACTTCAAATCTTTGCCTATATATCTGGCTTGTGGAATCAAGTCTTGGATGACTTGAGCGGACAGGCGGGCAGGAAGCGTTGTATTTGGAATCGCACCACTTTGCACGCTTTCGTCATCATCAGGAGAAGTTTTTACGCTTCTGAAACGAGGGCAATAATTGCATTCACCTCCATCTGTCTCGTGCCAGATGCAAGGGGCGGCATTGGCGGACCGTGCCATTGCGTGTTTACGTAGAACAAAGGTGACACGTGTGAAATCGCCGGTCTCAACTTGATCAATAGAAGGTCCCTGCAATCACACCATCATTCATGAGTAAGATGACGAAACAAAAAGAAAAACTTCCACGTGTCAAACCAATTCTTTGGTAATGATTGGATATGCATTATGTAGGTTTCGTCTCGACTTCTTTGGTTTCTAGAAGGGATATAAGGTTTCGGCCCGTGCTACTGGTGGCTATTTTTGAAGCTTATATTGCCTGCAGTGAGGTGGTACTGGTTCTTATAGGAGCTCTAAAAGTTCCAACTTTGGAGATAATTAATCAGTTCATCAAAGTTGAAAGAAAGGGGGGAAGAAAAAGATATCCAAATTTGATTGTTGAACGCATTGTTGATAATGGATTTCTGGGAACATGCGTAAGCCCATCAGAGAGAAAGCACAGAGGAAAATCACCGAGGACCTAGGGCCAACCCTAACTTGTGAAAAGCTGCAAGAGATCTGTATGGTATACATGCACTAGAACCAAAACATGTATCAACTTTATACGTCCCAAGTCGATGAGAATCCATCATCATAAACATCCCAAAGCATTGTTTGCTCTGACACATTGAACCAACTCTCAGAAATGCCTGACGTTCCCCGCAAGTTCTCCATAATGCTAGTGGCGTCGAAGTCTGGAAAGCCCAACTCTCCATGGGATTCAAGTAATGTGGATAGACTAGGAGAGTGATCATCTCCATCATGTCTTCCCTGCCAGCCTGAGGTCTCATCCGATACCAATAGATTACCAGTTATTCTTGGCAGGGCGACTGCTGGCGTTGCAGCAGCGTCTGATTCAACGCTGACTCCCATATCTGCCATTAACCGATGAAGAATTTCTCTGGCCCTTCTTGCGGACGAGTATACCGCCTTGTGTCTATCCAATGCTCCAAGACACACCGAAAGTGCTTCTCGATGGCCGAACTGATTACCATGATGAGCCAGGACATGAATATGTATGGTTGCGCTGATATGAGCCGCATAGCATAGCACAAAAGTCTCACTGCCAAGATTGTACAGTTTCTCGTGTATTCGAAGAATTTGACTGATCTCAGAGGCTGCTCGACAGCAGGTCACAAGCGCCTCATTCTCTAGTGACCCTGGTGAAGGCCCGGTGTGGGAGAGGAGTAGACGGAAGACCAATATGACAAGCAGATTATAGGTAGCTCTGAGAAACAGGAATTTAGTCAGATATCATACTTTTTCGGCCAATTGTGGTTAACTCACAACATCGCCAGGTTATAAGGCAGTGGCCTCAACTTTGCTTTGCAAGACACAAAGTCGAGTTGAGGAGGTAGCTCTCGTCTCCACTCCTCAAGTTCCAACTGCAGTAACTTGATATCATTTGGAAGGTGATCCGAAGGCTGTGTAGAGTGGCTCGTGGAATAGACTTGAGAGTGGATTCTCTCCATGACGATACTGAGGCGGCAAAATTGCTCCAAGAGAGAAAGATTGTAGGATGGTAATACGCAGGGCTCGGCTGCGGCGCAAAATGAGATAGGGTTGAAATGCTCCAGCTCCTCGTAGTCGTCATAGAATACCAAGGGGATATTTGAATCCGAGAGGCGAAGATTGGGATGTCTGCCTTGATAGAGACAGAGCAATTTGTCTATTACTAGATGGCCGAGTGAGTTAGCATCATTGGAGGCCGGGGTCATAGATCGGGTAGATCTTACGGAATGCACCCCAAAACACTCTTCTCCTTACTTCCAGCTCCTCTGGGCTCATCGATCGAGACGTTCCTCGCCGGACGTGGATGCCCATATCAATGAGCATATTGAATGCATTCCCTGCATACAACCAGGAGACACTTCTCTCGTCGCAGCGAGAAAAAAGCGAGCTTGACATTATTAGGAGCGCTTGAATGCTGGTAATTCGACTTTGATCGAATTGATCTCGCAGGATTTCCGTGAAGCGCTGCCGGAAGGACCACCCAGCTGTGTTGATGTCTTTTGCTTCATGGCGAATAGCTGTCGAGGAACAGTGTTTTGAAGCCGAGTAGTACATGGCATTTAGAAGCAGTTTGGAGAAATAAGGCCCTCCACAAGCCATATCTCGCATGAAGACCGTCCGATAGACGATTAAGCCTGCATGGGGCTGTCGTGTCCAGTAGATGGAGAGTAATTCCATCCCAAGAGAGGGCTCTACGCCGTCAAAATCGAGAGCTCCCGTGGCAAAATTCACCGTTTCAAGTTGGCCTACATCCATCTAGACTTAGTTGATTTCGAAGACTTAACAAATCAAAGTGATGGGATACATACGCTGTCTGGCCGACTCTGCAACTAACATACACCTGATGTTGCTAGAATCACTCGTAGGAAAGTCTTCATCGGTCCCCTTCACATTCAGTCGTGATAAATTATCAAATAAAACGCTAGTCGGTCCATGGTAGCTTGCTTGGTTCATCTGTGGAGCTTCAGCAAGCAAACTTGGTGAAGTCTCTGAAGCCAGTTCCTCTCTGGTAGAGCTTGTCGGGGGCCCTAGGCTATCTTCAGCTGACCACTGCCTCTGCGTAGATTCTAGGGCGACTTGTGTACTCGACGATGAGTGGGTGCTGCTGGCATTGGTCTCTTGTCCGTCTTTCTGGGCCTCTTGGAGGAGCTGACGAAGCTGTTGATTTTCATCTTCGAGTTCCTTTATCCGTCGATTCGTGGGCCTCGCTCAACTTTAGTCTCCTGCCGTTGGAAGAGAATAGGGGGTCTTACCTTGGCTGTTGCGTAGGGGTCTGAGGGATACATTCTTTGCCTTTTGCAACGCAAGCTTTACATGCCGGCTTTGCCCCGTCGCATTTGAGCTGCAGGTGACATTTATCTCATTAGTCAAACACAATGATTGAGAAGAGGGATGCAAAACGTGGGCATGGAAGAGAGATCAATTGTCCTCGAACCTTTTTTTCTCGGCAGTGTTCGCATGATAGCGTTGTCCGCCGAGATGATCGAGCTTGGTCTCCTCGTCCCTTTCCAAGCATCACTATACACCATCCGAGCTGTCCGGAGCTCTAGAGCCGTCCTGAACTTGGACAACGGGTCTCTATTGTGTGATAGATGATGGGGCGTTGTTTGAACTGCCAGTGTTGCAGGACAAAAATGGAGCTGGGTGATGCTTTCTCCACAGAGTCTGGGGCCAGTGCTTGTTTACTTAATTCAAATCCTTCGACCCCGCACGGGTTAAATCGTTTACGGATTGCAGCCCCACGTACTCGTTGCTCGGAACACGGAAGAGCCCGGTATCATGATACTTGGTGGGCTGTGTATTGTCGAGTGGTGTCTTGGTAGAGGCGAAATTGTTTACTCCCACCACTAGCTGAGTGTCAATCATTTTAGAAGCGAAGGAGCCAAAACTTAATGCGAATTTCTTCTCTATGTCATCAGGCATTCAAGTGTAGACTACATTTGGACTGCCGTTGACTGACAGTTACTACAACTTTCAAACATGGTTTGTGACTCATCAAGCCCAGATTTCTTCGAATCAAAATATTATATTTAGACATCCTACAGCTCATGTAATTGAGTCAGCTCGTGGGTAATACCTTGTCCACTCGTGATCTTGTTCAAAGCCTAGGAGCCTCTTGATTTTTTGGTTGCTCATAGGTGCTTCTCGTGGCTCCATTTCTCTGGTAAATGGAGTGTTCGGACACTGTTCCCTTAAGAACTCGGAAGTATTTGTCATATTTGTGATGTGGTCGTTGGTCGCATTGAATATCTGGAAACCCAATCCATCCTTGCCGATGGCTAAGGAACACATTTTGCCCAGATCACGAGCGTCCGTGTACGACCAGCCATGCGCTTTCCATTTTGAAGGGTCGTTCACATAGCCTTGGAAGGACTTCTCATACTCGTCTGGGGCTATGACTGCGCCAATTCGGAGGGCATAAATATCAATGCCAAACCTTCTCGCAAAGCTTCGCCCGACCTTCTCGCTGCAGACCTTGGAAAGGGCGTAGACATCCATGGGGTTGACATCAATATCCTCATCGATGGGGAACGAGGGAAAATCGACATCACCCTCCGCATAAGTGACCCCGTATGTGCATACAGTACTCGCTAGAATGATTTTCTTGACCCCAAGCCTAGAAGAAGCCTCGATAACATTGAAAGCGCTACTCGTGTTTACTCTGTAGGTCTCAATGTCTGGCACCAACATATTTCTTGCGATGCCGGCGAGATGGATAACTGCATCGGGAGGGCTATGGACTGGCTCGTTGAATGGCTCTGTTAATTTAAAGTGAGATGAAATTGAGCTATAGACCTGACCGCCATCGGTGAGATCGACTTTGAGCGTATGCACTTGGTTGCCAAGGTCGCCCGGTAACGGCGCGAGGTCGAGATTAAGCACATGATGTCCCTGATCTAACAGATATTGTATTATATGACGGCCAGCCTTGCCGGATCCGCCGGTCACAATGACTCGCCTGCTCATATGCTGAGGATGGGGCTGGTGGAGAACAAATAGAGGGATGCTTGGCTGGCTTGTTTCAAGAGCAGACACCTCGTTGAGCAATGAATTTCAGGACATCTATTCAGCTCAAGAAGGAGAGCGATGCCAATGCCCCAGATATACCCCAAGAATGCATGATTCCACGTTGGGTGCGCTTCTAGGTTCGATCAGAGTCCATTTGAACACTTCCGGACTGTAAGTGTCCGGATATCCACAAAAGCTGGACAATGTCTGTCCGGACATGAATTGCTTGGCATTTTAAAGCACCAAAACCAAGCGACCAATCCTCGGATCAGTTTTACAAATGATGGAGTGAAGAAGCCATTTGCACGGGATTCCCTGGTTCGATGAATTCAATCTCTCCATTTTGAAATCCAGTACTATTGGCGTTATAGACTGCACAATCCAAACCTGCTCTCTTGGGTGGCCTATATTTTAACTGTCCACTCCTTACCAATTGCTTCGCCATGTCTCCTTCAAGGACAGAAGAAAATGAAATATCAGAAGCACGATATGTGAACTTCCCACATATGGATAGTACGGCCACACGAAATGGGGATTTGATACTGAATCGACACTCAACTTTCATCACGCGAGAGCATGACTTTCCGCCAGCTAAGGTGACATCTTGTGAAAGTCTCAGACATCGGCAGTTCTAATAAGTTACTTAGGCCATGCTATATGCGGCAGGTGTACCAGATGAAGAAGCAATGCAGAAGAGCCCCCATGTGGGAATTGCCTCGGCATGGTGGGAAGGTAACCCATGCAAGTACGATCTGGCCCTGTCTACTCGTTTTCGGGCCTGGCTGACATTAATCTAGCATGCATCGTATGTAATGCCGAGTTTATGAATGATACACAGTTTAAACATCTAACGCTCTTTAGTTGGCGATCTCGGTAAGACGATCAAGGATTCGGTGGATAGGGAGGGATTCCTGGGATGGAGATATAACACAATTGGTGTGTCGGACGGAATAACGATGGGCAATGAAGGTAGGTCGAAGCCCGGTAACTTGTTCAGAAGCTGAAGCTAATGATTGAATCACAAAATAGGCATGCGGTTTTCTCTTCAATCCCGAGAGATCATTGCCGACAGTATTGAGACGGTAACATGTGCGCAGGCCCATGACGCCTGCATCGTTGTTCCGGGCTGTGACAAGAACATGCCCGGTTGCGTTATGGGTATTGCGAGACACAACAGGCCATCTGTCGTTGTTTATGGCGGCACCCAAAGAGGTGGCTTCAGCAAGACCCTCCAAAAGCCGATTGACATGAATACCCCTTCTGAGGCCAGAGGCGCATTCACGCTTGGGACTCTGAAAGATTGGTCAAAGGACGGGAAATATTCCGCAGAAGAGATTCTTTCAGACATCGAGAAACATTCCGTACCGGGGGCCGGCGCCTGTGGTGGCATGTACACGGCAAACAGTTTGGCCACCGTGATCGAGACGCTCGGCCTCACACTACCGGGATCTTCGAGTGCTCCGGCTGAATCGCCAGCTAAACTGCGAGAGTGCGAGCGTATTGGGGAGACCATCAGAATCTGCCTGGAGAAGAATATCCGACCGCGAGATCTTCTGACTAAGAAGGCATTCGAAAATGCACTGGTCATGATTATGGCAGTGGGAGGCTCAACTAACTCAGTCCTGCACGTTCTCGCCATGGCCAAAACGGCAGAGATCAACCTGTCTCTCGATGATTTCCAGCGTGTCTCCAATAAAACACCATTTATCGCCAACATGGCCCCGAGTGGGAAGCATACCATGGAAGACCTGTTCAACGTCGGCGGTATACCATCGGTAATGAAGCTTCTAATCGCTGGGGGGCTTTTGGATGGTACGGCTATGACGGTCACCGGCAAGTCGTTGGCAGAGAACGTCGAAGCTTGGCCTTCTCTCCCCCAGGGCCAAGAGATCATCAGGTCTTTAAGCAATCCGATTAAATCCAGTGGCCACATAGAGATTCTTCGTGGGAATATTGCACCTGGAGGAGCTGTGGCAAAGATCACTGGCAAGGAAGGCTTGCACTTCGAGGGGAAGGCCAGAGTCTTCGACAAAGAGGAGTTTCTCTGCACCGCCCTAGACAAGGGGGAGATCCCACACGATGAGAACATTGTTCTCGTAGTTCGTTACGAAGGCCCCAAGGGAGGTCCCGGAATGCCTGAGCAGCTTCGAGCTTCTGGTACCTTGAAGGGAGGTGGCTTCACGAATGTCGCATTGATAACCGACGGCAGATATTCTGGTGCAAGCCATGGCTTCATTGTTGGGCACATCGTCCCAGAAGCGGCGGTTGGCGGCCCCATTGCCGCAATCAGGGATGGAGATGTCATTAGAATCGATGCGGAAAACAATAAGATTGAGATGCCGCATGTCTCGGACGAGGAGATCCAAGAGCGATTAAGAACGTGGAAGCCACGGCGGCTTCCAGTCACTCGTGGCACACTAGCCAAGTATGCTCATCTCGTGTCCAATGCTTCGGAAGGTGCAGTTACAGATCTATTCTAAGATTAATAAAATGAATAATCCAATTTTGCGTTACCCGTAGACAGAAATTCCATCCTCAGTTGAAACTACTCAGAATACTCCCAGTTCATAACACCCTTTGGCGGAGAATGCAAAACGGTACGCAGTCCTGCGCATAGATACAAAGACACCTCCAATCAGTTAAATGTTAGGCAGAAGTTGGCCGCTCAGACAACACGTCAGAGGCAATGGTTCCATTGTGAGCTTATTGTCTGCTATGAGAAAAATAAGGCATCAGCCATGTTCACATGTCTCTTGGCTTGCCTAGGCCTGGGTACGGTACACGATGCCGTTGGATCGCAGATGGTATGTTGCCTTAAATAGATACGAGGTCGATCCCAACCCCGTCTTTCTTGTTTCCAAGTCAACACGAGATGTCGCCTTGGCAAACTCCACCCTCCACCATCTGGCGATGGGCGGTCTCGAACTCGTTGTTAAGGTCATCCACTACCTAGTAATGCAAACTACTCGGCCTCGGGTATTTTGGCGCGTGGCACATTGTTTCAAACCTCATGGCCCCCAAGCAAGGGGAGGAAGAAAGAGACTGTGCCAGGCAAGACTCGCATTACCAATAATACAGTCATCAATTGGTTAGCCCTATATATCGTATCTCGATGAGCTGGGAAGTTCATCTGCCGAATCGGGGCAAATGCGCTCACATGTGATAACATGCTGTAGTCAAATATTGCTACTAAGTATCATGGCTTAGAAAAGGAATCACGGCGTTTATGAGAGTTTGCAGCATTTGATCGACAGACTGAAGTACTACGGGCACTGACCAGCATCCCCGCTGACACTCGCCAGTTGGCATGTATGCCGATCCGCACAAGTCGGACAAATCATACAAAGGATGGTAGTTTCATGCCGCGCGGGGTTGAAGCGAAGGACGGGGCTGTGCAAGTCTGATCAGTATCCTCAACGGGACTTTTGATTGATCTGCTGTCTAGATTCCCTCCACTTCCGCTAAGCACGCAAACAAATTTTATCGATCGCCCTCTTCTGTTGGTAATTCCTGTTGAACTGCATTCGCCTGCTATAAGAATCCCCAACTCGTATCATCAGTTTTGCCTGAAAACGTATTCTTACCCCTAGTTGTTATCCTTAGAGAATCAGTAGCACACCTAGCGATTCACAATGACTGCTGCGGCCATACATTCTTACTACCACTCCCCGAGGAGCATCTGGATCAGCAAGCTGGTCTTCCGCATCTTTTCGGTAGTCTTCTGTATTGCCGTAATTGCGCTTTGCGCTGTGTTGGACACTTCTTTCAGTGGTGCGGCGAGCGCAGTGCTGGTCCCTCAAGTATGTACTAAATCAATCTCCACAGCGTTTCAGCAGCTACTAAATGGTGAATATAGGCAGTCGTCACCTTTTTCATGGGGAATGCAGACATCATTTGCATTCTTCGACGGCCTGGCCGCTTTGGAGTCAACCCTATCGCCTGTATTGTGGTCGAACTATTGTTAGTTGGAGGCTATATCGTGGGGACAATCGCATTCGTCTATTCGTCAACACGATCATACTACAATTCTGATGATTACGGGAGGCTAGCAAACGATCTGAAGATTGCCGGGGTTACCATGGGCGGTATCGTATTGTAAGTCTTACATTAGCCTATGTATCCTACTTACCGATATGGGGGGAGCAGACCACCAGGATCTAGGAGTACTGACACATTAATAGGGCAGCTCACTTTGCTCTCTTCGTCATTGCTTGCTACGAAACCGACCTTCGATACCGTCTCCAGCCAAAAGCTAAAGCGAAGGGCGAGGCTGCCGTGGCAGAACAGGGATTGGTTCTCTGCTATAACTGTCGACAACCAGTTAATTCTCCAATGTACAAGGAGCCTGAATCCCCGTCATTGGATGAGAAGTCTCCTGAGGCTTATGGTCGGCTGTAAGAAGTCTGCCACTACTTCTTACCGCCTCGAAGCTGCAATGGAAGCCAGTAGTACGGGAGACATAGGCCAGCATTTTGAACAAGTGTGACTGCCACTTTTACAAGCTGTGCACAAAGTAAATGCATGACAGGTTGACTTTGTCAACACCAGTTTGGAAGACCAATAAAAAATAAATACAAGCTTTGTTTTTGCCTTTTTATAGTGTTCATTTGTTTACCCGTTCGTGAAACGAGTTCATTTTAGTCTATCCTAAGAAAATACACTGGTGTCATAGTGTTCAAGCTTATACCAATACCATCACTCGTTCTCATGAAGGGAATTATTTAACAATACGTTATATCGGTGTCCTTTCCACTTTCCCTGCTTCGGTGCCCAACTCGGAGTAATCTTAGCGATGTATCAGAGCGATTCAACTAAGGCCATGATCAAACAGAGCACAACTTCTTTACCCATCTCCAATTCTAAATCTCCTGAGAGTGGCGGGACGTGTAGAAAAATAACATTCCGTTGGCCACCGCTGCTCTTGGAAAACTCAACCAAAGATGAGTAATAAACTAGTCCGCATACCCAAGCACCCACATCATCTGAGAATCTAACATCAGGCAGCTGATGTTGTTGTGATGGCTTTAGTTCTCTCTTACCCTTGGCTTTGTTACCAGATCGTGACCTCAAATTCCGTTTCCAAAGCTCAACCACCGACTCCAGATCGAAAGACGAGCTGATATTTTCTGCACTCTTCTTTCCCCATAATCTTTTTACATCCAACTTTGAGATCACCTTGCGCTCCTCGTCGGGATATTCATGGTATCCGTCGCGGAAGGCACTCTGCTCCACTGCAAATAGTCTCTTTCGACGGCTAGTCCGATATGAAGGACGATTGTTGGATTATGCTGCTGAATCAGTCGAGGTGAGACTTCTAGGAGCTTGGGGTACACGGCCTCGGTTGGCTCAGGATGAGCGATTGTTTCGACATCTGCAAGTGACGGCGGCAGACGCTTGACAATCTCAAATGATGGATTGACAGTGATCTCTTTGAAAGCCTAAAGTCGTTGAATAACTGACGAGTTAGAGAACGGCACGATGTACTTACACCAAATCCCGTCACCAGGACCCGAACAGGAATATGTGACATTATACCGATTCAACTCAACCGAGGCTTGTAAACTAGGTTTCGTAGACTTTCTTTCCACAAAGCGACACGCATCAACAATCGCAAAGGAAATCATACTAATATAGTATGCTAGCTAAAGCCGAAAAAAATGTCCACTTAAATTTTACGTGCTTCGGTATGAGTCACATCGCCGGTTGGTCAATACATCCCTTCTCACTTATGCAATGGGCAAGGTCCAGGCGCCGTCCGTGCTTTGTCTATTTGACATATTTTCACATTGGTAATTGGCACCCCAATCTTCATTGGAACGGAAAGCCGCAAACACTGATGCTTCGTGACACATGGACCCAAACTCGTCACCAGTTTAGCTGTATCAATAATATATAAGTATACAGAAATACATCGGCTTTATCTACTGTACGAAAGAGCAGCAAGCTGCTCATCCTTGTTCCCAACAAGATCAATAGATACATCATATTCCCACATTCCTTTGTTACACCACCTCCCTAATGTTATGGAACATGTTGTGCACGCGGGCCACCTGCCCATCAGTAAATCCAGAAAAGCAAGCGTCACCGCCGTAGCTCATATAATTGAAGGGGGTATCCAGGCCCTCAAGGCTGGGGCAGGTGTCTGCATCCGTAGGGCATTCTCCGTAGTGAGTGGCCTGTTGCGCAGGAGTGTCGTCGACCATGTCACCCTCGCCTGAGCATCCGCCCTGGAAAACGTGCCAGAGGCCGAACCAATGTCCAAATTCGTGGATTGCTGCCTTCCCCTGGTTCCAGATTGTATCTGATGAATCGGGAAGGGCTTGGGAGACCAGATGGACAGAGTCTAGCCAGAACTCCGATTCGGGTCGCTCAAGATCAGGGAAGCTACTGATGCCGATAAATCCATCGTCAATTTGGCGGTAGAGAAATAGGTGGGCGGACTTGTAGCCTCCAGTGCGGGAGCGCTTCCAGTAGTCCTCAAGAGCCGGCGTGCCACCGGATAGCTGACCATACTTGCCAGCGTATTTTCCACCTGAAAGGTTGGAGATACTGTCATTGAGTTCGCGGGAGATTGTCCCAAGCGTGAGCTCTATCCCGTAGGAGGCAACTAACAAAGCAAGTTAGCCATCGTAGTGGCTTACGATGGATAAGCTCTCAGGAGGAGGTAGGTATCAAATGACTAACAAGTGGTTTTCAAGATGTCGAATTGCTTCTCTAGCATTTCCTTGGAGGCGTAATCGTCAGGAGTGTCGCTTGGAAGAGCTGCGTGAATGTTCATTTCAACGACAATTGGCTCCGCAACCTCCAGGATACCTTGATCTTTAGAGAAGGCATAATCATTATCAAACTGCTTTAGGCGGGAAATCGTAGCAACTTCATTATCCGTTGGGGCTTGGAATCCACAAAACAGCTGGGGTTCATCTCGCTCCCTCAATCCTTCATGAGGCATTGAAGCGACTCCTGTCAAGAGAGCTAGGAAGGGAATTTGACAAGACCGCATGATGGATGTTAATGACACTGAACTACAATACAATAATCAGATCAAGCTTGCTAACATCGAAGGGGTGAAGAGAATTGTGGCAGAATTTATATAGGCATTTCAGTCCTCGCTTGGAACTCTCTGCCTAGAGCGGCGCAGCCAACTAATACGACATTACCTCGCCCAGCTGATATTGTCCTTCCATATGCAGTTATATCCGTACGATCCATGCTTCATGGAACAGGGTTGAACTTATGCACAGGGGGGCTGATTTTCTCTAGCTGTTGTGACAAGGTGATATAGATGGCGATCATTTCTGCTGGGGGCTAGCTAGAAGGCTGAGCTCGGGAGGAAGGTAGGCTTTCAGATGATCCACAACGTTATCGCTTCCCTAGGAAGTTGTATCCCCGTAGGAAATACGATGTAAAATCTGAGTTAATTTATCTTTATTGTCGATGATATCCCACGAAAACTGTTAAATCAAATCTTCGGCGATTCAAATTCCTGCAATGTTTCCAAATCCAGTGGCTCTAACTGAGCAGCTAACTTAGCATTCTAAAAGACAATATCACAGGACTGTAAGGCGTTGTCTATACGCGCGATAGATAATGGAACTTCTCGATCCGTCTCCAAAGATAATCTGCATACCATAAACGTCGTCTAATGCGTGCAAGCTACAGGGGCAAGAGGTGGCGCAGACACTTACCCCGGCTTTTGTTAGGGAACAGGGTGATTCTGACAATAAGCCGACCCATCCATCACGAAGATCAGTCACGGAAAGGGAGGGGCTTTGCATGAAGTATCGGATATGGCGAGGTGATTGTATCATGGTGGACTTCTGTTCATGCACAACCGAAGTGTGAGCCTGTAGCTGAACTTCGAGATCCTTTCTCATGGGATCCAAAGACATACTCTCTTACTTGACTTGGAACGATTAGACTTTCTGACAAAAAGCGGAGGGGAACCGACTGGGAAGGGGTTATGTGGAGAATACTAATAATATGCTTAAATGATTCAGAATTTCACATAGCACTTCCCAGTTGTAAAATCAAAAGAGTCTGATTATTGAAGCTAGCGTTGTCCTGCCTGCTGTAAAGCCCTTTGGTGGTTGACTCTCGTTTATTGTGGCGTTATTTCTAGATGGATTCCGCGTGCAGTCGATCATCCTTGGATGTTCATCTATCTAGATGAAACCTGTGCCTAAAATATCTCGTGGCTATGCAGCATCACGGGGAACCAAAGTAATTTCCACACATTCTCATATTTAGTATTGATCTCCGAAGAACAGAATCTGGCGAGACAGATATACTTCCCCCTTTAAGGTCTATCTACCTACTTCGAGGTGGATGGAATATCAGGCACCAATTATAAACAAAACTCATTGCTTCAATCCAGAGGCCAAGATTGATCGAAAGACTTTAGAAGTAAGATTTTTGGATAATGTTATAGTGTTCCGAAAGAGGGCAATGTTCATTACTGTGTACGACAACAAACTCCGAAGCCCTTGTTAGTGTCCGGGATAGGCCAACTCCGATACAGGATTTCCCATGACTAATAAGTTTAGAATAACCTAGCAACAAGCATCACGCAGATCTGGTGAGCGAATAAGATAACGCACATCATGGAGAACTTGCCTGGTGACTACGGCTAGCAGAATGTCACAGAAAATATCATCGACCCACATCGCCACAAAACCACTCGAAGCTCCAGTCTCGAAAAGGGAGGTGCCTAGAGTGAGGGACCCAGAATGACAAGCCAACCCCGCAGTTCTCGCACCATTCGTTCTTTGGCTAGAGACCGAGGTAAGTATTTCTTTGCCTGCAAGCCCAAAATCAATGAGAGGAGGGATATCAAGGGAAAGGATGTTCATTGTGTTGAGATGCCGGGTCTGGCATCTTTTATTGCTGTTTACTTTGTACCTGAACTCTCATCCTTATCAAGGAAGAGAATGAAGCACTGCAAGAACAACAAAGCATAAAGCGTTCGTGACATGGCGCTGCTGAGAGCTATTTCAAATTATCTCAGTAAAATAAGTGGCACCAAAGAAGACAGTTTCTCCGGTGTGTATCCGAGCTTTTCCAGCTCGATATCCATTCGAGAAGCAGTCCATTCTCGGTCCGACTTATCTGATTTCCCCAGCGGTCAAGGATGATGATAACCCCGCGAAATGTCACTCAGAAAAACGTGGGGAAATCGCCGAAGCTTCGGCAACGGGCACCGAGGCCGAGAGAGGTTATATTTCTAGCTACTATATATACTTGAGTGATTGATTCACGTCTAAGCACAGAAGGGGGAATTTAACTTACTCTTACCTCTTTCGCCTAATTCTATATTGCCCAATATGCGATTACTCTTCAGCATCTCGGTGCTTTTGAGCGCGGGCCTTCATGAGGTTGTCGCTCAAACAGGACCAGCTGCCAGCGTGCAGAACAACACTTTCAATGCTACCCATGGCCCGTACAACCCCCAAACCGCTATGGATAGAATCAAACAGGCCAATCTATCTGCGGAGGTAGGGGAAAAGGTTCTTGTTGCGCTGAATTTCGAGAGATCCAATTGGGCGGGCACATCGGTTCGCTTGGACCCCTTTTATACCGACCTCCCATCCAACTGGTCATCACTTCCGCCCGGATCTATTGTGAAGATTGAGGAACGAAGCAACATATCACTTTACACGATACCGCCAACCTTAGGTCTCTCCCGATTTATCTACACGACTAAAACCTTCAACGGAACTGTTGTCCCAGCTTCTGCTTTCGTACTATGGCCATGGTTTACCCAAGAAACTAAAGGCTCCGACGGGTTACCGATAATTACTTTAGCACATGGCGCTATTGGATGGTGAGTAATTCGAATTTCACATGGCTTTCCTAAACTTGAACTTCTGTGATTTCGCTAACTTGTCGTGATGTTGACTGTAGGTCCGGTGAAGGTGGAATGAGCCACATGCGTAATCTGGGTAACCATTGGATGACAACAAGTGCAGCGAGTGCACGCGGCTTCGTTGTAATTGTCCCCGACTATGTTGGCTTGGGTCTAGACCACGATGGACACGGAAACACCATCCCTCATCAGTTCTTGGCCAACGAAGCTTCCGGGTATGATCTCCTTTATGCCACAAAAGCCGCCAAGAAGGCATGGCGACAACTGGGATCCAAGTTCGTTATAATGGGGCATTCGCAGGGCGGTGGTGCTGCGGTAAGTTCACGCTTTTCAAATGCAGATGATCAAGTTTACATTTAACTGATGACCGCAAACTCAGTGGGGTGCCTCTTTGGTTCTGGGTCGTAATGATCAAGAAGCAAAAGACTTGGGCAAGGGCTATCTGGGGACTATTGCTGGTGCTCCATGGCTGTCACTTAAGACTCGGATAACGCACGAGACCTCTCAGATTGCTCTCAATTCTGTGTTGTCGCGTATAGCCACGGGTGTCAATTCCATCTTCCCCGAATTCTCTCTTACTGATTGGCTGACTGAGAAGGGAGAACGTGTGGTTGGACTCCTCCAAGATCTTCAAGGAAGTCAGTCGGTCGCAACCCAACTTTTTATTTCAGCAGATCTCATCAGATCGGATTGGGACCAGTCGTGGTACTACCAATCCTGGGAGCGTTTAACATCTGTCGTCGCGAAACCCTTTGCCGGCCCTCTACTCGTCCTTCAAGGCACCGGGGACAGCACTGTCAACGCCACCGGTGTGCGTGCAGCCGTCGATGCCACATGTGCAGCCATTGAGAAGGCCAACATTGAGTATATTGAATTTGAAAAGGTGAACCACCTGCCCATATTCTTTTACGGCGAAAACATCTGGTTAGACTGGGTTCTAGACAGGTTTTCCGGGAAGACCGTCAAGCCGGGCTGTCGAACGGATGGATATGTCAAGCCACTTAGGAATTCAACTGAGTATAAATCTCAGATGAATTGGTTCATCGAGTATTCCATGAATTCTTACTCGGGTTAGCAAGCCCCTGGGCACATTATTAGAATAGACGGCTTAATAGAAATTATCATCGACCTCCATCTAAACCAGGGTCTCGGACAAAGAGCCACCAATCAGAGCCTACACCAAACCTAGAGCCCAAACCCAGCGCTTATTTCTCAAGATTCGGAAATAGGATATATCTTCATCGCCCTGGAATAAGCCATACCTTGAGAATGTTTTCGAAAAGGTCAATGCTTTGTAATAACCGGCCGAAAATGAGTAAATACTCAAGACTGAGGAACAAGGTATAGCGGAATTGACTCCACTTGAAACGTAATTTTGGTAAATCTGCCACAGTTCTTGGGGATGTATACTTCGCTTTTGAGATTGCAGCCGTCCTTATCCGAAACGGTTTCAAATTCTATGCTCTAAGCTCAATTTTGCGCTGGGTAAGTTATTTAGTCCATCGACTCTCCATATTACGGCAGCAAAGAAATAGAGCTGCTCAAGGCGGCAAAATTCAGTAAATGGATGACTAATCTGACCCAGCATTGAGAATTTTCCAGTTCGGCAACCAATAAAGGGCGAGTGAGGGGAACAATTTTTCTCGGGATGTGTGCTTGTATAACCGAAACCACCGAAACCCAAGAACCACAGTCCAAGCAACGGCGACCCTCCCCAACCTTCTCAAGATGGCGGCGCATGATTCTCCAAGGCGTCCGGCTCCTGGTCGTGACGATGCCGATCCCACGGCCCCGCTACTTCAGCCTGCTGCCACTGAAGGGGAGAATGAGCAAGGTCACACGAATAAACCTAAAGGTCTATTGCAAAATCTCCGAGAGTTTTATGAGAAGAATTTTGGCCTGTTTCTCGTGTTCCTCGCCCAGTTTTTTGCGTCAACGGTAAGCAGGACCGTCGCCCTCAGATGCACTGGCTAATGATGAAATTACCCAGATGATAATGACTACCAAGTTGCTTGAAACTGGCTTCGAGACCAAGTTCCACGCCCTGCAGATCATTTTTGTTCGCATGTTTTCCACATCAATTATCGGGTCTCTATGGATGATGTATAAGGGCGTTCCTGGGTTCCCATTCGGCCCTCGTGGCGTACGGAGACTTCTTGTTATTCGAGGGACTGCAGGAACCATTGGGTTGTTTGGTCTATACTGTATGCATGGTCTTAGCCTCCATCGAGGCTTAAGAAGTGAACTCTACTAATACGTGGTCCAGATTCACTATCATACCTCGACATGTCGGACGCTACGGTCATCACCTTTCTCGTACCTACGCTTACTGCATTCGTCTGTTGGGTTGCTCTCCACGTATGTCTGAGATCCAAATGCCCCCGAAAACAATTTCTCATTCATTATAGGAACCCTTCACGGTCAAAGAGGCACTGGCCGGTCTTCTTGCGTTTGGGGGCGTATTGTTCATTGCTCGCCCACCTTACTTATTTCCGAGCCAAGAGGGGGACGATAGTCAAGAGAACCAATCTCTAACGACTGATGTCTACTCATTTATTAACATTGACCGTCAGGGAGGAATTGTTCCCCCTGAGAAAGCGAGTCCCGCTGAGCGTGCAATGGCTATTGCCTGCGCCATCCTAGGCGCATTTGCCGCTGCCACAGCATATGCTACCATTCGTGTAATTGGAAAGCGAGCACACTCCCTTGTTAGCGTCAATTATTTCGCTGTGCTTGGCTCTTTCAGCTCCTTTGCGATAATCATGATCCATCCGGACCTTCAATTCGAGATTCCTCACACTGTGACCCAATGGTGAGTACCGGCACCCCAATGCTACTATGACTCTGTGTCTAATGTCCAAGTTAGGCTTCTATTAGTATTTATCGGAATCTCGGGATTTCTCCTCCAGGTACTACTAACAGAAGGGCTACAAAGAGAGAAGGCAGGACGAGCAACGAATCTTATTGTAAGTTGATTCCAATTATTCTCATCCACGTCCCGTCACAAACTCAATGTTAATGGACTTCTATAGTACACTCAAATGATCTGGGCATTGGTTTTCGAACGGATTGTTTGGGGCACAACACCTCCCATCACCAGCTTTATCGGGAGCGGGCTCATCATTAGTGGAGCAGTTTGGATCAGTCTCCAAAAGAAAGCTCCGGAAACCCCCAAGGGACAAACCGCGGATGAGGAGAACAGAACTCCAGGTGCAGGTGAACAGCAAAGTCGCTCTTGAGATTTTGAACGGAATGCGACCATCGAGATAAGAAAGATATTAGAGGCAGAATTTGCAACAAGATAATTCTACACTATTTCTAAATACCAAGTACGATAGCACGAGTAACAAGAATTGTCTGTCTACTAGAATTGTAAAAGAGACAAATCCCAGCCTAGCCGGTAATGGTGACGCTTATCTCATCTTCATCTGGCCTCTCGAATCCGCTGATGTATCTATCCAAAATATCGGACGTAATGTCGAAGGCGGAATCTGCATTTTTATCGGCTATGGCCCTCTGTTGAATCCTTTGCCATAGTTTATCCTTATTGATCTCAAAAAACACCAAGATAAACCTAGCTCCCATTTCCTGCGCGAACTTTCGGTAGTCATCACGATCGTCTTTTGCATAGAATGAACGATCTAACACAACGTCTCTAGGCTCATCAGAAGATAGAAGTTGGCGAAAATCATCGATGAACTGCTCATTCGCCTCTGAGGAGTATTGATGGTAAAGATCTTTGGGGTAGTCAACTCCGTATAGCCCATGGGCGTCGAATATCGTTTGGTCAATAGATAGCCGGGTGAAGGTTGGAAAGTTGGCGATAATTGATTTTGACAAGGTGGATTTTCCAGAGCCTGGATAAATGAGAAGTTCAGCAGAGCACTCCCTACCTCAGCCAAATAGGTATGTATAATTACCTGCAACACCACACATCGCAACCACAATTGGCCTCGAGTCCCCCGCAGATCGCTGCAAGAGAGGAAGCAAATCGGCAGGGATAGCCATTCTAGGTATATTCAAACCTCGTAGGCTTGAGGATTTAACATATTTTTTTTTGCCAAGCTTAGTAGAATATTCAGGTTTGGTGGTCAAAGAAAGTACGCAGGTGGTTGACTCATCCAAATATGCATGACTCATTCGTCCAAATCATGTGGGAGTCAATCAGTCATAAATTAGCCTCGTCCAGATTACTTGCACGTGATTGAAGGCAGCTTCCCGATCTAAACACTTGTTAAACAGCTAAAACAATACAGAGCGAACCGCAATTGGTATTTATTTGTAAGATTATTTCTAGTTTCCACTAGCACTAGGAATGACCCCTTGGAGAAAGACGTGAATGTCATTCTCTGTGCCTTCAAAAAAGCGGCGAGGCTGGTAAGCGCCGTCTATATGATCGATAGAATTATCGTCATCTTGCAATCCAAGGCTTTGCAACAAGGCATATGCATCCTCCGCAGCAACACATATGTTAAACATGGTCTTTTTGTGATCGTAATCCAAGGTTGTTAGTTCAGGTAGTCGGCTTCCTCTAAAGACCTTCCTCAAGCCTCGGTTGTCATTGTTGGTATGCCTCTCCATGACTTCTTGAATCTCCCTGTGAATGTTGGTCCTCAACTTCTCGAAATTGGTGAGTAAACTAGAGTGCATGTCATTCAAGCTCAGGTCGGACTGTCGTTCCTGGATATGTCGGCAAATCCGTGATAGATCTGATACCTGGCCACAAATCACATCAACGGTTCGTGATTGCGGCGAAGGTTGGACAAGAAACTCCAGGGCTTCGCCAAGACGACGGGAGAACACTTTGATCGCAGAACCACCAATAACAGAGACACCGTGCTTCACCAAGGTCTCAAAAAGCTCCAGCCGCGAGGAATAAGAGTTCTTGTGCTCTACGATAGTGACTGGTAGCGTAGCAAGGCCATGGATAAGCGGGAGCTGCACAGGGGCCTCTCCTTCTCGCACTTGCACCGGAACTTGTATCTCCTTGGTCCTTCTCCTACATTTTTGGAGGACTCCATCCAGAAGAGATGCACTGGCGAACACCCATGGGGGGTTGGGGCGTGCTTCCCTCATTGGGAGGTATGATCCGACTGCCCGTAGGGCTGAGGTGGTGGACAATTGATTGAAGACACGTAAGATCAGTACATGGTGCGATTTCGGGATACCCAGACTTGGCAGCAGACAGGGAGATTTGTAACCCTCATATGGATTAATTGCCTTCAGAGACAGGAGATAATCAACGACTTGATTGTTTCCATCTAAAGCAGCTAACCAAATTGGCGTGATCTCCATGAAATGGCCTGCCTTGACGGGAGAAAAACGGAGGGGCCGGTTGATGGCATCTTCGTTATTACTCGCCTGTTCAACAAGGCACTGTACCTCCTCGACGCAGCTTCGATACTTGCCTGAGAGTGGGCCGGCATCTTGGCGAGATATAGAAAAGAAGTGAAGCGGAGAGAAAGGCATGTCGGTTTTGAGGTTCTTGTGCTGCTCACAGAAAGATCCACCAGTCTTGACGGTGATTGAGCAGGAATTATCCATGAAGTAGGCCTGGATGCAAGCATCGCAGCGACGGTAGAGTGGAAATGACGTTTTGAAGTGCTTGCGAATATATTTTGTACCTCGCTCAGCGGCCATTGAAGGATAACTGGCGGAAAGGTCTGCCATTTCTCGCTGGCAATCGAGAAGATCCTTCTTTGCTCGTGAAACATCCTTGTCCTTGTTCCCAAATCGGGTCGCCTTGTTCCCTTTGCCAGCCTCGGGTTCGGAGCCTGCTGGTGTCGTTGCTTGCTTTTTCTCTCTGGCTAGAGTCTGTGACCACAGTGGAAAGTCTGGGTCATCGGAAGCTCCACAAGATGTCACAATTATCTTTAAGCTGTCCAATATCATGTCATGATTAGGTTGTGCCACTTCTCGCAGGGCTTCATATGACAATTTGCCGTGCTCTTTTGCACTGCTCCAGTCTGCTTTGCTAAGAGAGACAAGAGCCAGAGAGTGATGAAGAATCCCCATCTCGGCAGGAGCGAGGCCGGGAACTTCGAGGGAAATAGATAGGTTATGGATGGACTCATCGGCTTGTTTCAAGTGGAACAAGGCCAATGCATGGCTGTCGCAAAATTCCACTTCCCATCTTGCCAGGCGTAGGCTCGTGTCTTGGAGCAGCTCAGGTTGAGGTCGGAGGAGCTTATATGGGTCCAGAAGGCTTATGATTTCTTTGTAGCGACCTTCTTTCTCCAAGAATCCAAGTTCTTCAGCGATTTGCTTAGCAATTTCGGCTCTTATCTCTGGATGATCGAACCAAGTAGACTCTGAAAGATGGCCTCCGATGTAGGTGTCAGCGACCAGGCTGATCAACAACCGTTTATCTGTCTCATCTACCGATGCAATGTTCTCGACCAAGTGTTTAATATGCGGAAGTGCCCGATTCCAATCATTTTCTTCAACAAACTTTTGAACGATCTGCAATTTAGTCTCTTTGCCCTTGAGAGGGCCTTCTTTAATGGGTTGCGATATATTTGCTGCCTCCGCTTTAGTACGAATGGGGAGAGTCAGTTTCTCGGGTTCACTTTTGTTGATATTCGGCTCTCTGTTGCTTTCAATAGGCCTATAATTAAGCTAGTTAGTTGTAAATTCAGGCGAGTACACTTGAGTTGGCACTGACCGATCTATTTCCCGATTATCGGGGCGCTCAAGGCTGACTTGACTCCAATCTCTTTTGCTACACGCACGTGCCGATGGCCTATCCTGAGGCTCGACAGAAAGTAAATCTCTGATCAGCTCCGAGATATTCAGGGGAGTATCGGGAGGCAGCTTGTCCGTCATGGGTAGGTGAGTTTTCCCAGACACATACCCAACGAGGTCGTATACGGCTTCAAAAGGCGTCGTGTAGGTCAACAGCTTGAAAATAATGACGCCAAGGGACCACATGTCAGTTGCAGACTCATGGCCTGGGTTTGGCCTTATTACGCCTAACTGTTCGGGTGAGGCAAACGCAACTGTTCCCATAGGTCGTGTGGCGGTGGCATCTTGATCTCTCTTGATCATTCTAGCAGTGCCAAAATCGGCGATCTTCACAACCCACGAGGGTGTCTTGGACACAACCATAATATTCTAGGAGTTTATGGATTAGTATGAATGAACAAGAAACGGAGGATGAGACATCGTACGGAGGGTTTTAAATCCCGGTGGACAAGACCATTACTGTGCATGTAGTCCAAGCCGTCAAGAAGCTGGGAAACGATCTGATGAGCTTCTTGTACCGGGAGTGATTGTGACACTTGGCGACTAAGATCTCTGAGTTCAAAATACTCCATAGTAATGAATACAGACGTCGAGTTCTCGAACCAGCCATACGTTTGCACGAACAGGTGGGAGTGCTATTTTCAATAATTTCAGCGTTAGCGTCCTTTGCAAAACGTGGATCATTCGGGGAGCTAACCGATGATCTTGAGAACTTCACGATGGCCTCCAGCTCTTTAGAATAGTCGACATAGTCTTCATCGCCAATGGATTTGTGTATTTCTTTGACCACCCTGACTTTGAGAGGACTGTCCTCACTCCGCTGGAGAAGTATGGTGCTGCGGCCACTCCGACTCAAAGTAGGCGTTTCCTGGTCGGGTATCCATTGTTCTTTGGTGACATTTGACTCTTCAGTGGCTTGGTGATGCCCAAGGTTGCTGTGTTCAATTATGCCGCCGTCCAGAAATCGGGTGTCGAGCTTCGAGGTCAGGACCTGGTCAATTGTTGCGTCCTCGGCCATTTTCCCGAGAATGTCTCCCTTACTGCCCGAATAGTTGGCTTGTAAGATTGGAGAAACTGGTCTGGAAGGTATTGCTTGATCTAAATTCAAAGTCTTTGGTCGGCGGGGCAGCTTTCGCACAAGAATGAGCGAAATGATGGAAGATGACGAAGTGGGGAATGAAAATGAAACGATTTCCAAAATTAGAACTCACTTTCAGGTCTAACCGCGTTAGCAAGGCTGTTCCTACTGGTGCGAATTTGGCTAAATGCCAAGGTGTTCAGCAACGTATCTGGGTAAATCTATAATAGCAATCCTGCATAAGGTATTTTAATTAACAAAAGGATAAAGTCTCAAATATTTCAAATATTCTTCTCGAAGACCTCTCATAAAGCACTCCGCATCTAGTCGCTACTTGGGAGGAACAGGGAGGAACAGGGCAGAACAGGGTCATAGTTGGTGTTGATCCATTTCATGCGTCGCACTACAACACCTACACAGCCTCTAAGCACTGGCTGGAGGCTCAAAAACGGATCCATAGAACCGATAACCAACAATGATGGACATGAGAAGCCTGACCGCAGCCACGTTTGCGTTTGGGCTGACGCTTGCCTCTTTGCTTTGCCCACCATACTCACTCCCCTTATCCCTTTTCCCCGGCCTTGGAACAGCTGCGCAAATTACACAAACCTGATGCAGACTTCAAGTACTTGATACTGCAAAGATCTTTCAGTTGCTAGCCTATCTCTACACCATGGACGCAGAGCGTAAAGGTAATTCATCTCAAGAAACAAACGCTCCTAGGTTTGGTGGCTGCAACTGACAATGTAAAGAGAATTCCAAGTCTTTTTCCGGACATCAATGGACGTATTTCTCCTCTTTAAGTTCAGGGCCTATTCGCACTCGTGCAGAGTCTTTCTTGGTTGCTGTAAACTGGCCGCGGCTGCTTGAATATGCCTCGAAGCAACGCAACGGAGCCAATGCGTCTATTCTTCCTTCTATCGGCCTCGGTGGAAATCACATGGTCCGAGTCATCGAGTTTGATGATGGAGTCTGATGGGTTGCGCGACTACAGCTACCGCCGCTTCCAGACTCGGGTTTATCTGAAGGCAGCCTTGAAGCCAAGAGCATTCGTGAATGCAACACAATTCTTTTATTGACAAAAACCTCTACTGTTCCCATACCTGCAATCCACGGTTTTGAAACGGGCCGTGATTCAGGTGTGAATGCGCCATTTTCCTTTATGGGCTGCTTGGAGGGAAATGTTGGGATGGACCTGGGAATCGATATTCCTAAGGCTCACAACAAGGAGTTCTTCAAAGAGCTAGCGGAAATTCATGTGAGTAAACGACCCCTCAAAGCCTGGCGACGGATAGGATTGGCTAATGATACTTCAGGTTGATCTATCCAGGATCCAGCTCCCTAAGATCGGAACTGTCATAGCAATGAATGCAGATGGCACATTTCAGCAGGGGCCGATACCTGGAATTGGTGGTCCATTTGACACAGCAACTGAGTTCTTCCAGGCATGGGCTACTAAGAAACATTTTGGGGCGTCTGATGACCGTCTCCGGGCCTTGTGTGGCCCATACGCCAACGAAATTGTCCCTTCAGTCGCATCGTTCACGAGGTCAGTGGCTGATATAGCTGGGAAAATATCCATCACTGACGACAAAGGCCCATTCCCTCTCTGTCACGATGACTTCGGTCATAACAATATCATTGTTGATTATTATCGTATACTGGGGGTTATCGACTGGGAATCAGCTTTTGCTGGACCATGGGAGGTTTTCGGAGAATTTCCGCTGAGCCTATCTATTGTTCCGCTGACAATGAATCTTCCAAAGGGCTATGACGAGACTGGTTGGCCCAAAGATCCTACATTGGCCCAGAGATTTGTGGATCGCGGGGATTATGTGAATGCTGTGAGGCAGGAAGAGGAAGGGAGGCAGATTGTTGACCACACTCTCTCCGATATTCTGCAAGATACCAAACGGCAGCACCTCATCACAGCAATGAGTCTCTTTGAGAATGGCAAGCCTGGGTTCTACTCCAAGGTGGTGGAAAACTTCGTATCCTCGATATAGTAATACCTTCTCGATGGAAAATGAATGGGGACACGAGATTGATAGATATCGCAACGCCAATTTAACTACTATTTACATTATAGATTGATTCTTATGCCCCAGCAATCAAGCCAGATCATTACGACATAGTTTTAGATTCAACTTCTCAATTGAACTCAAAAGAAGTGTTAGAGGGCAAGATTTTAATGAAATATCATAGACTTTCCAGATTTGAACATATTCCCAAGCCCTCCCGCAAGTCTTTCAGTCCAGATAGACTTAGCTATATACTAGAATCCCTTGCCAGCATCTTTAAGTACATATGCTCTTACTATCGGCGGCATCCAAAGTGTATAGAAAAGTCCTTACATCCCCTCGAGAGGCGATCTCAGAAAAGAAACACTCCATGTGTATGTTTATAGGGGCAGGGCGTCTCATAGAGACGTCCTAGTTTTGTGTCCCACAAGAGCACACATCTCCTCGCTTGACCTGGTTATTGCAAGAGAAGGCTATGCAAGTAGTGTAAACGCTCTAATCATGGCCGAGACTGAATACCGTAGAGTTCATGGAAGGCGGCATGTCGGCGAGATTGGCTTGGCCTGTGCATGTAATTAGCGATCATCTCCAGATTTATATGTGGGAGTCTTCACTCACGTGAATGATAGACTGAGGTTGATGTTCACTTTCTCGGATGGAGTCAATGTGCTGTAGGAAAGCTTGGGCCACGAGGAATAAGACTTTAAAGATGTAATGAGGTCTAGTCAAGAGATGCCCGGTATGACTCTATGGGAGGAAGCATGATTATTTATGTCTTTGGCAAGATCACTTACACGCCCATGTTTAAGAGGCAGAGTCACAAAATTTACCTGCTCCTCCTACGCTACGACTAGGCTCACCCCTAGGGAGTGAAGTCACAAAGCGTACATATCGCTTAAGAGAAGTGTTGGTTACGGAATCATCAAAGATCAAGTAATTATCAATCCACGTTCCTTCATCATCAGGCCCTTTCAAGACATACTAGCATCTAAAAGAGCCCAAACCACGGGAACTCTTCCGCTCGCAGTCGCCGACCACCAACTCGTCCTAAGATCAGATCCAATCAATTGAGCGGTTGGTATTGACATTTTTCCTCGCATGAATTGTAGCGAATTCACAAGTTTTCGCGCTCGTTTTGGTGGAGATGTCAAGTGATTGATGTACAAGCATTCATGAGATGTTAGCCCCCAACCTCACTGGGTTGGTTGCTGAAAAGATTCGCGCTTGGTTGAAGTGTGTGGATTGGCGTACAAGTGTACGAAGGAAGCCAGGTGAAGAGGGCAGCTTTAGTAGTCATTCGACGCGCAGCTCGTCCTGACGGCAAGCGAGTCATCGGCATGAAGGTTTACAGAATTTTCTGCCGTATGACTGCAGCCTTGGGCTAGCAAAGCTTTTTTTAACCTTTCGTATTCATTGTATTGAGTTGTTGGGTCTGACTTCTTCTTTTCTTTTAACTTTCTATCAAAACTCTCTCCGGTTAGCCCCCAACACCCTCAACTGTGACCGGCCTAACCGGCCTGTTGGTCTAAAGCTTCATCAACTACGGGAACGTGACATGGAACACAGACAAAGAAAAATTAATTGCTATAGTGAATAGAAGCACCCCAGATCATGTCACTCAATCCAACCGTGGCCGGGGCCAGTAATTCCAAATTTAGTGGCGATCTCTCTGCAGCTTTTGAGCAGAGCCAGGCTGTGATGGGCCAAGATTGAGGAGCTAAATGTCAGCTACCTTGAAGTCGTCCTAATGACTCCTTTTTGACCCCAGAAGAAGCCGAACGAATCGTACAAATAAACTACTCTCTATAAAGACGGTATCAGTTGTCCAACAGAGTGACAACGCAGCCGGTTATCTGTGTTTACCTTACAGTGAGATTAATGTCGCGTCGCAACGCGTCAACGCGTTGCCTACCCTATACGTGCACTTATTTATCTGCATCCACGGCACTGACATCTTATGAGATGATTTAATTGGATAAGTAAAATAAAACGTTTTTTATAGTTGAGCTCTATCGTTGGTTAATCGATTGATTGCCTCTTCACCCAGCGAACATGCTCTCAACGTAGTTGTTTATAACCCCGATTGGTTTCCTTCTGGTGATTCCAAGATAGAAGCTGCTAGCTTTCAACCAATCAAAATAAATAATAGGAATAATGACCCTATAATTAAATAACTGATAGGAAATAAAAAACTAAATAAAAATCCAAAAAATATATAATAGCTGGTATTTATTAGTTATTACTAATCTAACTATTAATTAGCTCTTTATCTATTTAACTAGATAAGAATAGATAGGGTTTCTTATTAAGTTTAAATATAGATTTTCTTTAGAGTTTATTTATTATTATTCTCTAGAGATAGCTATTATTCTATAATAATTATTTTATATATTTTATTAATTTCTAGATTTACTATTTATAAATATAATTACTTATTAAAAAATTAGACTAAACTTTAATATATATTCTCTCTTTTTATTTTAGAAACTTATTTTTACTTTTTAATAAATACTAAATATAATAAAAATAGTATATATTAAACTCTTTATCTCTCTTAGGTTTTAATTAAAACTATATAATTATAAGTATTTAAAAAGAGCTATTATTATAGTAGATAAAGATATAAACTAAAGCTAATTCTAATTAAAAACTTATTAAAGAATTTTTCTTTTTTTCTATTAAAGCTTTTTAAACTTTATTATTTAATTAATATTATTATTTTTAGATTTAAAATAAATACTATTCTTAGAGATTATAATAATTAGTAGCTCTAATATAATCTTACTAAGAGATTTTATCTCTATAAATCTAAATAATATCTTTTAACTATTTATTATAAATTATATTATTATATATTAAGTTATATAGTATATTCTACTTTTTCTAATTAATTATTAGTAGATTATTAAAATTTTATAATAATTCTAATAATCTAAAATAATAAATTATTATTAAATATTAATAATTCTCTAATATATATATATATTTATTTTACTTAATAAAATATTTTTTTAAATAATTATTAATAAATCTATATTATTTATATTTTTATTATTACTAGTTTTATAATATTTATATATTAATAATAATTTATATTATATAGCTTATAATAATCTAGTTATATTATTTAGAATAACTTTTTAATTAGTTTAATTTTAATTTATTTTAAATCTAGTTTAAATATAAATTATCTAATTATTATATATTAATAACTCTTATTTAGCTAATTATTTTATTTTAATTACTATATAATAATAATAAAAAATATTATAATTATTATAATTTCTCTAGCTTAATAATAAAATTCTATTATTAATAATTTATTTACTTTAAATAATAATAATAATATTATAAATAAAAATAGTAATAAAAATAATAGTAAGAGTAATAATAATATTAAAATTAAACTTTTATAAATATAAATTCTTTAGCTTTAGAAATATTTTATAATTATATAATAAGAAATAGCTATTATTATTATTTTTATAGAATAATAAATTATTTAAAATATTAATTTCTAAATTTTTTTTTTTTTAAATTATTATTATTTAAAATATTTAATAGAATTTAAAATAAGTTTTAAAGATTTATAATCTAATTTTAAATATATTTTAAATATTTTTTTATTATTTTTAATAATAATAAATAATAAATTCTTTATATTTATTTATAATTTAAAAAAATTATATTTAATTAGTTTAAATCTATTATAAAAGAATATTTTAATAAATAAGAAAATTAATAAATTATTAATATTATAATAAATTTTAATTATTTATAAATATTTTTTAATAAATATTTAGAATATAAAATAAAAAATATAAAACTAAATATAAAATAAATAAATTTTTTTAAACTAAATCTATTTCTATTTTTAATAATAAATATTTCTAGTTTTTAATAAAAACTAAATAGAATTAGAAATATATTATATTTTATTATTTTAATAAATTAAAAAAAAAAAAGTTTAAAAAAACTTTATAAGAAAAATAGATTAATAAATATTTATAAATATATAACTATAGCTATAAAGATTAATAACTAATAGTATTATTAATAAATATATAATAAAAAAATAACTTATTATATTAATACTAATTATTTAAAATATTAATAATAATTTATAATCTTTAGAATATATATAAATTTTATAAAATTAGAAATTATAGAAAAATATAAATATTATAATTATAATAAAATTAAATATATTTTATTATAATATTCTAAATTAAAAAAATAAAAAAAATTAAAAACTTATTAAAAAAAATAAAAAATAATTAAAAATAATTAAAAAAATTAAAATTAAAACTTTTAAAATAATTAAAAGAATTATTTAAAATAAAAATTTTATAATTATTATAATTTCTATTTTTTCTAAGAAATTTATTCTAATTTTTTAAAAAATATTAAAACTAGATAAATAATAGAACTAAATAATATTAAAGAGAAATTAATAATAAATTATTATTAATATACTAAATACTTATAATAAGTAGTTATTAGCTATAGATTAGTTATAGAATAGTTTACTTAGTTATAATTACTTTAGAACTAGTTTTATAACTAGCTTAGTTCTATAATTAAAATAATAACTTAATTAATTATCTTTATAATCTATTTTATCTAAAAGTATATACTTTAGAAAAGCTTTTTAATACTAATTAATAGTTATATAGTAGCTATAGATTAGTAAAAAAGAAGAAATAGAATTTTCTAAATATCTAGAGAAGAATAGTTCTTTAAAAGATATTAGTTCTATATTATAGAACTATATATAATATATAATATAATAATATTATTATCTTTTATATACTTTAAATAATTATTTTAGAGATTATTTTTTTTTAATAATATTATTAGTATTAGAAATATCTTTATAGAATATTCTATTATATATATCTTTCTATTAATATAAATAGAAGTAATTAATAAAATTATTTTTCTTTTTAACTATTTAATCTTAAGAGTTTATTCTTATAGAATAC